ATATCAATATTATAAAGAAAAAAAAACTCATAAATCAGGCGTCGAAAATCCTTACCCTAAACTAACAGAAAAACCAGGGCCGGCTCAACTAATTTAGGGTCCCTGTACAAATCTTAAAAATTGGCCCTTTTTCATACAAAAAAAATAAAAATTGGGCCTTTTCATGTTAAAAAAATCTTAAAAACTAGTGTTTTTCATACTAAAAAAAAAAAATTGGGCCCTTAAATTTACCCCAAAAAAATTGGGCCCTGTACATTTGCTCCTCTTGCGCACCCCAAACGCCCCCCCTGAGAAAAACACACCTAAATATATATGTATATAACGATGTTAATCAAGATTGCACCTCCTTAATGTTGATAGTTTTGATTCTGTATGTTGAAAGATGATTTTCACTATACAGTAAACATTTGATACTAGAAAAAAGATCTAAAATTGTATATATGCAATTTTACAGTTACAATTTTAAATGATGGCAACCAAAAATAAAAAAACTATGTTGATACACATAATAAAAAGAACAACTCAACCACCTACGACTATTACAGTTTACAGAACAAACAGAATAAATAGAATGAGCGGAACAACACAGATAAAAACAAAATGTTGAATCACTGAACTTTTCTAACAATGAGAATGACTAAACTTTTTTCCTACTTCAAATGGCATTGGTCTAGTATATGGTTTTTAATGAATTCAACCACAAATATTATAGTAACATGTGGATGGACTAGACTTTATAGTTATATAAAGAGTTATTTACACATTAACATGTTTTGCCAATTAATTTTGGGGTTAAGGACTGTTCTTGATCAAATATTTTTAATTTTTGTTTAAATATTTTTTTGGTTAAAGTTTACTTTTGTACCATTGACAAATAGTAGTAGTAAATTTGGTAGGCATTAACTATAGTAATCAAATTTCCTTGGTAAGCACAACAAGATCAGATGCATGTGGACCCTCATGATCATTTTAGATCTCCAACATACCATAACTGCCGCTGGTTATTATATGCTATTTTAATGCATTCGTTTCTTATTCGTGTATATAGTTTACACTTATTAATACTGTTAACAGTATTACATTGTACATAGTTTTCAGGTAATTTATTGATTTTTAACAATGTACTAGAAATTAACCCGCGGTACACCGCGGGCCTATAATTTTACTAAATAATAAAATTAATTTTTCTTTTTCAGGATGAGAGCCCGTGGTATACCGCTGGAAATATTAATTTTACATGTTGTGACATTGATTTTAATATTGTATATTTTTAGTAGAGAAAATTGTGTAGTGTATGAAAAATGATAAATTGTTTACAATAAAAATCTGTCATATTAATTATGATTTAGCCGTAAAATGGAATTTTGAAATCTTGGTAATGAATGTTTAGGGGTAAGGAAAATACTATGTTTTTAGGAAAACATATACTTAGACACGCCGCACGCGTTTGTATTAAACAGATATCAAAACAAAAAAAAAAAACAAAAAAGAATTAAAATCGTAGAAACATTACATCATTAATTAATAGAAAATAGAGAATACACAATGAAAATAAAAATTAGATTGCTCAAAAACTAAAGCATAGATGCTGAGATATCAAAACAAAAAAAAAACAAAAAAAAAGAATTAAAATCGTAGAAACATTACATCATTAATAGAAAACAGAGAATACACAATGAAAAATAAAAATTAGATTGCTCAAAAACTGAAGCAGAGATGCTGAGAGAAGTTTGTGTGGATGAATGAAAAATGATTTGCCGAATAGCAGAGCCTATATTTATAATGTTTAGAATTAGGTTGCTTTATTAGGGTTTTAAGAAAAGCATATTCTGCAAAATATTCTATAAGTAATTAGCGTAGATATGCTATAGTTAATCGCATCAGAATATCTAAACGAAATTAATATTAGTTTCTATCGTTAAAGATCTTAACATATTTGATTTGCGCTTTCGCGATTTTTATAATTTTGCAGTAAACCAACTCTATGACTTTCCATACTTCAAGATCGTAGAGAATATTTGATGGTTAATCTGATAATTAGAAGATTCTATATATCTTAGCGAAATTTTTTCCCTAAACAACGAAGAAGTTACCATATACTTCGGAATTGTATTTGTTGATTTAATATTCGATTTTAAATTGAATAATTTACATAGAAGTTACCATACAAGTCCGGTAAGGTTTCATTTTTTGTATTATTTTTGCTGTCAAAAATACTCATAGATCCGATTATCATTATTTCTATCAAAAATACCCAATTTATTAACTACATTTATTTTATAATAATTCAAAATAATATAAATATAACATCAAATAAAAGTGAAATGAGAATTATATAATTCTGTTTAAATTAGGTCGAGAGATTGTAAAAAATTAGCTCAAATTTGTTAATTAGCATTAAATCATCATATTTTATATCTTTTTCTGTAAAAATCGTGAAGAATATATGTCATAAATAAAGAGTTTAGATATAGAAATAGTTAAAAATATATATATATATTTTTAGAGTTTATAAATTAATTTCGTTTTGGATATTGCCAAAATTTAAAGAAAGATCCAATTGAATATTTTTGGTCACAAAAAAAAAACCTACCCATAAAGATTAAAATTTAGGATTATAGTTATTTCAAATTTTAAACTAATTTAGATTTTATAATCAGAAAATATAACTAAAACAAATTACGTAATATTAAATAAAAATTTAAAATAAATAACTATTTTCATTTTATGTTGTAGACAAATTATTATTAGTATTTATGTAATTTAGTTTCAAAAATAATTTAGAAAAATAACAAACATTAAATTTTATAACAAAACAAATTATTTTCGTAAGAATTTGTCCCCAAATTAATATTTACAAAATATTTATTTTAATCACATATTCTTTCTATATAAAAATAAGTAGTTAGATAATTATGGTTAGAAGTAGTTAAGGTAAATAACAAATATGGTTAGTTTAGAGATATCATATATATATAACAAATAAGATTATTTACCATTAAAATAGGTAACTTATTTGTTTTGTTATACGCATATTCTCTTAAAGAAAATTAATAATTAGGTGTGGGGAGAAGTTAAGGAAATTAACAAATATGAATTAATAAAGGAATTAATTTCGTTTTAATATTGCCATAAATTTTATCAGTTTGAAATTAATAAAGGCTTCATTTATCAGTTTGAAATTAAGACAACATCCCTAAAATTGCTTATCCAAGATCCGAATAGACTAAAACCGGGTCAAACCCGGATCCAAAAGACTTTATGCAAAAATCCCCTGTAAAAATGTATATGTAGATATTATGAAACCATTTTACATAGATGTCTCCTTCAACAGAAGATATTTATTGTACATGTGACATATTTTGTCACATCTTCAAAAAAAAATACATATTTTTAATAATAATATCCTTAACAAATTCCGGAGGATCCAAGGTGACTGAGAGAATTCACAATAAATTAGCTACTATACAGTGGTCGTTGAGTAATTACTCATGAATTAAGGTCTAAAAACACATGTATACATCGGCCAGAGAAGATGACACAGTTACTATAGGTTTTGTAGTAGTGATATCAAAATAGTACAGAAAAAAACGGATTCACAATGCATTACGCTAAAAAAATGTATAATGATTTTTTGAAATTTTTTCAGAAATGCAAAAACAACAGCACAGTCGTATTGTAATATTAGTATAAATTATTTACTCCTATATATGATATTAGCTTCTAGAAAAGTAGCTAGTCACTAATCAGTAAAAATGTATAAAACTTACACTATCAAATGATTTCAATTTGCATAGTATAACTACAACTGATTATGGATTTCATGATAGAGAAACTTAGAAGCTACTACAATAATAGACCGTGGACTACTGATTACTATGATAGCACAAAAAATATAACAATTCTTATAGAATAAAAAAGGAACGACCGCATGCATTAGTTAATACCGTTGCTGGAATTGCGGTTCACAGGGCTCTAAGTCCCGCATCCGTAGGATCCGACACGAGAAAAAAATAAATTTCTTTTCAAATTTGTACTTACTACAAATTTCCACTTAAATACTTTCTGTTTAAAATATTCTACACAGAAGATAAATAATTATCTAATATAGTAATATAACATTGTAAAGCTATGTTATGTTCCCGCTTTTATTTTGAAATGGCATGTTAATTAGACATTATTAATGAAAATATGTTTAACATCGTAGATAAAAACACATGAACTAATCCACTATTCGCCTATAAATTTAAGATTAAAATTAAAACCCATGATATTACTAAAACTTTATGTGTTTCATAAAAATGAACATTACAATTTATTTCATATACAATACTATAACTTATAGGTTTTATACAATTTAATCTTAAAATAAAAAGAGATTAAAAAAGTTATGATATTTTAGTATATTTTATCAATATGGTTAAGAAACTCTTCCTGGATATGTTTTATTAGGTAAAAGATATGCAGTGAGTGCCCATGACAATGGTAAGTCGATATATTAGTCAAACCTCTAAAATTTTACTTATATATAAAATAAAGCAAAATTTGAAATTCAGGAAAAAAAAAGAAAGCAAAACTCGAAATATAACGATGACAATTTTTTTTTTTTATATCAAAATCAAACCGTGGAAAAAAAAACTGTGACTACCACTATATTTTAAAACTAAACAAACATGATCATATTTCAAGTTATAAACCAAAAATAAAAATAAAAAATAGATATGAAAATCCGAGCATTGCATTTGCAGACAATTAGCTAGGAAAGAGAAACATAGTCCTAATCAAGATACCTCCAAATGTTAACACAGTGTAAGAGATTTTGTCCTCTTTCCTTTGTCTAAGATATTTAAACAAAATATAAATACATAAAAAAAGTGATGAGAGAGAGAGAAAGATTAGTTTTAAGAATTAAATTGCTAATTAAATACGAAACAGTAATCTTCTCTTCAAAGTGGAACACTGCTTATAAAAAGGCCTTCACAATCTCTCATTCAATTCACATCACATTTGGATATATCTCTCTCTACTTTCATTTCTCGTTTCATAATATTAGGTAAGTCTAATTAATATCTCTCATCTACTTAATTTTATCCGCTCACTAATCTCGCTACACTTTCAACTCCTAACACAAAACTCAAGAACTAAAAGATTCTTGTTTCTGGTCCTCTGTTACTTTCTTGTTTAAAAAACAACCAAAAAGCTCACTTGTTCTCTAAAAAACAGAGACTTTTCTCAGTCTTCCTCTGCTTTAACTAGTTACTTGAGACAGATTCTGTATAACATAAACTTAATCAGGACATGTAACTGAAATATGTCAGACTTGTAATAATAATTTGAGTTATAATACCGTTAAAAGCTAAACCCAAAGCTGTATGCTTTCTTCTCTGTTTCTCCTCTGTTTTTATGTTCTGTTTTCTAGTTTTTGCTAGTAAGGTCTGTTTTTTTCTCTCTTTTTTGCAGGAAACTTTGTTCATCTTTTAGAAGAAGTGGTTACGGAAACAGAAGGAAGAAGATGAAGTATGTGGTTGTCTCAGGAGGAGTAGTGAGTGGACTTGGAAAAGGAGTCACGGCAAGTAGTATCGGACTCATCCTCAAATCCTGTGGCTTCCGAGTCACCGCCATTAAAATCGGTCCTTTTTCTTTCTCTTTCTTTCTTGTTACAACTATACTTGTCAATTCTTTCATGTAAAACGAACTTGTCGCCATTTTTTTCTTCTCACGCAAACTTCGTTCCTCTTTTTCTCACTTTTGCTTTTGATTTTTTTCTCACAACTTGAGTCAAAAAAAAAAAGTTTCAAGATTTGATTTTTATGGCCCCAGTGGTACAATAAACATGAAAAAGAAGTGTTTTTTTCTCCTCTATCTCACGCGTGTGAAAAAGGGTACAAACAAAAAGCTTAAAAAAGATCTAAGAATTTCCAAAGATTTAATCTTTTTTCTATTTCCCCTGTTAAACCCTGTTTAAAGTTTCATGGTTTTTCTCAGAAAAGTTGATCACTTTTTAAGAATAGTTATGATTTTAAAGTTGGATTATGTAAAAATTTGGCAGATCCTTACTTAAACATTGATGCTGGGACCATGTCACCTATTGAACATGGTGAAGTTTACGTCTTGGACGATGGTGGTGAGGTATAATACACTTTCACCAAATTGCTCTGTTTCTTTCGAAAGGATATGTCATTAATTAGGCCAACAACCAAATTAAAAACTGATTTTTTTTTTGTGGGTGTGTTGATAAAAGGTTGATCTTGATCTTGGGAACTATGAGAGGTTCATGGATATTAAGCTGACCAGTGAAAACAACATAACTACCGGAAAAGTTTATAAGGTTTGTGTCTTTGTGGAAGGAAGTTAAAGATTTGGAATGTTTTAAGTTCTGGGGTTTTGGACTTACATGTTGGAATTTGTGAACAGCATGTGCTTGAGAAAGAGAGGAGAGGAGATTATCTTGGCAAGACTGTTCAGGTACTTAAAAAAGCAAGCTTGATAATAGTAGACCATGTGTTTGATGAAATTCCCCTGAAAGAGAAAGAGAGAGAGATGAAGATTTATTGAAAGTCCTTTGTGGGTTTTCTTTGTAGGTTGTTCCTCATATTACTGATGCTATTCAAGAATGGATTGAGCGTGCTGCTAGAATTCCTGTGGATGGACAGTCAGGTCCAGCTGATGTTTGTGTCATTGAACTTGGAGGAACCATAGGTATTAATCTAGTTCTCTTCATAGAGAGTTTAAAAGACAGTGTCAGTTTGTTAAAAGAAAGAGCTTCTCTTTCGATTTTGTAGGAGATATAGAGTCCATGCCTTTTATTGAAGCTCTTGGGCAGTTCTCATATCGCGTAGGTAAGTCATGGTTTCTGTGTGTGTGTTCATTGAGGTATAACAGTGAAGTTTACTTAAGATGTCAAGATTGAGTGATGTGTTTTCTTACTTTTTTTCAGGCACTGACAATTTTTGCTTGATCCATGTCAGTCTTGTGCCTGTATTGAATGTTGTTGGTGAACAGGCAAGTTTCTTGAGTCTTGGCACTTTTGTTTAATCTGTTGGAGTTATCTTCCTAACAATTTCTAATTGTTTACAGAAGACTAAACCAACACAACATAGCGTTCGAGACTTAAGAGGCCTTGGCTTGAGCCCTAATATCTTGGCTTGCCGAAGCACAAAGGTTTCATCCTTGTAAATTTTGTTGTTTTTTGTTAACGTCTCTTCTTCTATCTTGGCTCTCAGTTCTTATATTGGACTTGATTTTGTAGCCACTTGAAGATAATGTGAAGGCCAAACTCTCTCAGTTTTGCCATGTCCCGGTATGTAATATTTGCAAGACAAGACTTAATCTTTTTCTTTGTTATAAACATTGTTAATAACATTTAATTCATTTTGCAGATGGAAAACGTTGTTACTCTCTACGATTGTCCCAACATTTGGCACATTCCATTGCTTCTCAAAGTGAGTAACTTTCTCTTCCACCATAGTTTCAAAGTTTCAGTAAACAGTTCTCATTACCAATGTCTTTACATTTCAATTTGTTTGAGCAGGAACAAAAGGCACACGAGGCGATTTTGCGTGTCTTGAACCTTAAAGGGTAAGTCTGGCTTACTCATATTCTCAAATAGATTGGTTCATTTCATTTGTGGGAATCGTTGTGTGATATTTTCATGTACAGAGTTGCAAAGGAGCCTGCATTAGAGGAATGGTCTTTGATGGCTAAAATGACAGACAAGTTGCATGTTCCGGTGTGTTCCTGGTTCTATTATGACATGTCAGGCTTAGTTTATATCACTGGTTTTCAGCTGGTGACTGACTTCATTATGTATTGAGTTTTTAGGTAAGAATTGCTGTGGTTGGGAAATACACTGAGCTTTTGGATTCTTATCTGTCGATTCACAAGGTACATCAATCCCAACAACTTTAACCACAAATCAAAGCCTTTTTATGGTCAAAATCCTCATAAGCCATCGTCAAAATATCTCACTCGATTGCGGTATTTGATAAGGGATTCTTGTGTTTGATGAACAGGCTCTCTTGCACGCTTCTGTGGCAAGGGGCAAGAAACTTGTCATAGATTGGATTTCAGCTAGTGATCTTGAGCAAGGTGCAAAAAAGGAGGTATGTTTACACTTTACACTAAGCTCAATTACTTAGACAACTTATGAAACCTAAGAAACTGAAGCAAAATGATTCCTCTCTGCAGAATCCAGGATGCATATAAGGCCTGCGTGGAAGTTACTCAAGGTCTGAACATTCTTTCATTCCCATCAAATGAATCCTGATTTCTTGTGTCCACTTTCCGTTGATAGGGTTTATGTAATTTTTCTTCAGGGTGCTGATGGTATTCTTGTGCCGGGAGGTTTTGGCAATAGAGGTGTAGAAGGAAAGATGCTGGCAGCGAAATATGCCAGAGAAAACAGAGTTCCATACCTCGGTATCTGTCTAGGGATGCAACTCGCTGTGATCGAGTTTGCCAGAACTGTACTCGGTTTGCCAGATGCAAACAGCACTGAACTTGATCCCAACACCAAAAACCCATGTGTTATTTTCATGCCTGAGGTTTGTTCCCTTCCACATTTTCTGCTTGAGTTTCAGCTACTTCATCTACTTAATTTGGGATTTCGTGTAATTTTTGTTTGAAGCAGGGCTCAAAAACGCATATGGGAGGCACTATGAGGTTAGGCTCAAGAAGAACCTACTTTCAGTCTAAAGACTCCAAATCAGCAAAACTGTAAGCACGTGATTCTTTTTCCATTCTAAAAAGTTACAACTTGATGCATCTTAGTGCTTAACCGATATCTTATTCTTCTGAATGTTTCAGATATGGGAACAGAGGTTTTGTAGATGAAAGACACCGACACAGATATGAGGTATTAAGCAGCTTTCAGATTATACTGCAAATTTATCTCTTTGAAAGTTTAAGTTAAAAACAAGATCTTCTCTTACAGGTAAATCCAGACATGGTTCCACGTTTCGAGAGCTCTGGACTCACATTCACAGGAAAAGACGAGACGGGTCAGCGAATGGAGGTAAAAAAACCAATAGATAAACCCCTTACACCACATAAATTTATAATCTTTCTGGTTATATAATTCCTTACATTTGATAATACAGATCTTTGAACTGCCTAATCATCCGTTTTACATTGGAGCTCAGTTCCATCCCGAGTACAAATCAAGACCCGGAAAACCATCTCCTCTGTTTCTAGGTAAATATAAAACCAAAATTTCTCGTTTCTTTCTTTGTGTAACGCATACTTAAAAACGGAACTTTTTCTTGAACAAAAAATTGCAGGACTAATTGGAGCAGCTAGTGGAGAACTAGACACTGTACTGCAACAAAGCTGCCAAGAAACCGTCGTTCCACGTTCTCTACCCAATGGAAAACTTGAGAGAGTTTACTGGAAAGGTAGCAGCGAAAAAGCCAGTCAGTGTTGTGTACAGTTTATGTGATCGTGTCTACTCATGAACACCATCTCTGCATCAACAATGACTTCTCTCTAAAAAAGCTATTTTATCCGGAATTTTTAACATGGATTTCTTCACCAGTGGAGGGAGAGAGAAGGCTCTGGTTTTGTACAGTTTGAAGATTGGCTTTTTATGAGATGCTTTTTCTTAAGATTATGAAGTAGAAGAAGAACACTAAGCACAAGCAGCATTAGAATATATATTACCTTTGTCTTTTGTAATGGGTAGTATTTAGAGAGACTCTTGGGATTGACTCTCTGTTGCTGTGTTTCTTAGGTTCTTATGTAGTAGTATTAATCAGTAGATTTTTCTTTTTGTTATTGTTTTTTGGGGTTATTATGGTTTAAACATATCCAGAGAAGTACCGATGTTTTTCCGGTACATGTTTGATTTCTCTGTATGTTAATGTAGCTTTTTTTCTCTGTTATTTGAATGGTTATAAAACTAGTTCTCTTTTTACTTGTGTTTTGATTCCAAACTCCAAAATGATCATTCATATGGCTTGCGACAAAGCCATTCTAAGTCGATGACATAACCGACAACCGTGTCAAAGAATTCACAAAGCCAAGTATTTGTTTCTTAAGAAACTTGATTTTGTAGCCACTTGAAGACAGTGTGAAGGCCAAACTCTCTCAGTTTGCCATGTTCCGGTATTTGTGAAGATTGTGTGAGACTTTCATTGAAGCTTCTTAACTTTTTGGGGCTGTATGTTTACTAATACTAGTATAGGACTTATCTGGGCAGTTGCTGTTAAATTAAGGATCTATTCGGAAATATTTTCTTTTAAAAGTTTTTATGGGCCTAGTATTTTTTGTTGATAGCCCAGGCCCATAATTAAATGCGCGCGCTACTTCTGTTATGGCGCCAATCTGGTGAATTTGATCGTCACTTGTCGCTTCTCTGTCTGATCCGAATCTGTTGGGGTTGAATATTGCACACCAACTGTTCGATGAAATGTCTTAAAGAGATTTCGTCCTGATTCATTTACCTCACTAGTTTGCTAGTCTTCTTGGCGTCATCTCGGTATATCATCTAACTGGTGTTAAGGGTTTCGCAATTTTCACTCTTTCTCGCCTAGCTCTCGTTTTAGGATTTTGTAAACTTTTGATATAGCTATTTAACACTGTACTTGGGTCCGCTGATTTATGCTTCTTTAACCCTTTATTGGGACTTTTGTCTTGTTGGTAAATTTAGGTTTGCTAAAAAGCTTGAAGATAAGATTTTGAAGATGAGTTCTACTGTTTGGTGGGAAGGAGCTGAGAAGACACGAGTTCTCATAGCCCCAGGTTCTCTCTTCTACTGTAGATTCTGTTCTGAGACGGATTTGCAAATTAGATTCTGCAATGGTGTAGGAATGTCTATGAAAAATGTTGGTCAGTGTTTATTTATCAATGGTTGGAGAAGTTAGATTTGAATAATAAATGAGCTTTAGTTTTTATCCTGTGAGATTACTTAGACTGTGTGGTTCATTAGATAGATAGACTTATCAGAATTGAAAGGATGTGCTGATGGTTATTTAAAGTTGAATCCTTCCTTGGCTACGATAGTTGGAAGCCGTAGATGCTTTAGAGAACATGACCGTTTTTTTTGTTTGATATGTAAAGATTCAGGTTGTGGCGGAAACAAACCTGGAGAACTGTTAACACTCCGCCATCCAAAATCAGGTAATGGGATGTTGATTATTGACAGGCTTGCTATGTTGTGTTGTAGGGAAAACTTCAGATAGTAACAACTTATGTGGTTTGGTATCTTTGCTTCTATGGCAGAAAATGGAACATGCTTCCTTTTTAATAATGAGATGATTCAAGAACTTCAGTGGTTTAAGCAATCATATGGTTCTTGGTTCTTGGGAGATTACATTTCTGAAGGTAATTCTCCACTTGATCTTTGATCATTATTCTTTGTACATAAATACTAAACTGCGAGTGATTTTGAGTCATAATAATATGTGAGCCAGCATCAATGTGTATACAAATTTTATATTCTTTATGTTCATGACGGTTTACTATTTACAGATGGAAGCTTATATATGGCCACTCCCGTTGATCCTGTTTTCATCTTGTTGCCTATTTTCGACGAAGCAAGAATGAAGGTCACTCTTTGCTCCTTGGCTCTTCTCAGTTTATTATTTCCAGTCTGATTTCCGTTTCTCGGAAATGTTCATTGTGTTCTTAAATTGTCGATCTGTAGAAAGGTGAAGATTCTGGAAAGTTCAGGCAACTGGATGAGATTTTATTTGTGGAAGGATATCCTGGATATCAACATCTGTTGTCACTTGCAGAGAAGTGTATGGAAATCGTTTGTCAAACTCAAGGTAAAGTGCCACTCTATTGGTTCGAAAAACATAGTTGCACACACTTAACAAAACCACAATTTTCAGATTGCCAGGTCTTTCTTCTTGTTGAATTTTTTAATCCTTCTTATATGCATATTATCTTAATGTTTTTCATCAATCTTGAAGAGCTTGGTGATCTCTAGTTGTTCAATTTCCTCATTCCTCTTGTTCTCTTCTTGCAGAGGTTGGATCTATGAAGTTCTATCGGCTTGATAACTCGAAAGTCTTAGCTTGGTTAAGTTGTAAGGTATGATCTTGTCAGAAGATTATTTATTGCAGCCTTCTCTATGATCCAGTTGAAATTTTCTTGATACCTTCGCCATTTGAAAGTGATACATGTGTCTGAATCACTATGTCCGCATATATTTCAGGAATGAGGCATGTCTAATACTTATATGTCTTTTTGGTTATTACCTGGTGAAAATTATGTATTTGCAGCTTCTAGAGAGATGCTAATTTTAATGCTGTCTGCACTCTTAACTGGTTTTGTTTCACATTCTATAGTTCTTGTCTTTCTGTAAAGATCCTTAACGTGCCTGCACTTTAATGAATGCAGGTGTACTGTTTAAAGAAGTCTCTACCGGAATTGGACAAAAACTATGCAGCTCAAGATGAGAAACAAACATGTAAGTCCTAGAGCAGAGATCGTTTTACTTGCTTAAAGTTGACCCTTAAAGAGGTGATGTAACATGGCTTTTCACTTATATCACCTTTAATCTGCACCAGTGATAGATGCCGTTTCAATTGTGGGAGAGTACCTGAAGACCGAGCCTTGGTTGAAGCTTCTATATGATCATCTTGGGTACTTTGTAAAATTAAAATCTGAAATCTTCAATCACTCAGCTAAAGCGAATCATATAACTCCTGACAAAATCATTCATATGTCTGGTTTATCTTACAGACTCAAATTTGTTGACCCGACAATGAAAGAAACCAATATGGAGAATCTTCCAACTGCAAATGAGAATAACATGGCATCCTCAAATTCAATACAGGTGTGTATATGCAAAAACTGTAGAGAAGAGCTCTAAGTTCCATATCTTTGTGTTCCTTGTTCTTGATTACTAACTCTACTTGTTTACATTTGTTAGGAGAAAGCGATTAAGAAGCCAGGAAAATTAGGAAAACAGACCAAGCAAGCAAAGGTAGAGACCGGATCAAAGAACATAAGGGATATGTTTTCAAGGGCTTGTAAGAAAAAATGCTGAATGTTCAAAATCGGTTAAAACTTGTAGCCATCTATTTATGATTATTCTATTCAGCTATCAGATGATCTTCGCTTAGCTAGCTACATCTAGATCTAGAACAAAGACCAACTCATAAATGTGATTATTCTATATTTCTAACAAATGTCGTGAGAATACATGAAAACCATTGTAATTTGTAAACTCAAGATCATAACAATTACAATTACAAGAAAATTCAGGATCAATTTGAGTTTTGAACCGCATGATCATCCATTTATGAGGTTCAGTTCCGGGAACTGCTGGCATTAAGGCTCTGGAAAAGCTCGGGTAGATGGGCATTGGTGAGTTTGGTTCTCTTGCTGATCTCTTGTTTCTTCTTCTTCTTATCCTTCGGTTTATTCGATATGCCATGGGTCTGTGCAGCAGCTCTCCTCTCTGCAGTGTTTGTCGCCGGCTTTAAACCGATCTTCAGTAGCTCCTTCTCCACAGTCCAGCATGTCGCTCGGGATGTCTATGTCACGGAATAGAGCTTTAAATTCGTCATCAACCTTAATCTCACACTTGAAATTATTTGGGTACGCAATGTCCTCTTGTGAATTTGATAGCAACCAGATGTCCTCTGAAGCACTCAGAGCCTGCAAAATACAAGACAATCTTGAAAACTTCCATTACCTTCTTGGTTTCAGAGAGTAACATATATTTTCCCCATCTGCTTAGCAAAATACACCAGATCCTACAACTTTTGACGCCGCAGAAAACACAATTTAAGACAGGTTCCCGGTATGGTTTTCAGTTATACTCAACGTAGAATAAGTTGTCTACTTGATTGTCCAACCAAAAACATAGGGGATTCAAGGCGACCGATGCTTAGAGAACTTTCATTTCTCATGTCACCATTCATCTCAAAATTGCTACCAAGAATCTACGGGTACATTAAAAGTCTTTACATGGATTTATATTTCCAAACCTGTCATCTTTGTGTCTTGCCAATTATAACAATGCATACCTTCAAATCCTCTATTACATTCGGGTAAGCGTCTTTGAGATCAACCACCGCAATCCCATCAGGGTACTTACTCACCAACGAAAGAAGCTGGCTCTTGTCCTTGACATCGTGTGTAGCCTATGACAGCAGAGCAGAATTGTAAACATGTGAAACTTTTTTCCAAGAGAAACAAATCCACCTTGAATAAAATGTTTTGGTTACCTTATACGAGAACCTTCTTCCATCATAATGCGCTTTCGGATTCTTCCTCAAACTATCAAAAACAGCCTTATTGGCATGCATATCAACATAACACAATTCATTTATTTGCTCTGGTGTTAAGGCTAGCCTTTTCTGTAAAAAATAAGTAAAATAAGAGACAAATCAGCTTCATTATATGAACGATGATTTATAGCTCTCATATGAAGAACAAAAAGAAGGGACACAAACCTCAAAGAGAAGATCAATGACACGCTTGATTTGAGCTCCAACAGGAGCTTTTCTAATATTGTTAATATTCTGAAGTCGCTCGGTATCGTTTGAAAACTTGACAGGAGCTGCATCAGGCTTCTTCTGAGTGATTGCAGCCGGTAGAGGGACAGACTGCCTCGAAGACCCCGATCTTTCTCTCGAAGAAGCAATGCTCGATAGCGTAGATTGGCATTTCACTTGCTGTTTGTTGAATTTATCTAGCTGCTCCTTTAAAGCCATCTGAAGAAAACGTAATCCTAACCGTCAATACTTAGTGCTTTCAATAGATGATAATGACCACAACATAACTTAGACAAGGCCGATTCCTCAAAACTAGGGTTCATAGACGGTGCAATTTCCAATATCTAGTTTCTGCAACCTTAAACACCACAATAAAGTTCCATTTCTCGAATCAACAAAAGTAGAATTCGAGCTTGATTAATAGAAAAAGGCCAATTTCTGGAGAATCCTCGCAATCAGGGTGCGCGATTTTCAATATCTATGATTCCGCAACCTAAGCACCACAATAAAATTTCCACTTCTCGAATCTTAGAACGAAAGCGGTTATAAATCGAGTCGATACGAACCTTCCTTAGAGAAAAAATACAACAAGGATTAGAACCACGAAGAAGAAGATCGAAGAAGAAGCTTGATTTGATTTTTTGCTTTATCGACGAGTGAGGAAATGGAAGTTATTGTCGATTGAAGGAAGAAGACGGTGTTGGGTTCGTAACTATTCTCATTCTTTTGTTAAGCCCATCACTTATTCGGCCCAATAAGCCCAAAACACACACATGTTCCAAATTTGGAAATTGGAATTAGTTCTTTTGATTTATGTATTAGTTTTTAGATCAATAGAACCAAAACGAAAAACTCCGTTTCTTCTTCCGGGGTTTGGCTCTGTGCCGCGTTCTCGCTACCTCTCGAACTCTCCGGTAGGCACCGGCGATTTTCCTCTTCCGACCGATTCTCTAGATATCGTTAGGTAGTTGATTAACCTCTCCGTTATCATAGAAACTTGAACTAGATTTTTCGGGGTTCTAATTGTTACTTTGAGTTTTGAGATACTCGCTCTCTACGTAGAAAACCCTAATATCGTGCTCGATTTCAATCAATCTCCATTGCCTCTGTTATCTCTCAATCAATCAATCAATGATGATTGTGTGTTTTCTTTAAAATTCAGGTTTTGCAGAGTTTGTATTCAACACAAATTCGACTGTATATTATAAGTATCTGGTTTTGTTGATTCCATGGAAAAATCAATCACAGTGGTGCAGAAAACCGTCGTGCTCGAGCCGTTTATCAAGTAATTTCCCTATACCATTTCTATCCAATCACACACCTAGTAATATTCATATATATGTTCAGAATGTGCCTTTATCAATTGTTTATGCATTTCCTAAGTTGATTTGCATTAATTTTCAGGCTGGTGAAGCTTTTAGTAAGGATTTTCTATGACAATTATACTCCGGAAAGCGATAATCAGCAGAAAACTGCAAAAAATGTCAGAGGGACTGCTGTTATCGTGCTGGATGCGCTTGCGAGGTTTGTATGCATCTCTTTAGTTGATAAGATCTAAAGTTATCACAATAGTTTCCAGACAATTTTTTAAGTCCACTGCGTTATTAGGTTTGTTGAATAAATGGCTCGCACCTCACTGTAACTTGGGGTTTTAGGAGAATGGTTTACTAACTTGATTATGGGCTGTTTAAGGTTGATATTGCTTAGATTGGTTATTTAAATATGTTTTCACTGACTTTCATTTCTGCTATTTCTTTTGTTCTATGTCTGCTAGGCGGCAATGGGTTAGAGAAGAAGACTTGGCAAAAGAGTTGAAGCGAAATGCCAAGGAACTTCGAAAATTAATAAGACATTTTGAAGAACAAAAATTTGTCATGCGTTACCACCGGAAAGAGGTCTGCGCAGAAACTATATTCTTTCAGATTGATATATAGCACTTATTGCACAATATTGGTTTTGCTAAGCCTATAACTCAACAAACTTTTGGTTGTATATTTTCACCATATTTTCTACATTTTTCTGTTTGATTGTTTGCTTTTTTTTAATCCCGTAACACTTCTTTCCTTACTCTGCTGTTTTATTGATTCTCAATCTTGTCAATAGACTGCAAAGCGTGCGAAGATGTATAGTTATGCAGTGGGTGGTCCAATTGATGGCCGAGCAGAGGACAATGTTAAGTTCCACACGCACTCGTATTGCTGTCTTGATTATGCACAAGTATGCTTCATGTCCCTACTATATATTTTTTTTCTTTCTGTTTTTTTTATCAAACTACCCTTTATCATTTCTTATCTCTTACAGATATATGATATTGTTCGTTATAAACTGCACCGGCTCAAAAAAAAATTCAAAGATGAACTAGAAGATAGAAATACTGTTCAGGAGTATGGCTGTCCTAACTGCAAAAGAAAGTAAAGTCCACTACTCTATGTTTTTAAATCTTTACATTGGTGAGTTGTATTTTTTTCACTAAACCTGAATAGATTCTTATTTCTGGTATAGATATAATGCACTGGATGCCCTGAGATTAATTTCTATGGAAGACGATTCTTTTCATTGTGAAAATTGCAATGGTGAACTTGTTATGGAATGTAACAAGCTAACTTCCGAAGAAGTAGTAGATGGAGGTGACAATGCAAGGAGACGGCAGCGGGAAAAAGTAAAAGTTTGGCTTCAGGATTTGGAGGTCTGTGTTTACTGTTTAGCGGCTAATTTTAATGAAAGTTTGAGAAAAACACAGTTGATTTGCCTTCACTGAAGCTGTGCATCGTTCCAAATTTATGATTAAATCAGAATGATATATGATTTCGTTTCCTAGGAGATTCGTTCTTAAATGTGCAACGCTTGAGATTTGCAAAAAAAAAAAAAAAGACTGTGGCTGTAGTGTGTGCGTTGACACAATTGGAAATAAAATGTAGGTTGAACTGAAACCTCTGACAGAACTAATAAATAGAGTAAAAGACCTGCCATTCCCTGCCTTCGAACCTTTTCCAGCATGGGAAGTTCGTGCAGCTAAGGCTGCTCGTGAAAATGGTGATCTTAACCCTAATGATCCTTCAAGGTCATTGGGCGGGTATGGTTCAACACCAATGCCATTTCTGGGAGAGACAAAGGTGATCTTTAATTACACTTCTCAATGTATATATTAATTACAATGTTATTATGGAAGATAAGTGTTCCCTGCATTTTCCCCTTAGTTGATTTCTTTAATCTTACATGGTTAGGTTGAGGTTAACCTTGGTGAAGGAAAAGAAGATGTCAAATCTAAAGGTGGAGATTCTAGTCTGAAAGTGTTGCCTCCATGGATGATCAAGCAAGGCATGAATCTGACCGAGGAACAAAGAGGAGAGATGAGACAGGAAGCAAATGTTGATGGACTTTCAGATGACAAGAAATCAGTCATGGAAAGTGGCGATGATAATAAGGATTTGAAGGCATGCTTTTGGAGAAAATTTATTTGTGTTTATATAGATTCCCACGGTAGCTTCTTGTGGATTGTGTGTTTCCAGAACCTTGATACATATTATTTCCATTTTGATTCAGGATGAGTATCTCAAAGCTTACTACGCCGCTATACTGGAGCAGCAAAAGCTTGCTGCAAAACTGAATCAGCAAGAATCCGCAGGCGAATCAACAACCACTGACATTGAATTGGCTGCTACATCCTCAGATCGTCAGGTTGGTATGAAGTCCAAACGCGAAGAGGAAGAAGAAGAAGATGTTGAATGGGAAGAACAAGCTTCTGTGACAGGTCAGTTTGAGTTTACTACTACTTCATTTCCAGTTTGCCATCTAGTTGATCATTTGAAACAACACATGAACCTTGTATTTTATTTTCAAATATAAAACCGGAATTGAGCGTGTTTGCATTTGAACAAGATACTTGTTAAGACATGCTCATAGTTAAAACTATATTAGTGGGTCAGTTTAGGTCTCATGATATCTAAGGATAATGTGATGCTCATCTTGGTTACTTTTCATGTAACTTAATTTGCAGCAAATGGAAACTACAAGGTGGATTTGAATGTGGAAGCAGAAGAGGCAGAAGAAAAAGAAGAAGAAGATGACGACGACATCGATTGGGAAGAAGGCTGATTGTCATGTGCACTAATAGTCACTTAGGAACTTATTGAGAATCTCATTATCTAGACCAATTTATCAAAATGATACATTTCAATTTTTACTTGTCGAAGCTGACAAAAGATTGAAACAAAAGTGGTTCCATTTCCAAGCGTTTGACCGTCTGTTACAACTTACAAGGGACAATTGAGTCGAGTAGGCAAATCTGATTCTCTGTAAATTACCAAATATTTTTTGAAGGCCCAATAGAGAAGATTTTTGGGTTTTATAAAAGCCTAATAGAGATGTAACCTTTTTAATTAAGCGGGAGAAAGAAACCTGGTTTTATTCTTCCTTCTCCATCCGCCATTGATCCGAGTATTTTCAGATTCTTCCTCTCAAGTGAAAGCAACGATTCTGTCTCTTCTCTTCTAGGGTTTATCGATAGCTTTGTTTCCTAATTGAATCCCTGGTTAGTTTCATTTACCCTTTTTGCCATGATTTTGAATCTTTTCTCTTTTCAACATTTGAGATATTAAATGGGTTAAGAAGTAGAAGAAAGACGAATCGTTGAATAGACTCTGATCATAGTTGTGATTCAATAAGAAGTGTTCTAATTTGTTTTTTTATAATCCAAACCCAAGTTAGATTTTTTAACAGCCATGGAGTTAGAGAGCTTCAGGGTAGGTTTTACTCCAGCAGTATTCTATATTCCCGGTTTCATAACTGATGAAGAGCAAACTCAGCTACTAAATCATGTAAACTCTCCTCTCCAATTCTTTTGCATTTGACATCTTGGGGTTTTGTTCCTCTTTTAAATCATATGTACACTCTTTTGCTGTCCTGTAAGATATATGGAGCATCTGGTTCCAAGTGGAAGACATTAAAGAACAGAAGATTACAGAACTGGGGTACACTTTGCTCATACTTTAGTTCTCATTAGATTGTTGAAGAACCATAAAGTCTTGAGCTTTTGGTTTGTTTCTTCAGGTGGTATGGTCCATGAAAAGGGTCTTGTTCCACAAGAGTGTAAGTAAGAATAAAAGAAAGTCCTCCAATCATTCTTGATCATCTAATTTCTGGATACTCAAATGTATATTTTCCCTTGGTTTCAGTACCTTCCTGGCTGACGAAGATTACAGCGAAAATTCATGAAAGCTCGGGTCTGTTCCCTTCTGCTATAAATCATGTCCTCATCAATGAATACCATCCTGACCAAGGGATAATGGTCTGTTATCCGTCCTCTTGAATGGTTATTTATTTATTTGTTGGTTAAGCTTTTGCTGTAAACGCAGCTTCTCATTTCAATGGTTTTAGTTTTCTGTTAAGTTCATGAGCAAGTTTTTCACTTCCATAGTTGTTGTTTCACAGCCGCACCAAGATGGACCCGCTTACTTTCCTGTTGTAGCTATATTATCTCTTGGCTCACCTGTCGTTATGGACTTCACTCCACATTTGAGATTAAGATCAGGCGATGGTTACATTTCTCAAGACCAAAATCCCGGTGCAGAGAGTTGTGTGCCTGAGAGAGACTCATTCTCTGTCTTGATGATGCCTCGAAGCTTACTCATCTTCAAAGATGACGCATATTCAGGTAAAATCGTCATCTCCATAACTGAATTACATAGAGCGAGAGAAGAGTAATCAGGAACAATTTAAAAACAGCCGGTTGAAATTCATATTTTCCTGTCTTGTTTCAGATTTCCTCCACGGCATTAGCGATAGTCCAACACAATGCTACAACCAGGTACAACAATACACAGCTCTTTATCATATTCGGATATGTAAAATGGTAGTGACATTAGTGTAAAAGGAGAGTGATTTTACTGTGGTTTCATGTTCAGGTGGTTAATGAAGCTGAAGCTTTAGCTTACTCTAATGAAGAAGATCCAAGAAAAGATGGTGACAAGATTCTTCACAGAGACCAAACTCGAGTTTCACTTACTTGCCGTTTAGTACCCAAAGTCCATAAGAACCTCTTCAAATTTTAGATAACACAAGTAGGATTGTCTTGTCGTTTATGACTGTAAAAAACGGTACGATTTGTGATGTGGGAATATAAAAACAGCACGATTTGTGGTTGTGGAAACTTGAGGACAAAAAACTTGCAACGGATAGGATTAAATATGAGCCCTTCATATTTTTATTATTTATTTTATATTTTCTTCTAAAGAGATAACACACTATACAATCTCACTCTATCCCCAAATCTTCTTCTTCTCCAAAAATTTCAAACCCTAGATTCTCCCAATTCCGTCTTCCATGGCGATTTCGGCTCCAGCCGCTTGTTCTTCTTCCTCTAGACTCCTCTGTTCCTACTCCTCTCCTTCTCCTTCTCTCTGTCCCGCCATTTCCACCTCTGGTAAGCTCAAAACCCTAACTCTCTCTTCCTCCTTCCTCCCTTCTTACTCATTAACCACTACCTCCGCTTCTCAATCCACTCGTCGCTCCTTCACCGTCCGCGCCGCTCGTGGAAAGTTCGAGAGGAAGAAGCCTCATGTCAACATCGGAACCATCGGTCATGTTGACCATGGTAAGACTACTTTAACCGCAGCTCTCACCATGGCTCTTGCTTCAATTGGTTCCAGCGTCGCTAAAAAGTACGACGAGATTGACGCCGCACCGGAGGAGAGAGCTCGTGGTATCACAATCAATACTGCTACTGTGGAGTACGAGACTGAGAATCGTCACTACGCTCACGTTGATTGTCCTGGTCACGCTGATTACGTTAAGAATATGATTACCGGAGCTGCACAGATGGACGGAGCTATCCTCGTTGTCTCCGGCGCCGATGGTCCTATGCCTCAGACTAAAGAGCATATCCTTTTGGCGAAGCAGGTTGGTGTTCCTGATATGGTTGTGTTTCTTAACAAAGAGGATCAAGTAGATGATGCAGAGTTGCTAGAGCTCGTTGAGCTTGAGGTTCGTGAGCTTCTCTCGTCGTATGAATTTAACGGTGATGATATTCCGATTATCTCTGGTTCTGCTCTTTTAGCTGTGGAGACTCTCACTGAGAATCCTAATGTGAAGAGAGGTGATAACAAATGGGTAGATAAGATTTATGAACTTATGGATGCTGTTGATAGTTACATTCCAATCCCTCAGAGACAAACTGAATTGCCATTCTTGTTAGCTGTTGAGGATGTGTTCTCGATCACGGGACGTGGTACTGTGGCTACAGGGCGTGTCGAGAGAGGTACGGTTAAGGTAGGAGAGACTGTAGATTTAGTTGGTTTAAGGGAGACTAGGAGCTACACAGTCACTGGGGTTGAAATGTTTCAGAAGATTCTCGATGAGGCTTTAGCTGGTGACAATGTAGGGTTGTTGCTTAGGGGTATTCAAAAGGCTGATATTCAGAGAGGTATGGTTTTAGCTAAGCCGGGATCTATTACTCCACATACCAAGTTTGAAGCAATTGTGTATGTGTTGAAGAAAGAAGAAGGTGGAAGGCATTCTCCATTCTTTGCAGGTTACAGGCCTCAGTTCTACATGAGGACGACTGATGTTACAGGTAAAGTGACAAAGATCATGAACGACAAAGACGAAGAGTCGAAGATGGTTATGCCGGGTGATCGAGTGAAGATAGTTGTTGAGCTTATTGTGCCGGTGGCTTGTGAACAAGGGATGAGGTTTGCTATCAGAGAAGGAGGAAAGACTGTTGGTGCTGGAGTTATTCAGGCTATCATCGAATGATTATAAGGTTTTAGAGAGTTTCATATAGTGAGCATTTACTTGCTTTCTTTTTGTTTCCCTCTTGATTCTCAAACTCTTTTGAGTTTTTACTTCTCTTTTTATTTTTGTGCCATTTTCTATAAGAACTCAGAATCAAATGTCATATATTCCTTGATTTTTCTGATCCTTCTCATTCATATGATTCTGATGTGAATTTGGTACTCAACGGCCGATCACTTAGTTTTGAAACCATTGTTCAGTTGGAAGATTACTTGCATCAACGATTCTTACACACCCACCCTCGAATTACAAAACGTCTATGATTGGAAATGGCAGAACATAAAGTTACATAAATAACTAAAAGAGGAAAGTCGAAACGTGAAGAGATAATCAAGAAGAGGAAAGAGAGAGTTTATGGAATGCGACCACCACCTCTGCCACTGAAAGATGGGCCTGCATCGATCTCACCATTTGTTTGATAACTCCTCATTCTTCTCCTCCCTAACAATCATTATTATTAGACAATAATGTATTAAAGTAATTCATCATGCGACTTATATCATGTGTGTAGTGTGTATACTATGAGAGTCTTTGGAACACTAACCAGCTCTTGGAAGTGAATCTTGTTTAGAAGCAAGAACAAGACTGTTGCAATGAAGAAGAAGCAGAAGCACCACAAAGAACACAAAACCCAATTGTGAAAAAATCTGCTTTACCATTTTGCTCAATAATTATCTTGTTTTCTTATTTAATGTGTTCTATATATAGAGTTAGACGCTGATTAGAGATAGGTTTAGTTTAATTAGATTTGTTTAATGAAAGATTCTCATATATAGAGTGACATGATAAGAAATGAGATGGACACAAAGAATCTCATGTGTCATCATCTTCCAATGGTGACCTCTTATCTTCTATAAATCTATAAAATTATATAATCTCTTTCTTAATTTTGATCTTTGAGGCTTTTGATGTAGACCCGTGAGGATAGAGAAAATAGTTCGAAGACAGAGCCAAAAGGACACACCTTAACGTCAGTGGCACAAGATTTGAAGATTATTTGCAAGGTGGACCATATACTTAATTAAGATATGTCCAATTGTGCAGACTGCTTCTGGAATTCCTTGATAACTTTAGCTTGTTTCGTCGGTGCCATTTGCTGAAAGTGTGAAACAACAGAGCAAGATATGTTACAAAGAAGTGAGAAAACCCATCAAAGTAGAAAATGAAACCAAGTGAGATCATTACCTTGTTCATTGCAACCATAGCTGTGGTTGCACCTTTCATGCCATATGAAATTGAGGTACTTGCATACAAAGCCTGTGTATGAGTGGTTACGCCCCGGATTTGAGCACGGCTTCTCTTAAAATTGGTGATCTGTTGCCTCAGTCGAACAAGTTGTCGAGCTAAGATCTTTGTGGCCGCTTATGACAATGTTTTAAACACAACAAACTTGTTAATGTAGAAGAGAAGAGTCTTGTGGCGTTTTTAAATAGCCAGAAATGAACCAACAAGCTAAGTAATATTACAAGTTAGCGACTGAATCCTCTGGACTGCTTATTACAGATCTGAAGCAAGTACAGAGAAACACACAATTCAATTACTTGAGAGGAGAACACTCACCAAAAATGAAGCACTGAAACAAATATGAATCAGTGTAAAGTTACTAATTAAGCAAGAACAAACATTCACTTAACCAACTATTATGAGATTCTTCACATTACACTGTTAGATTTAAGTAAATGTGATTTTAAAGGTGACAATTTTGCAGCATTAACCCAGCAAATTTCTCACTCCACACCATCTGGTTCAGGCACAAGTAAAGTCAAAGGTGAGATTTTTTTTTCCAGAACCCTAGACCCAAATATTTAAAGTCTATAGGCGACAAAATCAGTTTACTATCATGATGTGAAAATCCAAAAAATCAAGGGAACAAATCAATCTTTTACTACCTTTTGGGACTTTGTCTTTTTCTTGAAAATGTTCATATGGTTATTGTCTTCTCTGAAATTGAGTGCACGAAGAAATCTCCAATCCTTGTGCTTATGGTAACCAAAACTTTAATTACATTTTAAGGGAAAGTGACGTTGATCAATGGAGAGAGAGAGAGTGTAAAAAATGTGTGTACTTTATTTTCTCCTCTCATTCTTTTCTTTTCTTTTCCTTAAGTACAAATGTTTTTAGTAACCAAGTGTCGTTAGCTCAACTGGTAAAGATCTTAGGCGAAACTTATAGGTCACTGGTTCGAGTGACGCTTGAGACGAAACTAATGTTACATACTGTGATTTCGGGTCTAGGAGAATTACGGGTTTTGACCCAGAACCTACTAGTATTCAAAAAAAAAAAAATGATTTTAGTAGTCAAGGCAACAGCACTATGGAACTTAGCCGTTACACTTATCCGACCTACCCTTACGAATATCGGAACAAATAGTCTAATATTTAATCCACAATAAAAAAAACAAAAATCCGTAAAAATGATAACTGGGTAAGTGATTACTGATTACTCAATAAAAATTAGTCGATTTGCTGAATACCCGACTCGTTATCTTTATCCATGAAATTATACTACTAGAAAATTAAGTCTCCTAAATGTTTTATTCTTCTTCTTATCTTTTTTTTGTCGTCAACCATATATTCTAAATGTTTTATTCTTCTTCTTATCTTACTTCTATAATCAACCTCATTTTAATATAGGGAATATATACAAAGTAACCATGAATTCAAAAAGAATATACAAACTAACCATGAGCTACAGTAACATGTCGGGAACATGTCGGAATGCTTGTGAAATTACGTAAGTGTCCTTTGTAACACGTTTTTTTCTCGAATTACATGTTATAACGTAATATAGATCTTTTTATCATGTTATTTTCTCGTATTACACATTATTTATAAAAAGCACATGGTATTTCTTGAAAAAACATTCTATTTAGTTTAATATCTCTCTTTATCATGTTATTTTATAGTAATACATGTTTTTTCTTTAGATTACATGTGATTTCTTTAAAAAAAGATTCTTATTTTGTAATATTACACGGTTTTTATTAAGATCACATGTAATTTTTTTTAAAAAAGATTTTTTTCAGGTTAGATTTTTCCATAACGATGTTTTTTCTTAAAAAATCACTATATTTTTCCAAATATCATGTATTTCAGTTTAATATAACATGTGAACTTTAAATGTTACATGCTATTTTACAAAATCTCACGAAATTGTCTTGCATACGGTTGAACTTGCAACAAACGAAGGATGATTTCGTTATTTCACTTCTTCTGACAAGGTGGGACCATGGCTATTTTGCAACAAAAAATTTTCTCTCTGCTATTTACTTAATTTGTGTGTCTAATTTGGCTATTCAGTAATAATTCCCTTTAATATATTCATTTTCATAAATTTACCTTAATTTTTTTTTTTTCTGGTCGGACCGCACATAGAAAGCCATTTTTATTCCACACATGTGGTGGACAAAGGAGTCAACTTCTCATGGTGGGCCAAAGCGTGAGGTCGAACATCAAGCCATTCATTGGCTATAAAGTTTTAATTATTTTCCGTTTCATTTTGTCGGATTACTTTTTCTGTTTTATTATTTAAAGTTGCATGCGTTTTATTGATATTAAGGTTGATTTACTCAGTAAACCATATTAGATCACAATATTAAGAATATAACACTGTATTGATTAAAATAATGGTCCTTCTCCATTTGTGTATTGGCGATTGGCAAAGCACTCTTTGTTGACATGGGCATTAACAACTACACTTAAACTCCACAAATTTTACAGCATAAAACTTAACCTCTAGAATCTTACAATGTTTGGTAAGAATATAATTGAACAGTTTCCTAAGATCTCCAAATATCTATATGGAATGATTTTTATGTGTATTATTGACATTTCCATTTTGAATAAATACATTCATGGGGATCTCGATGTTTGTTCATGTAAAAAGTAATATGTTTTTTAAGCTATCTAATTTCTCAAAAATCAAAATATTTAAGACAAAGAAGCTTTTTTACCTGAAATATCACTTTATAATAATTCATTTTTTATTTTGACAACATCAATTTATATTTGATCCTTTTTTTTCTTAAAAACCACGTACGTAACCTAATCTCGTACACACATTTCTTACTTTTTTTAGATAAAGACACACATTTCTTTCTTCCCCCTCAACTATTACAATAAAAAGTATAAACTACTTTATATCGATCTCAGCATATGCATCACTTTATTTTTCTTATTACATAGACGTGTAGAGATGCTTAAAAGCTTAAGTAGCTCATTAGGGATTTGCAATATGCGAATGGATTATTTAGTTAAAGTAAGTACGTAGGCATCTACGTTCTTCTTCCTCCACAGCCATTCTCCCTCTGGCAATTGAAGAAAGATGCAGCCACAGGGAGACCAAGATTGTAGATTTCAGCAAACTCACGAGTGTTGAACTGTTGGCGCCACCCGGGTGCATAAACTGTTTGTCTTCCGAGTTGCCGGAACAATACCAACACTATACGGTGAATTCCCGAGGGTGGACGTGGACTCTCGTAGCACACCACCTCATTGCCTGAAAAATAATCATAAACACACGTATTAGCCCTACAATAAAAGGTGTTTTTGTCGCTTATTTTATATAGATTAAAGCTTTGTTGGTTGCAACGGACATATAAAGCAGAGTATATATATAAACCGCTTTAGGTTTGTGATAACACGGAACATACTAATATATCTTCTTAAAATTATGTTTTGCAGCATAAAATAACTTATGTTTGTTTATGAATGCTCCATGCTAACACTTTTAAAGCCTAAGATTGTTGATTAATAATTGTATATATGCATGTATGAGTTTATCTATCTTCATATGTGACATAGTGTATCTATAGAGTTAATTAAACTTACCAAAGGCCGTTCCAGTTGTGGCAGGTATATCAGTCACCAACCTGTAACGAGAGTATATCCATTTAAGTTAAAGATATGGTGCAACCAAATTAAATAGTTAAATGCGACTGAAAACAAAGCATGCATCAAAGTTTTTGAAAGTTTCTTCTAAAGCATGTAGAATGGCCAGACTATAAAGAATAGACGTTTTGTTGCATGCAAGCTATGATATAACATGACACACTCTAAAACAGAAACTAACTCTGACCACCACAAAGTCATGTTCGGTACTTGTTTAAAGTGTCTCTGTAATTCATATAAAGAACATTTAATTGGATGTATACGACTTGTTTAAAGTCTTTTTTTTTTTTTTTTGGGATGTATACGACTTTTTCAAAAAAAAAAAAAAAAATTGGATGTATACGTAAGACATCTTTTTTTTTTTTTTTTTTTTTTTTTTTTTTTTTTTTTTGCTACTCTCTCTTAAAGTTGATTCAATATGTCCCCTTCTATTATTAGTAAAATATAAAATACCGTTTTTTGTGTGTTACTTGAGATATGTATTGGATCTCTAAATTTTAAAGTGTATATATACTGAACCTTTTTTTTTCCCTTTAAATTGTGGGAATTCTGGATTTTCGGTCTATAATTTTTTTAATATATTTATTTATTACGAGTAGTAGATTTATTATATTCGAACAAGAAGTTTGAGGTTATCTATTTAATCACTAAAGTTAAGTTATATGAAATAAAGAGAGATGATACAAACCAATGGAGATATTCTCGGAGGTGAGGGTTGCTTGGACTCGGCACATCTGGATCCACCATAACCTTTATTAAGCACGTCAACAACCGTATAAGAGAATATCGATTATGAAAATATTAAAGCAATCAATAAAGAAAAGTAAAGACGAAGAAGCTTAAATTAGAATAAAGGTTATAGTTTCATTTTCCATAAATATAAGAGTATCTAGAAATACTGGCTTGACTATTCAGATTCAAAAGTCGTTAAGATAAGGGTCAAATAAGATATTTATTTACTTTCTTGATATTTATGCAAATTTAAAAGTGAATATAATATTCAAGTTAACCGTGTCTTGAACATGTACGTAATATAATCCACATTCAAATTTGATTAAAATAAAGTAAAATCAAACTAATAGCGATTATGCAATTCAATAAACTGGAGGGAAAACATCAGGTGTGTAGTTGAGGCTATGAGAAATTTTTTTTTTTTAAAAACTACTTACACTTAAGTTTGGATTTGATAAAATATTAATAGTTTCATGGAGAAAATGAAAATAAAACATTGGGTTTTTAATTTGAATATCTAAGGTTTCTTCGACAATGGACGTTAGTAAAAAAACAAAAGAGTGAGCTAGGAAGAATTAAGCAGTGAAGAAAACAGGAAGGAGAAGAAGAACCAAGGTGTAGAAATTTCTGAAGTCGTCTCCTCCAATATCCACTGTTGGTTTGTTCAGAACTTGAGAGGGCCTTAGATCCAAGCCATTAGTAACCTCTCTTTGGCCATAAGTGACCCGAAGAGAGACCAATCTCGTGAAAGGATCAAGAACATCTCCAACAACACTTCCCACCACAAGAGGATCTCTACGACTTAAAGACATATATTTTGGATCTCAGGTGGTCTCAGTGTTTGCTTCTTACCTTATGAACCCTTACTTGCTATTCTTTATATAATGTTTTGGGAATTGCAATAATTAGCTTTATTCCCTCCAATGAAATCATGACCAGGGTCTTTTCGTGTATAGTCATCTTCGAGAATCTAAAACTGGTTCAACGTACGTACATCACTTATCGTCTTGAATTCATATTCTCTTTCCTTTTTTCTAATTTATAGTATTCCTATTCTCAAACCGACCATTATAAAACACAAATAATCATATTCCAAATTATACATCATCCACTTGATTCTTGCTATAGCCATTAGTATGTGATTTATTCGACTTACCATTGTAACTTACTGAACTATATTCCAAATAATGTCACAAGCATTTTTGCGTCACGTCACTCATTTAAATAGTTAAGGACATTACATAACACTAATTCTATCTGATATGTTAATGCATTTCAGAACAAATCCGTAAACCTAATTCACATATAAAAGTATATATGCTCGAGATAAATTGGCGCTAGCTATTATTGTTCACATATGTGGTTGCTTTGTACGTACGTACTAGACTTAATACCATTAAAAATATCAATTTTTAACAAAACAAACCAGCAAATTTTTTAAAATAACAGAGTAAATCAAAGTACAATAAGTAAAATAACAAGTAGACACAACATAACGAAGTGATGACAATAAAAGATAAGAGTTCAAAACCGGATAAAAGACACTAAAAACTATTGCAGTCTTTGCAGACCAATTGTTCATCTCCAGTTTGGTGTATTTGCAACCACGATAAGTCGTGAGCATACAACTTCAATGAATGCTGATCATTCCGGTGTTTACTAAACAAGTGTTGAAAACGAAAAAGAAAAGTATGTGAGGTTTGATTGCTACTATTTTTGCAGCAAATTAGTCTTCTTCTTCTAGTATATGAAAAAAAAGCAAAAGAAAGCACTCGTGAAACGTTTTGAAATATTTGAGATTCTTTTTACTCAAATCATAATATGGGAAATTGTGGAATTATCCATTTCTACAACAGTAACAAAAAATTTATTTGATGTTATTATATTTGATCTAGTGTTCATTTTTTTTTTAAAAACGAATTATAGAGGCAAACTCCATCTTGTACCGCAGACAGAATTGTTCGTCGTAGTTTTTTTTTTTTTTTATGTCAAGACAAAAGCTATTCATTATAAATATGATGTAGCCATGTAGGTATAACCTATCTATCATAAAGATCATTTGTATGGTCGTTTATAAACATTTGCAGTAAAAAGAAAAAAATATCTTCAATAATTAATCAATCAATGGACGTAAGCTTGGCCTAAAAATTTATATCAATTAGCAGAAGCCAATCGCTGCGTTTGCTTCGCCGTTTATAAACGCGTTCTTTTGACGGGAAAAAAAAGCCCTACGTGTCCTCCTAACGCGTCAAGTAAAAAAAAAAAAAAAAAGAAGCGTAAATTAGGAAAAACAGAGATAAATCCGGCATAGAGATTTTGGCGATAGAGAGAGAGAAGAAAATCGAAATCTATTGTCCATTTCCCCAATTTGCATATCATCGCTCTAGATTTCGCTGGTTTTGGATTCGATTCCTTCCCCATCTTCAATCGGTAAGATCGAGCTCCAAATTTTGTTCCTTTTTCCAATTTTCGCGAATTTGTGTTATCTCAATACCGTTCTTGTTTGATTCAACATACAATTCTTGTTTTGATTTGGATGCAGAAGTTTTTGGCTTTGAATTGGATTTGGGTTCGGTTCAAAATCAGCTCTTTTTTGTTTATCCGGGAGAAATCAGGTGAGTTTTTTTAGGTTTTTTGAATCTCCAATTGCTTCGTTGCAATGCTTATTGAGTTTTGAGTATTGAGAATTGTTTAGGGGTTTTATCTGTGTGGGTCTTGTTTTGAAGCATTTTTGTGTGTTTTGGATGAAAATAGGAGATATGCAGGACCAGCTCGTGTGTCATGGTTGTAGGAATTTATTGATGTATCCTAGAGGAGCATCTAATGTGCGTTGTGCGTTATGTAACACTATCAACATGGTTCCTCCTCCTCCTCCACCTCACGGTATCGTATCCATTTCGTAGTTGAATTAGTAGAATTTGAGGATGAGGTTCAAAAGTTAGTTTTGATACCTATGATCTCTGGAATTGTATTATAACTTGGTTTGGTTCTGATTCTGAATACAGACATGGCACACATTATATGTGGTGGTTGTAGAACAATGCTTATGTATACGCGTGGGGCAAGTAGCGTAAGATGCTCTTGCTGTCAGACTACGAACCTTGTGCCAGGTATATTAGTAATATCGTGACATCCATATCAATCATTTTAAAGCTCTATGTATTGCTTTAAAGGTCTTTTAGCTCTTAAGATTAAGAATCTTCTTTCACACTTTTTTTTGATCAAAACATTGTTCTTTGGAGATGCTTATGTAACCGTCTTTCCACTTTTCCCAAAGATGTATATGAATCTGAATTCTGAAATAGCTGGGTTTTGTAAAGCAGCTGAACATACTTTAAACAAAGGTTTTAGATGGTCCCGGTGGGCTAGGTAACTACTTGTGAGAGCTAGAATGGTTCATTACTGATTCGTTTGATCTACCATTAGATTCTTACCTTTAACTAGCCTCTAAGCTGTTACCATTTGGATGTATGATTATCTTTTATCCATAGCTGCTTAAGAATATTGCTGATTTCTTTTCGTTCAATTGTATTTCTCTTGCTTCTTGTTTTTTCTAGCGTTAGTTTTGCTTGCTGAAACTGTGCGTGACTTTTTTGAAATTGACAGCACACTCCAATCAGGTTGCCCATCCACACTCCAATCAGGTTGCGCAGATCAATTGTGGGCATTGTCGGACAACCCTCATGTACCCTTACGGTGCATCATCTGTTAAATGTGCTGTTTGTCAGTTCGTAACTAACGTTAATGTGAGTACTCCATCTATTAAGTCACTTCTGCATGGTTGAAGTTAAGTATAAATATCTTTCTGTTGGAAAAATTCATTCTTGATTCATTTTTCATCCTTAGATGAGCAATGGAAGGGTACCTCTCCCAACTAACCGGCCAAATGGAACAGCTTGTCCCGGGACAATGCCCTCTACATCAACTGTGAGTTGTCAAATTTTGAATTTGCAATAATTCTGTATATTCTTATGGAACTTGCACTTACTCTGTTAATCGATTTTTCATTTACCAACAGTCAACACCACCCTCTCAGACCCAAACTGTTGTTGTAGAAAACCCCATGTCCGTTGATGAAAGTGGAAAGTTGGTGAGTATTTCTATCACCTGTGTTCTTCTTCTTATTTACCACATTAGAGGAAAATATGATAAAGTGACTGAACACACACAAATTGCAGGTGACCAATGTTGTTGTTGGTGTGACCACCGATAAAAAGTAACCAAGAATGAGTGAGATCTTAAAGATCAAATCCAAATTCTTCATCTTTTCCTGCGTTTGGTTTGTGCATATTACATACGCGGAAAAACTGTATGTTTATATATCTCTGACTCTTTTTTTAACCTAAGAGAAAAGGCTGATCAGAATCTCTTGTTACTGCATTATTGGGGTTTATTCAAAGTTGAAGACACACATAAAGGTTTTTGCTCTAATAATTTGGCATTCTATTGCTCCATGGAACTTGACCTTCTCTTCTGTTTGTAGACTTGTAAAGTCCATCGGCCCTTGTGACACTGTTAATGTATGTATTAATATAATCTGATACACCAACCAAACATTAAGATTTGGGTTTGAAATCTGTCGCTTCTGTGATGAGATATGCTACATGGAACAAGAACTGGTCTTAGCTTTGGTAGATAAGACTTGTCTTAGAGCAAGTCTTGAAATCTGGAAATCTATTTTGCAGTAATCATTGTCACAACAACCATAACCTAATCAGTACCCTCCAAGAACATTAAAGTTAGATGATCAGTCAAAACCTCTCAACAAGACCAAACTCAAACTCTTTCCATATAAATACTCTTTAACACTGACACAAGGATTCATCACTTTCTCTTGATCACTCACTGCATCAACAATGGCCAGAGAGAAGATTGTGGTGGCTGGTGGTACCACAAAGAGCTGGAAACTACTCTTGGGGCTGAGAATATTTGCATTCATGGCTACTCTAGCTGCAGCCATTGTAATGTCACTAAACAAAGAGACAAAGACCTTGGTTGTGGCCACCATTGGTACTCTTCCTATCAAAGCCACTTTAACCGCTAAGTTTCAGCACACACCGGCCTTTGTGTAAGCGATTAAAACCTTATAAGGACTCGATTTCGATACCTATGAATTTAACACTGATTCTTGGTGAAAAATGTATTACAGGTTCTTTGTTATAGCTAATGTAATGGTGAGCTTCCACAACTTGTTGATGATTGTTCTTCAGATTTTCAGCCGGAAACTGGAGTACAAAGGTCTCCGTCTCCTCTCTATCGCCATTCTCGACATGGTATAAACATATATACTTACCATTATGTACTCACATTTTCGGCTTTTAGATCACTTTTCTTGGTTTGATTTGGATTGAATTAGTTCGGTTATATTCCGGATTAAAAACTTCAATATATGTGTTGACTTGGTTTCTTGATTATCTAAAAAAACGTTTGGGAAAAAGCTAAACGCAACTCTAGTATCTGCTGCTGCAAACGCGGCAGTATTCGTGGCGGAGCTGGGGAAGAACGGAAACAAGCACGCCAAGTGGAACAAAGTCTGCGACAGGTTTGCCACTTACTGTGATCACGGCGCTGGAGCACTCATCGCCGCATTCGCCGGAGTCATTCTAATGCTCCTCGTCTCGTCCGTCTCCATTTCCCGCCTCTTAACCAATTCTAAACACTTATCCACCACCGCCACCACAACTGCCGCCGTCTAAAACATCGCGGCCAAAATTCAGCAATATGTGTTTGTATGCATATCATAGATGTTGTGGCTTACTTTGTGTGTTGTCTCTTAAGTCACTATCAGATTGTCTAATGCACTCCCCTGTTCTATCACTTTCACATTTGTATACGAGTTTTAATTTCTCTTTTCTTTTTATATTTATAAAATGACATTTTTCACAAAGTATATAGAACAATGAGAAAAATCTACAATAGATGATTGAATAAACCAACTCAAGATAATTTATACCACCTTTTATTTCTCAATTACTACTTCTATTTATGAAAATATATAATTCTAATCAATTGTTACATTAAAATGAATTATATCAACCGACTAGAAAACAAATCACTATTGGTTCTATCGAATTATAGTTCCCATACAAGATGTCTCTAATAAATTTGAATCATAAAATCATAACTATTGAAATGCTTTTTTTCGTTTTGTTAGTAAAATTGAAGTAAATAGTAGTACAACTCTGATTTAATAAAGTTCGAGATAAAAATGAACAAAACTAACTGAATTTTAGATTAATTATATACTTTTAATTATGAAAATTCACAAAATGTATTTTGATGGTATAAATGGATTGAAGATTTGTTTATTACAAAAAAAAAAAAAGATCCCATTTGGCGGCTTCTTCTTATGTTCTAAACCCTTTTCTTAGATCGGACTCCAAGAAATCTACTTGCTTTAATCGTTACCCTAATAAATTCTTCTCTAAGTTTTTTTTTTTTCTAACTCAAAGAAGGAAAGAAACAAAAAAAAAAACCTCTTTTGCAGATATTTAACCAAAAGGTTTTAGATTTATATACGTTACAAAAAAATTTGGTGAGTCAAATTCAATCTTGAGAAAAACTTTGTTCCGAATCTTGACCCCTTCACGAAGGTACACTTATCATCTTACTCTCTATTAAATGGCGTAGATTTTTCTACTTACATGTTGTTTCTTTTCTCTTTCAGACACAATCTTTATGCGTTCTGGGTTTTTTTTTTAGGGTTTCGAAAACGGCACTGCATTTCAAGTAAGGGTTTTCATTTTTGTTAACAGATCTTTGTTCTTTCTTAGGTCGCGGGTTTAAAGTATCGATCTTTGTGAACCTAATCTCATTGTAAATGGACCAGCTTGCATCTCTAGCAGAGTCTGTGGCTATGGAGGTTTCTCTTCTTTATCCTTTGCCTTCTTTGATTGTGTTTTTGTTTTTGTAACCTCTAATTTGCATGTTTGCTAGATTCAATTCACTCTTTTTGTAGCACTGTTGCAGTCTCTGAATGTGGAATTGTGTATTTGTTACAGGAAGATTCTGAGAAACAATCGATTAAAAGAGAGAGTAGTCTTGAACCTGACTCTAGTCCTTCTAGTCCTAAAGTAAGCTTATATGAGTAATTGAGTAGTATCTGTCTCTTGTTAATTGGGTTTCTTGCAAGTAATTGGTTGGGTAAAGATGATGGCTTATGTATTTGCTAAACCCGTTTGAGTCTGAATCCAATGAATTCTAGTCTTAATCTATGGTTCTTGGCTCTTGCTTATCAGTATCTTCCTTCAAAGATCTCATCTTTCTGAGAGTGGTTCTTCTTGTTTCTGTTTTGGATTTAGCCATCTAATTACTTGGTTCTTAAGAATTTAGCAATCTCATCTGGAATCAGTTTCTTGTTGTTTGTTGTGTTACCTATCTGATTGTTCAAGAACAAATGAATCTGATTACTGAATGCTATCGTTTTGTTGCGTATTTGAAGATAACTGCTAGGTGGAATCCATCAGAAGCTTGCAGGCCGTCGGTTGATGACGCTCCCATATTTTATCCTACTAATGAGGTATTTAACTCTAGCTGCAGTTTTGGTTCTGTCTTGGTAGTTTATCTTTTCTGAAATTTTGATTCTTTTGATGCTTCGTGGTCAGGATTTTGATGATCCACTTGGTTACATAGACAAGTTGCGTAGTAAAGCAGAATCATATGGCATATGTCGAATTGTGCCGCCTGTTGCATGGAGGCCCCCCTGTCCTCTGAAGGAGAAAAAAATATGGGAGAATTCTAAATTTCCCACCCGGATTCAGCTGATTGACTTGCTTCAAAACAGAGAACCGATTAAAAAATCTACCAAAACCAAGAAGAGAAAACGGAGAAGAATCTCTAAAATTGGATACACAAGAAGAAGAAGAGATTCAGGCTGTGATACTGCTTCCTCTAGTGATAGTGAAGGAAAATTTGGTTTTCAGAGTGGGCCAGATTTTACCCTGGAAGAATTTCAGAAGTATGATGAATACTTTAAGGAATGCTATTTTCAGGCAGAGGATCATCCTGGTTCCAGAGCGTCTGAAAATAAGAAATTTAAACCTAAGGTTAAGGACATCGAAGGTGAATATTGGCGGATAGTGGAGCAAGCAACTGATGAAGTAGAGGTATGTACAGGCAGCAATATGATAACAGGTGTACTATTTCTGTTTTCTTGGTTTCACCATTTTCTTTTGCATAAATTCTTCTAACTTGCTACTCTTGTTTTTGGGCCTATGACAGGTGTACTATGGTGCTGACTTGGAAACAAAGAAATTTGGAAGTGGTTTCCCAAAGTATACACCGGGGTATCCTACAGATCAATACTCTGAATGTGGTTGGAACCTAAATAATTTGTCCCGTCTTCCCGGATCAGTTCTAGCTTTTGAGAGCTGCGATATCTCAGGAGTCATTGTGCCATGGCTTTATGTTGGAATGTGCTTTTCAACTTTTTGTTGGGTAAGTTACATTTTCTTAGGGTAGAATCTTTCGAATTACTGAATCGCATGAATAACCTTTTGATATTTCCTTGAATTTTTTGTTGCTTTAAAAAAAGATAATGGATTTCTCTTTAAACCTGTTATTTAATCAACATTATATTACTTAAAGGATGTCATACCTTTGGGACCAAAATTATGGAATTGATGCATTTCTGTGTTCTTTCTAGGAGCTATGTACTAACCATCTCCAGTATGCCCCTTACTTTGTTTGAAACAGCATGTTGAAGATCATCACCTTTATTCCTTGAACTACTTACACACGGGTGATCCAAAAGTTTGGTATGGGATCCCTGGAAACCATGCCGCGTCTTTTGAAGATGTAATGAAAAAGCGTCTTCCAGATTTGTTTGAAGAACAGCCTGACTTGCTACATCAACTGGTAAAAAGTTTCTCCCAATTCATTTTTCGTTTCAAGCGCTGCTAATAATTGGAGCTCCTGTGTAGTTTTGGAGATGATATGAGAGAGTTCTTTTTTGGTTAAGATAATATGTATCTCTTCCTGCACCTCCTCTTTTTGATCAGGTCACTACAGTTATCTCCAAGAATCTTAAAAGAGGAGGGAGTACCTGTCTATCGAGCTGTCCAGCGTAGTGGAGAATTCATTCTAACCTTCCCTAAGGCCTATCATTCTGGGTTTAATTGTGGTTTCAACTGTGCGGAAGCAGTAAATGTTGCACCAGTTGATTGGCTGGTTCATGGACAGAATGCAGTGGAAGGCTACAGCAAGCAGCGGCGAAAGAGTTCATTGTCACATGACAAGCTGCTTCTTGGAGCAGCTATGGAAGCTACTTATTGCCTCTGGGAGCTTTCACTTTCAAAGAAGAAGAATCCTGTGATTGCGAGATGGAAAAGGGTTTGTAGTGAGGATGGATTGCTTACAAAGGCAGTCAAGGTAATTCTGATTCTCTGTTCTGTTCTTTTTTGTGTGCTTACATATTCATGCATGATGCATGTACAAATACACAATCAAACAAGCATAGGCAATAATATGTTACATTTCATAGATTGACAATTATCATCTGAAGTAATAGTGTACTAGACCTGATTTTTGATAAGATTGAAACAAACATCTTCAATGAGACTAACATAGCTGAGGTTAGCAGAAGCGGGTGCAGATGGAAGAAGAAAGACTAAACCACCTTCAAGATGGTTTTAGCTTGCGAAAGATGGAGGGTGATTTTGACATTAAGAGAGAACGGGAGTGCTTCTTGTGCTTCTATGATTTGCATATGTCTGCTTCAAGCTGCAAGTGTTCCCCCAACCGGTTTGCATGTCTTACCCACGCTAAGGATCTGTGTTCATGTGAAAGTAAGGAGAGATTTATCCTAATTCGCCACACCTTGGATGAGTTATGGGCACTGGTCAGAGCTCTAGAAGGGGATCTTGATGCCATAGACCTATGGGCAAGTAAATGTCGTGACCAGTATCCTTCACAGCATCCGAGAGCAAGAGAATATTCTTACCTCAAGACTACCTCATGTTTAAAGAGCCGTGGTTCATCAAAAGTACAGCAGCGAGAACAAAACAATCTTCAGTTAGTGTCTGAACGCTTACAAAGTGATCTAACTACAAACAAGGAAGTTCAGTTGAAACAAGATGGTGATCAAGATGTAAATCACCATGGTCATGAAAGCGAAAGAAATCATGTACATGGCATCACTGATAAGTCAGCTGTCACGGATGTAAAACTTGGTGAGGGAGTTAAGTTTGATGAGAAGAAGATTTCGGTTGAATCTCAAAACCCAGATTCAGTTTCAGATGTAGGGTGTAGCGAGCTGGCGAAGAAAGTAGAGAGGAAGGACCAAGACGCTTCAACCAATAGGTTAAGTCTCTCTGTTGAGCTTTTGAACTCTGGATCTCTCGTTGTTAAAAAGCTGTGGTGCAGTAAACAAGCCATATACCCAAAAGGTGAGATGAATTGAGGATTTTGGATGAGCTTTGTACTTTAGTATTTTTTTTATGCCTTCTGAGACTTTTGCTTTTGATTGAATGTTACAGGGTTCAAGAGCCGTGTTAAGTTTTTAAGCGTGCTTGACCCAACAAAACTAACCAACTACATCTCAGAGGTTCTGGATGCAGGGCTTCTTGGTCCACTATTCAGGGTACACTAACTATGTAGTGGTTTCGAGAATATAACTGAAATCTTTTATCATTCATAACAAATGAAGGTGGTAAGTTACTGATCCATCAGTATTATTTCCAGGTCTCAGTTGAAGATTACCCCACTGAGAATTTCTCAAATGTATCTGCTGAGAAGTGCTGGCAAATGGTGACACAAAGGCTCAAACTCGAAATCATCAAGAAATGTGATCAACCAGTTAGCTCTTTGACCTCTTTACAACCTTTGGAGAGTATAAATGGGCTTGAAATGTTTGGATTTCTCTCCCCGCACGTAATTAAGGTGCCACTTAATATCTCATACATAGCATTAAAACTACGTTATCCTGAATCTTCTTGCGGTGGAAAGTTTCATCCTTTTTTTTTTTCTCTTTGCTGGATGAGAAGCACCCATCTTCTGTTTCAGTCCCCTTGGGCATCCATCTCTCTTACTCGTTTGCAAGACCAAATTTTCATATTGTCTGCAAGCGTTCTAGGACTGAAAGTTAACATTGTGCACAGGTGGTCGAGGCTCTTGATCCAAAGCATCAATTGGAGGAGTACTGGAACCAAAAAGCAGTTAAACTGTTTGGTGCTGAACCACCAAAGGAAGGAGAAAAGGATGACACAGAGAAAGGAGGGGCTTCAGATCCCTCTTTGGACAGGGACACAAGGCTTCTGCGTGGACTGTTGAAGAAGGCGACACCTGAAGAATTAGTAATGATGCATGGACTTCTGTGCGGTGAGACACGCAACACCGAGCTCAAGGAAGAGCTCTCTACTTTGGTAGATAAGATGGAGAAAAGTCCTTAATGATGAGCAAGCAGACACACACACTAACACCCTTTGAAGTTGATTGTGTTTGTTGTTCCTTTGGTATGTGTTCAGGTCAGTTAATCTGTATCAGTCAGAGAAATCTAGAGAGGCAATACAAAAAGTATGACAAAAGGGTTACTTCGTTGACATGTCTTTCCTTTTTACTAAAAAAAGGTTTAGGATTTAATGAATGATTGTACTGTATTGTATTGCATTTGCAATGTACCATTGTTCTCTATTTCATTTGCTTCAGTTGAAGAAAAAGGAAAAGCTGTATGATTTCAGACAAAAACCAGATTTAAATTGAACTGTTTATTAAAATTCTTGTCAAATGAAGAATAGCAAACCAGCCTCTGTATTAACAAATAAAAATAAACAGACTTTAGATGTGTTTGCTTTTGTTTTAATTGAATCATTCACACACAATACTTTGAAGTTTGAACTAATATGATAATATATCTTTTTTAATCTTTGGCTTGTAAAGAAGCAAAGCGTAGAGAAATCTGAATCTGTACAAAGAGGAGAAACTTTAAGTGAGATCATCCTCGTCTAGATCGTCATTAGTGTTCATCTGAATTGCAGTAACATCTCCAGTGGGTAGCTTTCTAGCCAACTTGATGATCTGCAGACAAAATACTTCACCGTATTAGATTCCATTAGTTTCAGGAACCTTTCTATGATCATCTTGTGCCACAATAGGCAGCATAATGCAGAACAAAAACATTCGGAAACACAGAGAGACAGGATTAGGATTAAACAGATCATTTAAGTAAATTACCATATGATCCAAATTCGAGACAGTGCTTGAACTCGCCACCTTCTTGATTTCTTCAATATCACCTTCATTATAGGCTGTGAGAAGTCTACTAGCACTTCGGCTCTGATCACTCTTCAGAAAAGCATCAATCCTACCCAAAGGAAGAAAAACATTCAGACACTAGTTCGGTATCACAGTTCCTAAATCATTCATGTTTTCTAGTTCGTAGTAACATATATTATTATCATTGACCTACTGACTGGCTGCATAAAGAGAGAAGTATACTCACTGAGAACAGTCGTTGTAGCATTTTTCTGCCTGCTGCAAGTCATGAGCATACAGATATAAGATGATTGCACTGAGATAGGCCTGAAAGAAATTCAGAAAACAGTTAACTCACAACAATAACATTCAGAGAGACAGGGAATTGGTCTGAGCTAAGCAGAAAGCACCAAGGTTGAGCAGAGATGGAAGCAGATGGCATTACAAGTTAAGAGCACATATTCTCATACCTTACACTGGCTATTTGTGGCATCGCACTTATCAGCAGCAACACCCAATCTTAAGAAAAAGGTTGCAGCATCTGTGAACCTACAATGTTCCAATAAATTACTATATCAGATAGAGGGAGAAAAATGTTCCATGATACCTACTACTAACTGATAAAATATCCATGTGCAATTAAAAATTTAACCTCATGTTATTTCTAAGAACGCAAGAACTTACTTCTCGAGCTTTATGTAGACATTAGCACAAGCACGGTACAGATCAAAGGCCATTTGGTCCCTTCCATCCTCTTCAAGAATTTCACAAGCATCAGTGTATAGTTGGATGGCGTCATCTGGTTTGACATCTTCCAAAGCACTGAAACATAAAATTATTGAAGATGGAATAAACAAAAACGCATTTAGAAATAGATAGTTAGATACAAAATCATGAAATCCGATTTCTTGCTCAAGTTGTCAACATAGAAATACCGGGCAGCCTTTCCAAGAGCATCTGATGCAGGTTGTGCTCTTCCACACTCAACATACAGCTCAGACGCCTTTCTATAAAAATCAACAACTTCATTCCAAATACTTAGCTTCTGTGCTAAGGCAGCAGCAGACTCCATATGCTTTGCAGCATCCCAGGGACTATTTAATATCAAGGATAACACTAAAGAGGAAGCTATGTGGATACAACCAAAATTGAACAGCAACAGATTATAATCTTTAACGGAAAGTTTGGATACGAAGCTTGCATCTCTTGTCCTTTTGAAGCTTTCTCGAGAGCCACTTTAGCTTTCTCATATTTGTTTGATGCTCTAAACCCATTTGCTGTTGTCCATCAATGAATATGAGTAAAAGGAAAAATTCAAAATCAGTTTTCAATTATGAATGAAAAGAATCTGCCATGCTTATAATATTTCTAGTCTCCAAGCTTTTAGAGAATAATAGCATTTGGAGAAAAAAATAGAAATCTAAAAACTTAGTTTCTGCAATAAAAGAAAGTACACACTATTACCCACCTGCTTGCTCATACAACTCAGTAGCACCTCTCCAATCAGCACTCCATCTAGTAAGCGTGAGCTTTGTCCTGTAAGAAATGAAGAATCAAAGATGCTTAAAAGGATGGATAATAACAGAAGCAGATCACTGAAATGTAGAAATGTAAAAACATAACAACACAATTTATTAAGCAAAGACGATATTCCTATCAAACCAATCCAAAATGATTTCTCAATCCTTGACAAACTGGAAATATATTACATTTCATACTCATTATCAACTCTTAAAGCCAATACAATTGCAATTTTCAATTACAGGATATACCAAAAAAGAAGTCATTAACAAGAATTTGCAGAGCAGCTCGAAACTCTCAAAAGACAAATTTTTGAGTTCAAAAGCAGACTCAAGTCTCAACAGAAGTGTTCTTTATACTTTAAGCAAACTCTCATATTGTTCCTATGCAACAATACACAAGATCCAAGATTCTTCTTTTCCCCCAACAAAAACCTTGATCCAATCTCAAGAATCGATCACGAGAAGTTTCTCAATCACAGTAACAAAAGAAAACCCTCATATCATAAGAGCACAATCATCTCGATAAACCCAAAATGCCCTAAAACCCGATTTGAATTTTAACTTCCACCGATCATTTACCTCTCGTACAGAGACATTCACATAAATGAGAAGAGAAAGAAAAGCATACATTTTGTCGGCTTTGGACATCATTTTGTCAGGATCCGAAGACATGACTGCCTCAAATATTCAGTAAAAGTTCCCGGCGATTTAGCGAACTCGGAGATCGATCTGCAAATATAGAATCGCTTTCACTATCTGATCAAAGAAAGGGATTTGCAAAAAAAATCTTCTATTTTTAGTTAAATCTTATTACCGAAATTATTGGACTTTATCTTCCAGATATATAATAAAATCAAATAAATTTTCATTTTTTTTTCTTGAACTCCTGAAAACATTCTCTTTTTTTTTTGGTAATTCGTGAAAACATTCTTATTTAAACAAACCAATACATACTTTGTAATGTTTCAAATTACACCATTTTGTGAGATTCTAATTCTCATAGTTTAGATGAAAGTTAACAACTTTGTTGATAAAAGTACAAACTTTATACTAAAATCAACTTATAATCTCACCTTCTCTGGTTCACCTTCACAAGTCAAGCTCATGAATTTAACCTTGTACCAAAAAAAAAAAAAAGTCAAGCTCATGACAATAAGCATGATTCTCAAATTTATGATTTTAGGTAAGAAGTAGAAATCCAACGTTGAATCTCCTACACCTTCTTCTATCTCTACAATCTCCACTCTATAAATTACAATACCATTGAATCCAAACATCATCAAACAAACAACTTCAAAGCAAAAACAAGAACCATCTCTTGCTAAGAACTCCAAAAACAGATCAGCTACAATGTCAATCTCAAGAGTTTGTCTCTGCCTAATCTTTCTCACACTCGTCGCTTCCCCACTTGTGCTCTGCTCTCGCAGCCCGAAACTCGCAGCACCATCAGCTGCAATAGGGAAGAAGCTTGGGAAAGGACATGTTCATTCTCCCGCAATGCTTGTTTCTGAGTCACCCAAGGTTGATTCATCATCCTCCATGACCAAGATTGATGAGCCTGCAACAAACTCTGCCATAGCCGGTTTTTTCAGGTATAGGTTCCCATTCCAAGGCTGGCCTTTCCACAAGTATGCTCCTTTTCCAATGGGTACGCCTACGAATCCTTCCTCCCCCGCAAGTGCAACACCGTCTTCTGGATCTGCTGCTGCTGAGGAAGAGGAATCCGAGAAGGTGCCTTCTACGCCAAGCAAAGGAAACAGAGATGGAGGCAACGCGTAATGAATGAAGACAAGAAATGTTTTCTACTAGAACCTTATTGTGTTTTAATGACTGTTGAATCTTTCCTCTAGTTTTACATATTGTAACAATAAAATGTACCATGTATTATAAATGCTATGTGACATTTACATGGAAAAATGAAATGAATACAATTTATCTTATCTATCAAGCTCTGTGTAATATACCAGCTTCATTGGTTCGAGGCGATCTTCACTGTGACAGACATTGGAATATGAACAACATGTCCTGCAGTTCCAAACAGCTTGACTCTCCCAAAACTAGCAATAGAGCTGTTCTTCTTTGCTGTGAGGATTACACTAAGTAGCTTTGTCTCTCCACTGGCTATAGAGAATTGAGTAGGAGATACCTTCACCAAAACATCAAAAGGAGGAATCAAACTGACAGTATAGGTCTCATTTCCAGCAATGTTTGTCATTAGTCTTTGGACAGTTCGAGTGTTGTTAAGCCTTGAGTGAGACAGTGATGGATGGCAAATTGAGAAAAACTAAGAAAACTTCGATTATTATATATCTCTCGGGCGTTAATGTAAGGCGGTGTGATTGATTTGTAGCCCTAACTTCCTGAGGAATTTTTTAATTTTATCCCTCTGGATTAAATTTTTTTTACCAACTTGTCCTTTGAATTAAATTCGGGAGAGAAAAAATTCTGTCAAGTTTAATCATTAAAAGTCTTAGGGGGTGTTATTCATTAATAGAGTTAAAGTCAATTCTTAAAGGTTTAGATTTGATTTCTGATATTGTTTTTAACAATCCGTTTGTGTGGAGTTCAAAATCTCTGCAGTATATCTAGGATTATGATTATAATAATTTACTCATGAAATCCAAAGATGTTTCATTTCAAATGATTTGATATACAAAGATTTTACAAGTCTTTTAGTTTTGAATAACACTGGATTTTAATGAAGCATTTTAAATCTTACTTGAATAACACCAAACTTTAAAATCTATTAGAATTAGATTTAGAATCATTAGATTAATAACACTGGATTAGTGTTGGATTTCAATTCTATTAAAATCCATCATTGAATAACACCACGTTAACAAAAAATATGTTATGATAATCATTAAAAATAAAAGGATAAAGGCAACTATATATCCTCGGAAAAAAAAAAAAAAGACTAGTTTCTTCTACAAGAAAAAGAAGGAAATTAGGGTTTTAATCTTCTTCGTTTTGGAAAAGGAACCATAAAATTCTATGAAACAGTTTCTGTCGGATCAGGAACCATAAAAAAATCTATAAAACAGTTTCTGTCCGGATCAAAGCAAGATCTCACAAAATTCGAGAAGTTGAATACGGACAGTACTCAATCAATCAAAGGAAAATCTAGAGTTTTGGGTTGTTGTGAATTGGGATTGACGATGTTCGACTGTTACGCTCCAGAAGTGCCACCGGAAAGTAAAAGGAGGAAGAAGACCAAGGAGACGTCTCACTCGTGGTCTGGGTTATCGTTGTTACCGGATGAGATAGCTCTGAGATGCTTGGCTCGTGTTTCGAGATTTGACCACGCGGCCTTATCTCTCGTCTCCAAGAGCCACCGCTCTCTCGTAGCTTCCATTGAGCTCTTCTACTTGAGATGGGAGATGGGTTGCACCGACGTGTCTATGTACGTATGCATGAAAGTCTTTCCTGACCCAACTCCACGGTGGTTCATTCTTACCCCTAATAGACGACTGAACCCGATCCAGTCAAACCCTTACCAGCCTCCGGATTCATCTTCTTTCGTTGTGGTGGATGGGGGAATCTTTGTAATTGGTGGACTCATCGACGACATTCCCACTACGGATGTGTCGTTCCTCGATTGTTACTCTCACACATGGCACCGCGTCAAGTCCATGAATATGCCTCGAGCTTCCGCATCGGCATGCTTCGTAGATGGGAAGATATACGTGTTTGGAGGGTCCGAGCATTACGCTCATGACCATATATGGGCAGAGGTATTTGATCGAGAGACTCAAACTTGGGCCCCTTTCTTGTTTTTGACCCACAATTGGGATTTTGAGATACCACAAAATAAAATTATCCACCAGAGTTTGGCTATAGAGGTGAAGAAGATTTTCGCGCTGAATGAGAAAGATCGAAGATTCTACGTCTTGTCAAGCGATGAGATAGTAAACACAGAGGATTGGTGTATCATTGATAAACTATTGTACTGTCGCGGTACTCGCGGAAAAATCTTATGGTGTGAGCTAGATGAATTGGATTGGAAGGAAGTTAAAGGTTTGGAAGATTTGCAACACTCTCTCTCTAGTTCGAGACATTCCTTTAATATCAACAAACTCTGCAGCAATTCTGCTGGAAATATTGTTATCTTTTGGATCGCCAAGAGTTTGGACCTTTGGTGTGCCGAGATTTCCGTGGAGAGACTGCAATGGAGGCGAGATTTGGGGCAAGATTGAGTGGTCTGGTGTTGTTTTTGAAGTTGATCCTTTCTTACACTCATCATATGGTGTTAAGGTCTTATATTCCGCGTCTGTCTATGTATGAAATTATAATCTTCACAGTCTTTGTTAACTACACATTCTTCTATCTCTACAATCTCCACTCTATAAATTACAACACCATTGAATCCAAACATCATCAAACAAACAACTACAAAACAAAAACAAGAACCATCTCTTGCTCAAAAGTCTAAATACAAAACACAAATTCAGCTACAATGTCAATCTCAAGAGTTTGTCTCTGCTTAATCTTTCTCACAATCGTCGCTTCCCCACTTGTGCTCTGCTCTCGCAGCCCGAAACTCGCAGCACCATCAGCTGTCATAGGGAAGAAGCTTGGGAAAGGACATGTTCATTCTCCCGCAATGCTTGTTTCTGAATCACCCAAGGTTGATTCATCATCCTCCATGACCAAGATTGATGAGCCTGCAACAAACTTTAGCCGGTTTTTTCAGGTATAGGTTCCCATTCCAAGGCTGGCCTTTCCACAAGTATGCTCCTTTTCCAATGGGTACGCCTACGAATCCTTCCTCCCCCGTAAGTGCAACACCGTCTTCTGGATCTGCAGCTGCTGAGGAAGAGGAATCCGAGAAGGTGCCTTCTATGCCAAGCAAAGGAAACAGAGATGGAGGCAACGCGTAATGAATGAAGACAAGAAACGCTTTCTACTAGAATCTTATTGTGTTTTAATGACTGTTAAATCTTTCTCTAGTTTTACATATTGTATCAAATAAAATGTACCATGTATTATAAATGCTATGTGACATTTACATGGAAACATGAAATGAATACAATTTATCTTATCTATCAAGCTCTGTGTAATAATAACAGCTTCATTGGTTCGAGGCGATTTTCACTGTGACAGACATCGGAATATGAACAATATGTCCTGCGGTTCCAAACAGCTTGACTCTCCCAAAACTAGCAATAGAGCTGTTCTTCTTTGCTGTGAGGATTACACTAAGTAGCTTTGTCTCTCCACTGGCTATAGAGAATTGAGTAGGAGATACCTTCACCAAAACGTCATAAGGAGGAATCAAACTGACAGTATATGTCTCATTTCCAGCAATGTTTGTCATTAGTCTTTGGATAGTTCGAGTGTTGTTAAGCCTCGCGACAGTGACGGATGGCAAATTGAGGTCAGCTCCGCTGATTGTTGCATTGCTAAGCAAACAATTTTTGCCGGTGTAGTTGAAAACCACAGGAGCTGATCCATTGATTCCACAAAGAAATGACATATAGTCTTCAAAACCTGCATAAATAGACCGTTAGAATGGTCTACATTTGGTTATAAGAAAATTTTAAAAACGGCCATGGTTATGTTAAGTTTTTAACTCACTAGTATCAAAGATTAGGCCAGGATCCAAAGCTGCGGTTGCATTCACAAAGCCATTCCCCATATCAAATGGGGTTGCAGGAGATAGGGTTTGATCAGGATTAGCATAAGCACGTTGAGCCATTATCGCCTCGCCTTTATTGTCAAAAAGAACAGAGGTTGTTGACAGTGCAGATGCAATAGCTGAAGGACTAAATTTTCTGAATTTCTGCTTGACCAAGGCAGCCACACCAGCTACATGAGGAGCAGCCATACTCGTACCAGACATCATCGCGAAACTCTCTCCTAAACGGAGCAAAAATAACACAAGAGCTTAAATGGAAATGTCATTATTTTAACAATGTCATGCTTTGGAGATATTTTGTATACCTTCAAACTCAGTGGATTCAGTGGCAGCGGAACTCCAAGCGCCCCAAATGGAATTTCCAGGAGCTACAAGATTTGGTTTCAAAATGTCGGCGTCGTTAAAGAGGCTGTCTTCTGGATCAGGTCCTCTTGCTGAGTAGTACATTATCTTGGGAGCTCTGTTACTGAAGTTAGCATTTTGTCCACCTGCAATGGCTGCAACTGCCCCAAATCTAACAATCTCTTTGGTGGTTCCATCTCTTACAAGAGAAGAGTTATAGTACTTGAGTAAAACCTATTAATGAATTAACATATCATTATCAGATTGCTCTTCGAGAAGAATCAAGAAAAGAAGTGATATGTTTCTAGTTATGTTCTCACCTTGGAATCATCTGAGGATGGAATTATGATGCCGGGCATGTCCATTGGTGTAGGGTTAATCTGGAAACCAAGGACATAAGGGTCCATGTAGAACACAACACCCTTTGCAGATAGATTCTTGGCAACAGCTAAAGCTTGTTTAATAGTGGAAAGCCCGAGCACGAAACGGATAGAGTAGCTACATATCAGGAGATTCCCACGGATAATATCTTTATCGAAGCTGTCATCGTCTTGGCATTCACCTACATACATGTCTTTGTCGAGTACTAAACTTTTGTTCTTCAATGCATCAAGAGCAGAGATCATTGTGTACACCTTGCCTTGATCTGTAGGAACTAGAAGAAGAAAACAAAACAGCAATTCAAAGCTAAGGGCCTAAGGCATTAAGAAAGAAAAACTAGCCGATGAAATGAAATAAGACTTACGTGCAAGTCCTATGCCTGGAATAGATACATTGTTGCCTAGAATTATCGAATTAGAGTAAACTCGATCGTGAGTAGCAGCACCAACTGTGAAAATCCATGGGCTGAAGGAAGACATGCTCTTAGGAGAAGGACCTGTATTCCCTGCAGCTTGCACAACGAATATACCGGCCTTAACAGCGGATAGCATAGCCATATCTAACGGGTTAAAGAACGTGGCTACACCAGGAGGACGTCGATTAGGTGTGATGGATAGACTTAATATGTCAACTCCATCTTGAGCTGCCTAACAAGATTCATAACCAACTGAAAAGTGTCATGAAAGGATCGATACTAATAGTCAATGGAAAGAAAAGGTAAATGCTTTACCTGATCTATAGCAGCAACAACATCTGCAGCAAATCCCCCAAAACTCTTATATAATGCCTTGTAAACAGAAATACTGGTACATATCAAAACATGTCATTAGTACACTCAATGTATTATAAATGATAAAAAGATGGTATCTGGTTAATGTATATTTACATACTGAGCACGAGGAGCGATTCCACTAGCACTTCCAAAGTTATGGCCAGAAACTACTGCTGAGACCCCATGGTTACCCGCTGCAATGGAAGCTGTGTGCCTGTTTCATCAAGATAACAATATTTAGTAGCAGAATATGAAGAAGATGCCAATGATGTTCAACATTACAAACAAGTTATACTTACGTGCCATGGCCATCACCGTCAAAAGGTGAAGCATAGTCCTCAGATGAATTAAAAATCCCTCTAGTAATAGCTGACTGCGCGAAATGGCGAGCTCCAACAAGCTTCCTATTACATGAGCCTGATGGGAAATCCGGTGTAACTTCACAAACACCTGAGAAATGATTAGGAATCGGATACTGACGCTGGGAAGTGTCAGTAGCATTGAAACTAGGGTGAGTAGGGTCAATGCCAGTGTCGATAAACCCGATAACAATTCCTTCTCCAGCAGTTTCATATCCACCTTCTTTAACCCATGCACCTTTTGGTAGACCCATGAACTGAGGTGTATAAGTTGTTGCCGTCCTAACAGAAAAATCCAACACTATGTTTGCTACTTCCCTTCTCTTGGAAAGCTTCTCAGCCTAAGATAAAATGAAGGAACTTTAACACAAAAGATAACATAGCATAGTATAAGCTCATAGAGATATGGTAGGATCAAGATTACCTGTTGTGAGCTAACAAAGACAGCAAAACCATTGATGAGATAATGGAAGCTATAAAGCTTTATATACTTCTCTCCTTTCAATGCATTTCTCAACAAAGAGTCATGAGCTTGAGCAATTGCTGATCTCCTTGATCTCCAATAACGTGACTTTGAAATGTTCCTATAAAAACAGAGAACCAAAATAAACACCAGACAAGATTCTACACAACAAAAGACTGAACCTTTACAAACAGAGAATCATACAATGCATGTACCTAAAAGTGAACTCTTTCTAATTCAGTGATTAATTCGTTAACCAAAATCTGAATTACAAGATTCCAAAGCACAATTCAATTACCTTGGTTGAAGTTTTGGTTTAGTAAACTTGGAAGTGTCTCCATGTTTGGAATTATCTCTATGACCCTGTTCTTCACCTCTGCTTCTTGTTGGAAAAGATGAAGAGAAGGAGCTTGTCTTAGAGTAACAATGTAAACAGCAGTAGTAGAGTTTATATCAGAATCACCACCATTATTATCTTGTCCAAATGAGTTCGACAAAAACCCAAAACAGAACAGAAGGAAAACCCCAAAATTCACCATCAAAACTCTCATCATTTTTCACTCACTGATAAAATAAAATAACCCTACGAAACCAACCAATTGCTTAAATAAGAAAGATAAAGAGAGAGGAAAAAGCTGCAAAAGAAGAAGAAATCATTAAGCAAACATGGTGAATAGTAAGTGGAATGTGCAGAAGAAAAAGGAACTGCCTTTTGTATCTTTTTCGTGTTGGAGACGGTGAAAAGAGAAGAGTGTGCTCATATTTATACTTATTAATATTATTATATACACAAGGTGGATTGGATTATATTCAGAAGAAAGAAGAACCCAAAACTCACGAGAATCTGAAACCTTTTTTTGTTTCTTGGATTCTGTGGATATTTTATGAACGTTTTAACTACACTACAGGGTCCCAGAACGATAGGCAATGAAAAGGACGAGCACAGTGTTGTTGAAAAAACCAGAGTTTTGCAAAATTTAGCTGTTAGAACTTGTCGGGTCCCATTTTTATCCTCTTCATAGTTTTTTTTTTTTTTACTTAATTCAGTTCCACAGATTTCCTCTGAAATTTTAAAAGAAAACATTGTAATAACAAAGTGTATCTTGATTTTGATCATATATAATAACCTTATCAATAAGAAGAAATAGTCTGATACTAAATGAAAACTCCAATCTGTAACGAACTTTGATTAAGAAATAAACAATAAGTAACGACTATATACTAAACATATGATTAAAGTTGTAGCAGCCTTGTTATTTTCTTTGATCTTTTAAAAATTTAAAGCTGAGATTTAGCAATGGTGGGGCTAACGTAAAGCATCATTAGGAGTGTTAATGGGTTACACCACTGTTTTTGACTTTTTATTTCCTTTCGTACTTTTCTTTTGTTTTCTATCCTAACCTCCAACGGCACAATTCTTGTAATGAGACGATTCTTTTTTTTTGGTGTTTGTAAAAATATCTCTAACAATGTCACAATGAATCAAACGCAATGCCAAATTGCCAAACAATCGGAGTGGGCTGTCAGTTATCACTGATCAAATCTTGGTTAGTGACCAAAGCCAACCAAACCTTATTGAAGAATTGAGCTCTTGTACTTTTACAATGACCAGTTAGATTTGAATGTTCTAAATATAATTTTCTCTATAAACAAGCATTACTTACCATTCAATCTTTAACCATTTAACTAACCACACTTATGCACAATTTCATTTCATCAAAGTTAACATATTATAAGAATGAAACACAACCAAACTGAACCACAATGATTTGTGTTAGATTTCAACTATATATCAAAAAAATCATAAGGTAATGCGAATATTCCAGACTTTCATCTTCTGATACATCAACAAGTTCTTCATCACAAAGAGCTGAATGTATTCACGGTTCACCACAACATCCATAGCTCTCTAAACAAGGTTTAACTTCTACCTAAACAATCCATAAACAAGGACCAGAGGTAATTAATAGTAGAACTGATTTAGCCCTAGTTCGAGTAAGATTCAGATGGGATCAATAATGGCACTCGATATCTGATTAGTTTCTAACATTCTAAGAGGGGATTAAGTTCCTCTAAATGGCGCAAGAAAGTTATTGTTCCAACCTCAAAAGAGTTAGCAATGTAAAACAATCCTAGAATTAGATGTTCACATCAAAAAGACATAACAAAGTTTAATGGATTCGTTCTTAACAGAAACACAAGAAGATAAAGGCAAAGACACTCACTCGTCAACAAATCTACAGACTTTGCAAGCTAAGATAGATGAGAGATTGCGGCTAAAGTCAATGAAAGGTAACATGATAGCACGATACTGTAAACCTGAGGAAGTTCAATCAAACAACTTAAGCGTTCTCACAATCTCAAGAAAACAGCGACAAAAACAGTAAAAAGCCGAGACAAGAGTCATATTCATTCACTGCTAACCTAATCACTGCTGCTGATTGTGTTGATTAGGCGGTGGTGGCATGCCAGGACGCGGTGGAGCAAAACCACCAGGAGGAGGAGGCATTCCAGGGCGAGGCGGAGGCGGTCCTTGCATCCCATGAGGTGGAGGAGGTCCTCTCATCATACCACCAGGAGGAGGAATCATTGGCCTCTGCCCATACTGAGGCGGTGGTGGTCCAGAAAACTGCTGTGGCGGTGGCCTCATACCGTAAGGCGGTGGAGGACCTCTTCCCATTGGAGGACCTTGACCACCAAAAGCTGGAGGAGGTGGCAACATCTGTCCCGGAGGTCGAATAATCGGAGGAGCTGAAAGCTGAGGCGGACGAGAGATCTGAGGCTGCATCATCCCCGGAGCTGGTCCACCAACACCACGAACAGGACCAGATAGCCCAGGCTGAGCTTGAACTAATGGACCAGTTGGAACTCCACGCCCAGCGGCACGGCCAATTCCTGGACCAGCAACAGCAGCTGCAGAGCCAGCTTTAGCACGAGATTCTTCAGGAGGAGGTGGTCCTTCAACAGTCATTGAGATAACTTCTTCACCTCTAAGCAAAACCAAACCTAGCGTACGGCGATCTTCACGTTCCTCGTTGATCTTCTTCCCTTTCGCTGGTGGAAGCTTACGAAACTCCTCGCAATCGCCGAGAACGAGGTTCATGTGACGGTCAAACGCCATGAACTTCCCAACGAGCTGTCTTCCGTCTTGGATCGTCACTCGCATCCTGTAGTTGATGAACTGAAGCATCTTTGAACTCTTCGACATCGACATTTTCGCCGATTAAACAGTAATAATCGCTAGAAGCAGAGATTCGACCGGCGAATCGAGTACGCCGGAAGATTCGAAATCGAGCTTAGGGTTTCAAAAACTAAATCGAGAGGCCAAAATTGGGGGTTTTTGGCTGTGCGAATCGGGAAGTAGGAAATTTCTAGGGTTTATAAAAGAATGCACTCTTGTTTATGGGCTTACTTTCATTATGGGCCCAAACAAACTTGGGCTGCAGTTAGTTATATATTTGACTATAATATTTATTAATTTTGTTTGTTCACAAATTGGTTTTTTTTTTTTTATAATTAATTTGAGTCTCCAAGTTTCACTAGCTTAGAGAAATTGTAAAACCTGACAAATATTTTATGGAGCAAAATCAAAGTTTAATCGGGAACAAAGGTCTAAAGTCGAAGATCAGACTAAAACATATTTGATAGATGGAAATATGGAATAAAGAAACACTCGGGGATACTTGGCATTAGCGTGCATCAGGAATATGTTCAGGACCAAAGCTTGTACTCGGTTCAAGAGAACTTTTAGAGTCCACGTCATGTCTCCCTCCTTTCCTTGAGTTCTCAGATAAGAGACACTCTTGTAGTTCATTAGCAACCTGGGACATGTTTGGTCTTCCAGATGAAGATGGACTAACGCATGACATTGCTAGCTCAAGAGCCTTCCACAATGAACTAGTGTCATAATCCTCATTCAGACTTGGATCCACAATATTTTTTATATCTCCATTGGTTAACTTAAATCCCACCCATTCTCTTATGTGAGACTTTTCACGAGTTTGGTCAATCACTGGCTGACTTGTGATGATTTCCAGTAATACGACTCCAAAACTAAAGACATCGCTCTTCTCTGTCAACCAGTTTGTTCGATAATATCTATAATACAAATGAATTAAGAAATTACCATATGGAAAAAAGGAAGATATAGTTTACGTTCATTAAGTTCTCTGATAGACCACTTACTCAGGGTCAAGATAACCTGGAGATCCAGCAACATTTGTTGATACATGAGTTTCACTTCCCACTGGAAAAGATCTTGAAAGCCCGAAATCACCAAGTTTAGCCTGGAAATGATTATCAAGAAGTATATTCATAGATTTGATATCTCTATGAATCATTGGTGGTTTGCAGCCGATATGTAAGTACTCCAGTCCTATATAATACACAACTCATAAAAGGTTTATATCAAACTCACCAAGAGAAGTGAATTGTTTACCATATTAAAATAAAACTGAGAACGAACCTTGTGCTGTCTCTGCAGCAATTCTTAGCCTATTTTCCCAACTCAAAGGGGAGCTAGCACATTCTCCTGTACTCATAAAGAGGTGTGTGTGTCAAAACATAAAACATGACACATCATTGTTTTTGTAAACATATAGGCAACAAATTTATAAAATAAAATAAAAATAAAAAATACAAATTAGGTAATCAAAGTTACCAGATAGATGTTGTTTTAAGTTTCCATTGGACATGTACTCATAGATGAGGACCAAGTGTTGTCCTTCATCACAATAACCAACAAGAGTTACCAAATTTATGTGGTGTACTCTGAGAAGAAGGTCTACCTACATCAAACCACATGTAATCCAAAAGTTGGTAAATCATATATATACATTTTCTATGACTATGTGAATAAATTGATTATGGTGAAAGTACCTCAGCTTTAAATTGCTTATAACCTTGAGCTGAGGATTCAGAGAGCACCTTAACAGCCACTTGTTCGTTACCATTTAAATTACCGTGGTACACGACTCCAAACCCTCCTTCGCCAAGAGTTCTCTCAAAGTTATTTGTAATTACCGCAACCTCTTCATAAGTAAAGCTTCTCTTGTTCGCCACCATTGATGAGCGTGAAGCTGGAAAATTATTATCCCACATTATAGACTTAAGTCCAAGATTGAAGTTATTGAGTTTTAATTAGTCTTCGGGCTTACCTTTGGATGGCTTCTTCTTTCTAAGTAAGAGAATGATGACAAGAAGCACAGCTGTAATAATTCCCACAGAAGCAGCTGATGCAAGAATAGGTACTAGCAATTTCTTTTTGTTGTTCCCATCGCATGAAGGATCCAAACAGAGGTTTTCATTTCCTTTAATGCTATTCATTTCTCAAAAATTATGTTTCGATGTTACTATATATAGAAAATGGATAATCATTAAAGAAATTGATTGGGAGATAGAGAAACATACAGCAACGTTATAAGCCCATTCTTGTCCATGTTACGAAGGCTTTGAGGAATTGAGCCGCTAAGATTGTTCCCACTCAAGTTTCTGTCAATGTATATAAAACGTTATTAGATGCATCCATTTAAGGATTTAAAACCAAACTATTCGTTTTTACTTCTAGGGGAACTTACATGACTGTCAACAATTTCAGTTTGGCGAGAAATTCAGGCACCTTTCCCGTCAAGTTGTTATTTGACAGGTCCCTAGAACATACAAATAAATAATGTCATGGTTATCAAACAAAGGTATCAAAATAGATGTTTCCTTCTTTGAGTATATATATAGGAGATATATGAGACTTACAATTTCTGTAGTTGGTTAAGATATTGTATATCACTTGATATGGTCCCATTTAATCCAAAATTAGAAAAATCTCTGCGTATAGACAAGGACACATTTAAGATACATTGGAAAAAACAAACTAATCATTTTGAACAAGAGAACTTGAGTGTAATGATCTTACAAGGAAGTAATTCTTGGTGGAATAGACGGAAACATGTTGCTGCAGTTTAGACCAGTCCACATATACTGTATAGGTACACATGGATCTCCTTGCCAGCTCGTTTTTTGTAATCTATAAGTGGCTTGAATGTTCTTCAATGCAGTGACTGGGAATATATAAAGTTTCAATGTTTTTGAATAGTCAAACCTCATGAACAACCAAAAAGGGTTTATATATCTACATAGTAAATAAGTAAAGTTGACTAACCGTCGTTTTTATCTGTTTCGGACTGAAGAAGCTGGAGTACCCCGAAAACCTCTATGGCATTACAAGATGGTGGAAGAGTTGACGACTTAGTTCTTGTAAGATCTAGGGAGCAAGTAACATCGCATTTAGTAGAGGTTCTGATAGGTACAGTGTCAGCCATGAACTCTAGAGGACTGTAGTCATCACTAATTTTTGTGTTTTCATTCCACAAAATACTAAACTCTCTGCTATCACTGGGCTTCAAGGCCTGGATCTCGGCAAAGTGAAGGTACACGTGAACGTCGTCCGTGTTTTGCATCAACCAGAAATTGTTCCATGACTTACCAGCACCTTTGGGTATAGAAGCCTTTGAAATTATAGCTTGTGGCAGATCGAAGGCATTAGCGGTCGTATTTACAGGAGTGGTGGTGTTTATTGCTATCCATTCATCATCGTTAAAGTATACGTCCCATAAACGATCATGGACATCATCTGGATACCTAACACAACGATGTATTATCGATAAACAAGTCAGTGGTAAATGTCAGCGTATTACCACTTTCCACAAACTAACTTTTTAGCAAAAAAAAAAAAAAAAAAATCATAATAGGAGCTCCTAAACAATATTATAAGAACGTAGGAACTTTTTATTAAGAAAATAAGTTTCTGATATTATTATAAATATGTCTCACATTTTTTTTGGTCAAACCAAAATTTATCAAACATTTATGTTTTCATTTTGGAAAATAAAACTAAAAAGGTAAAAAGATAAGATGCTATGTCTTTTAATCTAAAAGTAATATAATATATAATATACTCCTTCCCTATCATCATTTAAAGTGATGTTTTAATAATTTTTATTTGTTTCATTTTAAATGATGGTTTCAATTTTCTATACAAAAATTAAATGTATTTAATTTTTTTACCAATCATAGTTTACAATATTTTTTTTAATTAGTTGAATTCATTTTATTTAATATTTTTTATGTAAAAGAGGTAAATTAAATAAAATAATATGTTTTCTTAATTTATGTGTAAAAACTTTAAACATCACTTAAAAATGGTACAGAGAGGATATCCTATACTATTATTTGGGGAGTACACTTTATAAGATACCCTTAACTAACCTTCCCTTTTATAAAAATTTACTTAAGAATGCCATTAGAGATAAAATTTTAAAGAGTAAATTAATTCATCTTATTAAGGATAAACAAGTCAATTTATACAATTTAATTAATTTAATTTAATTATAAAAACGAAAAATACATTATTATTATTATTTTTAAATGACCAATAAAAATGAATATATAAGATTTGATATCTAACTTACCTTATTAATTTGTTATTAATCATTATATTTCACCTCTCATCTTTATATAATTCTATTATTGTGAAACAAATAAATCATCATATCATCCATATAATAATTAAAAATAGATTTTTTTCCGCATATGCCATAATTTGAATTTTTAAAAACGAATATAAATTATTCAATTTATGAAAAAAAAAATTAACGAGTCAAAAATTTAGACTTGGATAATATATTTATTTTAAACAAAAATAAATTCAACAAAAATTCCGCCTGAATAACGGGTCAGAATTTGAGTAATTATATTCAATTTCATATTTTTTAAAAAATATATAATTTTATACACTACGATAAAATTTTAAATATTTTAATTTGGAATATTTAAAAATAGTTTTACTTGATATTTAAAAACAAATATCATCAATACTTAATAAATAAAAAAATAAAAAATTATACATACACTAATTTGGTTATCTTTAAACATATATATTTAAAAAATATTTATAATAGACGGTGGGTTAAATATAATCTATTATATGATGAAATGAGTTATGATCCTTATAACTATTTGAATATTTATATTTAAGTTCATACATTTATTTTTAAAAAATTCTTAATTTTATATTCTACAATAAAAAATAAAAAAATATTTTAATTTGGAAAAATTTAAAAATAGTTTAATATAATATTTTAAAGAATATCATAATTATTTAATAAATCAAAAGATAAAAGTTATAAATACTCTAATTTCATTTTTCAAAGCATAAATATTTAAAATATTTATAGCAAGTAGCAGGTTAAATGTAATGTATTATATGATAAAAAGAGTTATGATCTTTATAACCGAAACCATGTTAAGATTATATGATGAGATGAGTTAAATAAGGTTTGACACCTCTAAATATTTAAAATTTTGATTCTATAAGTATATATAAAAATAATGAATGATAGATTGTGCACACAATTTTTTTATTGGGATTCTAAAATAAAAATATAGGTATGCACGGGTTGAATTTAATCTTATTATATACCAAAATATGTTTATTATATACGCAATTTTTTTTCACTTACTACTAGCATATATCAAATACATACGTTTTATTTTTAACCAAAAAACGTAAAAAACTGTAAAAATCGAACAGTAACTAAACCGAATTACATACGGTTTATATATGGTTTCACTTTTTACAAAACGAAAAAAACGATACTAAACCGAAAAACCGTACCCCACCCCTAATATTTTCTCATCAAACAAACTAAAATAAAAAAATCCTTATATGTCATTGTATATGTAAAGAATTATTAAAATTGTACTATAAAACAAACAATAATCCAACTTTATATAAATATTTAAAAATTAAAATTTCATCTGTGCTGTTCCAGCACGGGTTATGATCTAGTATCTTTTAAAGGAGTTATTTTCTGGCCCCCAACCAGTTCCGGCCGCCAAATGGAAGGAAGCCTTTATATGTAGTTGTTTTCATCTTTATCGTATCGATTCTTATTGTTTTTACACTAGCTAGTAACTAATAAGAGCAACTCTAATGGGGAGTTCTCTCAAGAAAAAGTGGGGGTTCTCTAGTTAAAATTGTCAAAAAATAATTCTAAACTAAAAATAAATGAGAGAGACGACTCTCTCAAAAGAGCTTATTTTGTTTGACAGAGTCTGTCACGTGTCGCGTTTTGATTGGTCACATGTTTCTTTTTCCAGTTATTCTTTTTGAAATTAATTTTAAATCTGTATTTAAGGAAATAAAATATGCATGGTGATATATATAAGGGAAGTATTATATATATATATATATACTTCCAACACGTACTTGCTTCCTAAATTTTTTTAAAAACTCGCTTTGATACTTCCAAATGCTTCCGCTTCCGTGTACTTCTTTCCGATTCCATGTAGCTTAGGTGGTAATCCGGTGAGTCATGGCCACGTTATTGTGAGTTATCGTGATATGTTATTCCGGTTTTTTTTTGCATATCTATTTTAAAATGTTTTAAAATAATGAATGTTTAATATTTTATGTTTTGTAATAATTATTAAGTTGTATGAAATAAAATATATTTATATTAATATTTTTTTTATCAGTGAACTCTTTTAAAAGAGCCTACCATTGGACTCTAAAAAATTAAAAATAAAAACCAAAAGTTCTCTCGTAACTTTTTCTGAAATTTAATCATAAAAATTGGAGAGAGCCCATGGAGGGACTCTCTCCATTGGAGATGCTCTAAGATAGGATGAGTTGCCTTACCGTATGATGGATTCAGGATTGCTGAAGAAGTCATAATTGCTGAAATACGAGCGGGCGATTAGCTTTAGAGAGCCGGTTGTAGTAGTATAGGTGTCATCTCTCAAGGGACGTAGTTCCAAGGCTGATATGAATGGCGTCGTTGTTCCTGTCTTAACCAGACATATATCCAAAGTGTTTGACTTTGGCATGTGGATGATCTCCTCTATGGTACCATCTTGCAACGAAATCCGTTCTATATTACCAAACATATCTTGCAAATTTATAGTTGCCCAGAAGTTAGGGCCAAGATGAAGATCAAATATTGGTTTTTTCTGAAGGTCATCATAATTTGCATATAAGAACACGGCTCTAATAAGATAATGTGTGCCCTGCATGACAGTCAGATTATAGCAGTTTCGTGTTCCTTCCGGAAAATACCTAAGCTGCTTATATGGCTTTATGTATTTCACGCCATAACCAGGATCCTCGGTCTTGATTGTACCACTTTCTCCGCTGCTAATGAAATCAGCGTCGGATGAGAAATTCAAACCTGTGTACTCGTCGGTATAACTAGACTCGTTACGGGGCATTCCACAATCTAAGCTGATGAATCCTGGTACGAGTCATGGAAAAAATAAACGGAAAATTATATCTTCTGCAAATATGGAAGTCCAAAGATTTCCATAATATAGTAACACAAAAGTTAGCAATATAAGTGAACATTGGTTAGGTTCAAAGAAACAACAACAAATAAAAGAAGAAGAATGAATATTATATATACGTGCAGAGGATTGTATAACCGTAAAATACCTTGTTGATCTTGAGCATTAACGATAGTAATGAAAGAAATCCCTATTAGGGCCAAGAAAATAAGCCTGCGAATACTCTCCATTTTCAAAAGTTAAGATAACAAGCAACTACAAATATTCTGATATAAAGCTATTTATAACATAAAAAGAAGAAATTTAGGAAAGAGCGTTTATCAGCTTAATGTTGAAATTGTCACCTCAAGGTTGACACTGATTAATATAACAAATAAATAAAATACTTGCATTTGCAAAAGAAGAGGCCAAATTGGGTAAAGTTTAATAATATAAGATTCCCCTCCAGGTTGGTGGTGTGTAGAATTTACCCCATATATACCTGCCGTTCGGAGTTTGGAGCACGTCTCTCTTATTCATGTATGTGTCACACACTCATATTTTATGGTATAAAATGTTACATGTGAAATGAACCCGTCAAATTTGGAGCTTGTTTGATGAGAACTAAATGGTCCTGAATATGTTCTTGGTGTTGCAGCTGTTTGATTCTCAATCGGTGGTGATATGATGAAATCTTCCCGGTAATAGTGTTTGGAGATGTTATCCTTTCACTAACAAGAAATTGTGGATAATGAAGATTGAGTTTTGGTTACACCATTCCTTTTTCTTTTTTTTTTTTTTTTTTTTTTTTTTTTTTTTTTTTTTGTGGTAAAATGTTACACCATTCTTATGATTACGTCTATTGAATTCTGTATCCTTTTCTATATAAAGTCACTTGATTACATCGACAACTCTTGTAAACTGTATCAAATTACCATAATAATACTTATTGAACTGTAATTCTGTAATAAATCATTTCCTTTCTATAAGCTAATCTCTCAATAAACAATTTTGGAAGAAGTTTAAAATTAAAACTCATTTTTTTGGGGGGTCTTTAAGAAGAAGCATATCCATGGGGATGAGTCTTTTGCCACTTCCAAGCAACTTCAAGACTTTCTTGAAGATTAGTGTAACGAGCAGACCAATTAAGATCTCTCAGAATCTTTGCTGGATCACTGTAAACCTCTGCGTAATCTCCAGGTCTTCGCGGCAAGAAATCTACTTTGATATCTACTCCTGTCGCTTTCTTACATGCTTCCACAAACTCCTTCACCGATCTTCCTTTTCCGGTACCTACATTGTAGATTCCGACATTTCTAGGCTTAGCTTTCTCTAAAGCCTTCACGTGAGCATCTACAAGGTCAGTAACGTCTATGTAGTCACGAACACAAGTTCCATCTCCTGTTTTGTAGTCTGTTCCTTTGACCTGTTCATAGAAGAAACCAGATTTATATCCATTTGTTAATAAGAGTTGAGTAAAGAAGAAGCATAAAGAGAGTTTTGAGAGGTGAGTGTTATTTTACCTGCAGGCCTGAAATCACGCCACGAGCTGCATCGAAACAAGCACCTGAAATCCGTCCGTGTTCACGTAGCTCGGGCTTTGGAGCTTCTCCTAGTCTACCTTCTGGGTCTGAACCGATCACGTTAAAGTATCTGTGAAAGTCATAAAGATTATCAGACATTGTTTGGTTAATCAAATCAGAATCAGAGACGTTTTTAAGTCTTTAAGAAACATGGAGCTTGACCTTAGAATCATGACTGCCATATCAGAGTTTTTAGAGAAATCCAGGATCATGTCTTCAGCCATCTTTTTAGCTTTTCCATAAGGGTTAATCGGGACCTGAAAATCGATAATTTCCGAATTTGATGAGATATGATCATGCAAAAGAGAGGGTTTTCTGAAACTGTTTTGAGTACCTGTGGAGTAACTTCAACAATAGGCATCTTGTCAGGTTCTCCATAAGTGGCACATGTGCTTGAATATATCAACTTTTTCACTTTATGTCTCGCCACAGCTTCAAGAACTACTAATGTGTTTGATGTGATGTTGTGGTAATACCTACAGAACAAAAATCAACATGAGATTGGACATAAAGAATTCCAATCTTGCAGAGATGTTATGAACAAAACAGTGGCTGGAGATTGTACTTTAGAGGATCTAGAGTGCTCTCTCCAACATATGCTACTGCAGCAAAATGCATAACAGCATCAAACGCGTTCTCTGAGAAGATTTTCTCGACCTGAAATGAACAAAACCCATACTTAATACAAAATACCAGGAAAAAATGCTCAAAAGAATCTTAAGGATATGAAGCATTACAGCTTTGGCATCTCCTAAGTCAGCATAAATAAACTGAAGCCTCCCGGCTTCAGGGAACAATCCCTGTAAAACCTTGACAGCGCCAATATTACCGCGAGAAAGATTGTCCTGTTTGTGAGACAAAATGATTAGTGTTACAAAACCAAACATTGCAGTTTGACAACTTCTCCAATGGATTGTCAAATACAATCAAAGAAAGAAACTTTACCACAATGGTTACACGGTATGAATCCTTTAAGAGCCTCAATGCAGCATGTGATCCGATATATCCAGCGCCACCAGTGACTAACACATGAGTCACGCCTTCCTCGCTGCGAGAAAACTGCGAAAACCAACAAACCACAGCAAGACTTAGATTACAGAAACATCAACTAAAAGAACCATTTTAAGAGCCAGATTCAGGAGAAATGTTTGCAGACATTATTAAAAAAAATGAGTACCAGATCAAAGATTCAGGAAAAAAGGAACGTGGAGTTACCGCGGTTGGTGATGAGAAACTCGGTGCGTGCTTGAGCATAATAATGCATAAAGCAGTAAGAGAAACTACCAAGATAATCTTGCCCATTACATTGCTCTTCCTTTTGGGTTCTAAGTATTCCATCCCTGAATTTTCAAAATCAAAGAGAATGATTGATCATCTAAAATGTTGCAGAGATTCATTATACTCAAATATATAAATGTTGTGATTCAAGACTAACCTCCTCCAAGAGGTCTTGTGTTTCTTCCTTGACTTCTAGCTCTAGAGAAACTTAGCATTGGAGTATCAGAAGAATCTGAACTCAAATTACCTCAAAGTAGTCTTTATGTTTTTGGGTATAATTGAGACAAAACTCCAGAAACAAACTCAAGATTCAGTAGCCAGCAATCATCAAGTTAGCTGCAGATTGCTGTTTAAGAGTAAACGAGAAATACAGTATTTCATAAACATATGAATGAATACAAGTCAAAACCAATATATATCACATAAAGCAAATAAAATAATATTTGGTGGGAAGTGGGTCCTTAATGAAAGAATCAAAAACAAGGAAAAAGACAGACAAAAGTTGAATACATTTATGAAAAAATAAGATTAATTTTATTTTATATGTTAAGTTATTAGGCAGAGAGCATGTTTGTCACAGAACAGAACAAAAAACAGAGAAACAAAAATGCAGGAAGAGTCTGTGGTAAAGTCGACGACTTTGATAGAAATTTCTTTGCTTTATCGAAAACCCATCTGAAAAATCACGGATCAGAAGAAACCCATAAACGTTTCAATCCCCAATTTTGTATTGATTCAACAATTTTGATCAGAATCAAAATTCATTTCAAAGGTAGGGGAAAGTGCAGAAACAGATCAAAATCAGGTTTAGAATTGGGTAAATAGTAAGAGAGAATACATAGATAAGAGAGAAGTACCTGAGAATTTGCGAGAAAACGAATTGAGAGAGAGGAAGAAGAAGAAGAGTTGTGTGATGGTTGAAATGGAGAAAGACGCGACGTTATTAAGGGAGAGAAAGAGAGACTTTTGGGAGAGAAAAAGAAAGAGAAAGAGAAAGAGAGAAAATAGAGGAGAAGCGGAGGAAGAAGAAGAAAGTGAGGAGCGAAGAAAGAAGAAGAAGAAACGTGCAATGCAAAACGAAACCACAACTACGAGACCTGGTCACCACTCTCTCCTTCCTTCTTATTTAGCTCTTTCCTTTTTTCGGAAAGGAAACAAAATTATAAACCAGTCCTTCAACTTTCACCTAATTTGTTTTTAAACCCTCAAGTGTTTTTATTAACAATTTAAACCCTTTAATTTGTTCATTTCAATGAATGTGCAAGATTTTTTTTTACTAAATTGGTGTTGACTAAACTAGATAAAGAAGGTTTTGTAATAAAATGATTCACTATTGATAAATGTGACTACAATCAAGTCAAAACATTAGAACTGATGATGATGTTACAATAAATATGACTTAATTATTATATAGTTTATACGTTTTCATCTCCCATAAGTATGAAATTTGTGAAAATAAAAGAAGGAATAACCAAACATGAGAATGTCATTCAAAACCAACCTTGTTTATAAATTGTTAGGGGTGGGAATGAAACTAATAGTGATAAATCGTGACTATTAATCAAAGTCAAACAAAAACAAAGTCGTTGTTCCAATGCATGCATGTCGACACAAATGAGTTTCTTCCTTTCATGGATTAGTTTCAATTTTTTTTATTAGGATGCGATTGCAATGATTGTAATATCAACTAATATGCAATCATTTGTTTGTGATCCTCATTTTTAAAAATTCTTTAATCAAATTATGGGCAAAAAAAAAAATCGATGGTGATCAAAGCAGTTTTGCTGCCTAGTTGTAGCGACTGCCTAACCATCTAACGTGATAAGCCAACGAATCGATCGTAAACAAATAATTATCCAAAGACTTTGTATATAGAACTAGTAAGTAATAATTTCTCAATATATATACATTCTTTATACGTGAGTGATAATTGAGAGTTTAAACAAATGCAACTTTTTTTTTTTCTTCTCTCATACATATAAATATAGTAATCAAACTGATTAACAAAAGTATGGAAAAAATATCATATCGATCATTTTGTATCAATTGTATCATTATAACAAAATTAATTGATTGTGAGATAATAAAAATGGTCAATCATATGTTTTGTCCTGGTTGTTGAAATTAATTAAAATTCCTTATACGGCCTAATTTTGGTTGACTTTGCTTTCCTATCCTTTCCAAACGAAAGGAGACGAAAATATAGACGTCAATATCCGTACCGTAGTCTTGTAGCGTAATAATAAAAGAGACCCACCTAAGACCTAACCAACCAAATACTATAAAAGTGGCCTCCTAACTCTAATTTCAGAACCGACTGCTGAATTCTTTGAGTCATTAGGTAAGGTTACCTACAAGTTTTTGTCACCATTAGATATATCGTAGCCTCTAAAAACTTGCAGCTGCGTATACTTTCTCCTATTTAGTTTGCTTTTGAACTTGAGAAGTTTAAACAATTAATTCTACGTAAGAATGAAACTCTAGAGATCGGCTCTATAAGACCATCAGCAGTGGCAAATGTGTTTGTGTGGGTGTAAATATATTTTTAATATTATAATTTAAAGCAAAAGAGAAAAGAGAAAGAGAAAGAAAGAGAGAGATAGAGAGAAAAAGTGTTACACCCGAGTGTAAACTTACACCCGGGTGTGAAGAGAGATAATTTTTTCGTTTTTTTAATACCTACACCCCAAGACTCACACCCACCTGCTTGCCCCACTGCCGATGCTCTAAGCATGTATAAGATGTGCATATGTGTACGTAGCCTCTAGGCTCTAGGTAATTTTCATTTTCTTTTGTCAACTGATAACATATATAGATAGGTTCGGTTAACCAAACCAGAACTACATAGCATTTGTGTAGACTATGTGAGAAATTTCCAAATTCTTTTTTGTTACTTTAGGGTCCCATACATGTTTTAAATATTTAACATATACAGTAATTACTGTTGAGTCAGTCTTAATAGTTAATACTTAATAATGATAAAATGTATTTTATACGTTAAAAACTTAATGCAACCAATTCAAACCGAACCACGTAAAGTAAATTCTTAAGTGTTTTTTTTTGTATAAATATAATGTACCAGCTACATTTAACCTATTTTGTACCTTAAACTGAACCAAACCGAGAATCTTCAAATCAGTTCAAGTTCAGTTGTACATTATTGTATTCAAAAGATAAAATAGGATAGATTCGAACGAAAGCAAACCGAAAAACCGGGTTTCCACCAATAGTACCGAATCTGACCGAGTTGAACTTAAAAACGTCGTCGTATTAGACGTTGAAGATTTAGTAATTCACACCAGTGAGAACTGAGAGAAGAAGATGAACAACCGAAAATGAAATCACCAAAACCTCCGAATCTCTCTGATAAATCTCTTAAACCCAATTTCTTCTACGGCCACCGTAAGCCGTCACAGAACCGCCCAATCGTCTACGGTGGTCTCTTCTCCAACCGCCAGTCTCTAACCAGAGACTCACCCCAACCACAATCCAACGCCGTCGCTCACCGAACACCTTTCGATCTCCGCAAATGGGATCCAGAAATCCATCTCCCATTAGAAAGATCTTCCTCTTCACCTTCGTCGTCTTCCACGGTGATCTCCGCCGCCTCCGAACGTCTATCTCCAATCGCGAGATTCGTCCTCGACGCATTCCGCAAGAATCGTAACCATTGGGGTCCCTCAGTGGTCTCGGAGCTAAACAAACTCCGCCGTGTAATGCCGAGTATCGTCGCCGAGGTTTTGAAATTAGGTAACGATGCTGCAGTTGCGGCTAAGTTCTTTCATTGGGCTGGTAAACAAAAAGGGTATAAACACGATTTCGCTGCTTACAATGCTTTTGCTTATTGCCTTAATCGAAACGGACATTTTCGTGCTGCGGATCAATTGCCTGAGCTAATGGATTCTCAGGGGAGGCCACCGTCGGAGAAACAATTTGAGATTTTGATTAGAATGCACGCCGATAATAGAAGAGGTTTAAGGGTTTATTACGTTTACGAGAAGATGAAGAAGTTTGGGTTTAAGCCTAGGGTGTTCTTGTATAATAGGATAATGGATGCTTTGGTGAAAAATGGTTACTTTGATTTAGCTTTGGCTGTTTATGAGGATTTTAAAGAAGATGGGTTGGTGGAGGAGAGTACTACTTTCATGATCTTGGTTAAAGGGTTGTGTAAAGCAGGTAGAATCGAAGAAATGCTCGAGATTTTGCAGAGAATGAGAGATAATTTGTGTAAGCCTGATGTTTTTGCTTACACAGCAATGATCAAGACTTTGGTTTCTGAAGGGAACTTGGATGCAAGTTTGCGAGTTTGGGATGAGATGAATCGCGATGAGATAAAACCGGATGTGATGGCGTATGGAACACTTGTTGTGGGTCTGTGTAGAGACGGTAGAGTTGAAAGAGGCTATGAATTGTTTATGGAGATGAAGGGAAAGCAGATTTTGATTGATAGGGAGATCTACAGGGTTTTAATTGAAGGGTTTGTTGCGGATGGGAAGGTTAGATCTGCTTGCGATCTGTGGAAGGATCTGGTGGATTCTGGGTACATAGCTGACCTAGGGATATACAATGCAGTTATTAAAGGGTTATGTAGTGTGAACCAGGTTGATAAAGCATATAAGCTCTTCCAAGTTGCAATTGAGGAAGAACTAGAACCAGATTTTGAGACTCTAAGTCCCATTATGGTTGCATATGTGGTGATGAATAGACTAAGTGATTTCTCCAATTTGCTAGAACGAATTGGAGAATTAGGATACCCTGTCACAGATTACCTTACACAATTTTTTAAATTGTTGTGTGCTGACGAAGAAAAGAGAATGATGGCTTTAGATGTCTTTGATATACTAAAGACTAAAGGTCATGGCAGTGTCTCTGTGTACAACATTCTTATGGAGGTTCTTTACAAGATGGGTGATATCCAAAAGTCCTTGTCACTGTTCTATGAAATGAAGGAATTTGGGTTTGAACCAGATTCATCATCTTACAGTATTGCACTTTGCTGCTTTGTTGAGAAAGGGGATGTCCAAGAGGCTTGTTCATGTCATGAAAAAATCATTGAGATGTCGTGTGTTCCTTCCATAGTTGCTTATCTGTCTCTTACTAAAGGTCTCTGCCAAATTGGAGAAATTGATGCGGTGATGTTATTAGTCCGTGAATGTCTCGGAAACGTTGAAAGTGGTCCTATGGAATTTAAGTATGCTCTTACGGTTTGTCATGTATGCAAAGGTAGTAATGCCGAGAAGGTTATGAAGGTAGTAGACGAGATGAACCAGGAAGGTGTCTCTATCAATGAAGTTATACACTGTGCGATTATCTCTGGTATGTCTAAGCATGGAACAATAAAAGCAGCAAGAGAAGTCTTTGCAGAGCTGAAAAAGCGCAAAGTCATGACAGAGGCTGATATGGTAGTCTATGATGAAATGTTAATTGAGCAGACAAAGAAGAAGACAGCTGACTTGGTGCTTTCAGGGATCAAGTTTTTTGGTCTTGAATCAAAACTAAGAGCAAAGGGTTGCAAACTACTCGATAAGTAAAGTTTGGAACTGCTAAATCATTTAGCTGCACAGCTGACTAAGAGAAGGTGCTTTTGTCCAAACAACTGCATATATACCTTGATGCATGACGATAAGCTCGTTTGGGCGTTGGTATTAGTCTGAGTTCAATGTTTCCTGGGTATGGTTTTTCAACCCAACCATGCAAGTTTCGGAGCTCTTCCCATGGATAAATCAAGACCCGGAATTGTTTTTTGGGCTCATTCTTCTGGTAGCTGAAGCTTGGAAGTGAGTAAATCTTTGGATTCAAGGGAGATGTAGTGAAGCGCCTCACAAGCATTGCGTGGAGAAATTAATGTTCTGGAGAAATCTCAAGTTGTTGGCTCGGATTTTGTGACCCCATAACCATGATCCCGCTTCCCTTGCTAGCTTTGATGTTGCAGCTTGAAGTTTTGCTTAAAGTTTGAAGTTTCAATATTGAGTCCTTGTAAGGATGTTTATGAAACTCACTTCTTCACATCAAATGGGTTTTAGGTTCCAAGTGTTAATTAATCAAATGCCTATTCTTACTTACTATAATAAACTCAGATTTTTTGTTAAAATTTTGAAATGTCAGAGATTGGAATAAAGTTGGGGTTTTTATTTCCCATCTTTGTGGAAATGGCAGTTTTAACTTTTAAGTTCCCGTGTCGATGGCTTTGAAATGTGGTTGCATTTATGATCCATCCTTTTTATCTTAATCACACATCCGAAAATAGTATCCATTAAATCGTTACCCATTTCTTCAATGAACACTCTGGTGAAGAGCGGTGGCGCGTGGCTAGTTTCGCCGTCGTTGGCGGTGGTGGCTCTGAGGAAGATGAGAGTGTCTGGTTTAGCCACGTCATCATCATCATCTTCTTTTCCCAATTGGGAAGGTGGAGTTTCCATGGTCCAAGGAGCTTCCAGAGGCATCGGCCTCGAATTTGTGAGCCTCTTCTCTCTCTTTCCTTTACCCAAATCTTGAAATTTACGGGTCGCTACAAATTTCCAGCTAATCAATCACTACTCAGAATCTTTTAACTTTTTTTAGTTTAAGCCTTTTCACGTTTTTTCTTTAGGTGAGACAGTTGCTGGAGAACAATAAAAAGGGGTATGTTGTTGCTACTTGCCGAAATCCAAAAGAAGCAACAAGTCTCTCTGATTTGAAGAACCGTTTCTCTGAAAGACTTTTCATCCAAAAGCTTGATGTTACAGATGAAACTACCATTGAGGTTATTGTCTCTACACTCAAATCTGTCTCCTTTCATTATTAATCAAAGTGATCCATTTGTTAGGTAAAATATGCTACATGTTCACATTTCTGAAACTGTTAAATCTGCTTATTAGGAATCAGCGGAATCTGTGAGAGAAAGATATGGTTCTCTCAACCTTCTTATAAATGCAGCTGGTATACTATCCATTCCTGGCGTATTGCAGCCAGGTATGAGTGCTCTTTCATTTGATAAATAATCAATCAATCGCATCGATTTTTACTTGTGTAAGAGAAGTTAGTTCCCGTTCGAGGCCTGCTTAAAAAAGGAATGTTCTTTATCTATTCTGTTGATCTCAGTACAGAAACAACATTGAACAAGGTTGAAAAGTCATCACTCATGCTTGCATACGAGGTTAATGCAGTTGGTCCAATTCTAACGATGAAGGTAAGCACTCCAATTTCTCTATGTTTTTGTAAACAACTCTGTCCTAAGATTATGCCCCAAAGTCGATTTTTCTAATGCGAAACAGAGTGAAAAATGGCTGAAAGTGGGTAAAACAAACTTGAACTAAGTTATGCACCACCTTGTTTCGTTTACTCTCCAAGCTCCATGAATAACAAGATACTGTCTTTGGCTGTGTTGCAGCATATGTGGCCTCTCCTTAAGGCTGGCGGAGGCAGTGGAACTGATAGGGAAGTTGCTGTTGTAGCTAATTTAAGCGCCCGAGTTGGATCCATTGGAGATAACCGACTTGGTGGTTGGCACTCGTACAGGGCTTCTAAAACCGCACTCAATCAACGTACGATTGAATTATAAGTTTTAGAAGATTCTTGATTTTTCCATCTGGTATGAGTTGAGAAAACCATTAATTTCTGTTCGCAACTGTTGCTTTTTTGCAGTGACGAAAAATGTATCTGTTGAGTTAGGTAGGAGGAAAGATCCTGTGGTATGCATTCTACTGCATCCAGGCACAGTAGACACTGATCTCTCTCGGCCGTTTCAAAAGAATGTTCCTGAAGGAAAACTTTTCACAAGAGAGTACTCTGTTCAGAAGTTATTGCACATCATCAGCAATGCTAAGAAACAAGATAACGGCAAGTTCTTTGCTTGGGATGGCCAAGAGATACCTTGGTGATTTCTTGATTGGTTTTCTCGATCTGAGTGGTCAGTTCTTTCAAATTCTATTGAATTCTTGTCGTGGGATTTTTTTCACTTTCTTGGTTTGAGAGCAATTCCTTGGAGTAAAATCGAATAACTTGGAGTGAGCATCCAGAATCTGAGAGCTTTCTGAGTATATTATAATAATCAATGTGATGGTATAAACTTCTATCTACATTGTGTATTACTACATAATTTTACACACTATTTTCAAAATCCCGAGTCCAAATCATTGCCATATGTGATCCAGCTATGACCTGGAGTTTTATGAACTCTGTTCTTGTTCATTAATTCTTGCAGAGCTGCAGCGTCATCCCACTGTCTCACTGAACTATATGTGTTGCTTAGCAGCAGATATGCTGCTGAGTTCTGAGGATCCAGATGCATTAGTTTCTCTGCAACTCGTCTAGCCAAGCTCACATCGCCATGGACTCTACATGAACTAAGTAGAATCTCCCATAGAACTGAGCTGCTTTTGTATGGTGTAGCTTCTGCAAGCGTCTCTGCATCTTCAAGACGACCAGCTCTTCCAAGACAATCAACTATACAGATGTAATGATCCAGCTCCGGTTCAATTCCATGATCTCTCTGCATTGAACTGAGTATCTCAAACCCTGTATCCACCAGTCCTGAGTGGCTGCAAGCAGTCAAAACAGAGACAAAGGTTATCCCATCGGGTTTCTCTCCTGCTGATATCATCTCTCTGTATAGATCAACAGCTTCATCGCCTCGCCCATTATGAGCATACCCATGTATCATCTCATTCCAAATAACTGTGTTTTTCCTCAAAACAGTATCGAAGAACTGCCGAGCTGAATCTATTTCACCACACTTGCAATACATGTCGGTAAGAGCGGTTTCAACAAAGGAATCACTTACATATCCACTCTTCACTACCTGTCCATGAAACTGTCTTCCATGGAGCAAACTACATAACTTTGAACAGCTACTTAGTACAGTAGCAAATGAAGTTTCATTAGGAAACAACACGCCAGTCTGATGCATTCTTCTGAAGAGCATTAGAGCTTTTGTGTCTAGCATGTTACGTCTAAGACCAGAGATCATTGAGTTCCAACAAGCGATATCCAATTCGTTTATACAATCATCAAAGATACATTCAGAGGTCTCCATTTTCTCGCATTCCGAGTACACTGCAATAAGACCACTAACTATGTGACTGTTCTTAGAAGTCTCGGTCCTTATCGCTACCCCATGGATCTGTTTCCCTCCTTCCAGAAATCTCAATCTCGCACACGAACTTAGTATCACACTCAAAGTGGTACTGTCAGGTCTCAGGTTCTGAAACTGCATTTGTCTGAAATTGTTTATTGCTTCCTCATAGTGTTCATAGTTGGAATAACCAGAAAGCATAGCATTCCATGCGCTAACACTTGGCTGGGGAATGGTACTGAATATTCTCCTACCGGTTTCAACATCTCCTGAACGAAAGCACACTCCAAGAATACTAATGCAAGTAACTTCGTTTGGTTCAAAACCAGAATCTCTCATTCTCTTTAGATATTCAATGGATTTGTCACTTCGATATTCCTGGCCAAACCCAGCTATCATAATGTTCCAAGAGACAACATTCACTTCAGGCATCTCAGTAAAAATCAGCTCTGCACCACTCATGTCTTTATTCTTTGCATATATTTCGAGCAACGAATTGTTCAGATGAAGTTCTCCTACGAACCCAAGTCTTAACGCAAGACTATGGATCTGTTTCCCGAGCACATTGTCATAGATTACACTCAGGCTATTACATCCTTCTCTTGGAACAGAGATGCTGAGAATATTAGATAAGCAAACAGAATCCACCTGCACACCTTTCTCACACATCAATCTGAACATGTGAACTGCCTCCAACACTTTATTTTCCCGAGCTAATCCATTGACTACAGCAGTAAAAGAGACTTCATTAGGCTCAGAGAGAGATTCAAAAACTCGTAACACCATAATCAACCATAAACCCGCACTTTGCATACATAGACAACAACGCATTCCCAACAAAAATATTCTTATCAAGACCCGTTTTAACAGCAACCCCATGACATCTCATACCAATAAAACTATCTAAAACCTTGCTACACGCACTCAAAACACTAGCTAACGTGAACCGAGAAGGCAAAAACCCATCACCAACCATCATCTCATAAACATCCAAAGCCTTCTCCTCAAACCCCTTCCTCACCAACACACTAATCATATTATTCCACGACACAACATCTCTCTCAGGCATTCCATCAAACACCTCACACGCTTCCCTCAAATCCCCAACTTTACATCTAAACGTCAAAAAAGCATTCCAAGAATAAACATCTCTCAGAGACATTTCAGTCAAACACCTTCCGTGCATAACTTCCATCACCACACTCAATATACAAATCCAGTAAACGATTACAAAGATAAGTATCACTGTTTAATCCCGTCCTAACAATGAACCCATGTATAACTTTCCCATAAAGTTTACACCTTTCATCTCTATAACAACGCAAGAGACTCGCTAAATACTTATTGCCACGCATTTTTTTTTACTTATAGAAGCTAACAATATGGAATATTGTTTATATAGGTGATAATATGCGGTTGGGTACGAACTTTTCGTGCTAAATCCACTAAGCATCTCCCTCAAGAGTAGAAAAAGTTTATTTGTTTATAATGTTTGAATCAATCATTACATAAATTGAGAAAAATACAAATATAAAAGACAAAAAGTAAAATAATAATCTTTGGGAAAAAATTGTTTCTTGAGAATCAAGAAGAAGGGATGACAACAGTACGCATCATGTTCTTGAATTCAAAAAAGTCAACGCGACCATCTTGATTCCGGTCAACGGAAACGATCATCTTCTCCACTCTCTCCATTTCTCCACCTTCAGGTAACCCAAGTTTCTTCAGAACCGCTTGCAATTCTCTAGCGGAGATGAATCCATCACCGTTCTCATCGAAAACCTTAAACGCCTCTGCGAGATCCGATTCATCCTCGGCGGAGGAAGAAGAATCTTCATTCTCTTCTCCACAAGCTCCACCGAAGAAAGAATCGTCGAGTGTTTTGTGAAGAGAAGAGAAATCGTCGAAATTGAGACCAGTGTTACCTGGTTGAATGTAGGATTCAACGGTGGATTTGAGATCGGAGAGATCAGCGTTGAGACCGAGACGTGATAAAGCTTGGCTTAGCTCTTCAACGGTTATGAATCCGTCGCCGTTTTTGTCGAATAAGTCGAAGATTCGTTGGAGACGAAGTGCGTTTAGGCTTGGGCTTCGTAGTCTGAAGGATGATGATTGTCTTGAAACTTTCTTGTTCTCGTTGTTACTCTCCATTGTTGTTAGTCTTAGAGTTTGTGTTTGTCTTCTTGGTTTGTGGGATTATAATCAGAGATTGAGAAAATGGAGTCTAATTATAGAAGAGAAGAGAAACAATTGGGGAATTGATAAATTTTTATGGGAAGGAGTCCGTTTTTGCCGGCATTGACTTTGTCTGGCCCGCCATGTATGAACTTGGAGCATCAAACCCATAATTCATATTAATGTGAAAATAAAAAGGTCGCCTTTTTGTGATCTGTCGAATAATATTTTGACAATGACATTAGAACAAAATTCTGATTTTTTTTTTCCCGGGAAAATGGAGATAGAGAAAAACGTCTCATTTCATGATCGTTATTTAATTGTGGTCCAAGTTTCAGTTTCATATGAATAGAAGAGAAAAGATTAATGCCTTAAATGATGGATTAGTTAGTAATTATATTATTTTAAAACTGAAATTGCTTCCAAGTTGATAAAGGATACATAACTGTCGATGGCTTTTTCAACGTAGAAGAGACAAGTCACGTCGTAGTAGTTACTGAATTTGAATTGGAACGTTCCCACTTGCCAATTTATTTTTGTTTCTAGATCTTCTGAGTTTTTGACCCGTCCGTATCCGGGTCGGGTCGAAATGGGAACCCACACAACTATGAAACCCAATTCAGCTAAAGCCCATTTACAGAAATCTTATTTAGTACTAGCTAATAATCAAAAGAAATTTCAAGTTCACAAAGAAAAAACACACAAATGTCTTTAATCCTTACAATACCATCTAACACAAATATATTTGAAAATCAAAAGAAACCAATAAAGCTTTCAAAAGTTATCTCAATGATGTCGTAAACTAGACTCATACAATGAACTCACCAAGTCATAAATCTGCGTCAAGCTTGGTTGCTTCAATGGTGGTTTATCAGTACACATCAGTCCAAGAGTAATGGCTTGCTTAACTTGATCAAATGTTCTCTCATCAATCTTCATCTTCTCATCGATCACTCTCTCTAGATTATCCGGATAATGAACTCTTATATACTCAAGATATCTCCTTTCTGAATCTTCTTGTTCCATATCAGGTCTTAGATTTGTAATCATCTCCAAAAGAAACAATCCAAAGTTGAATATATCTGTAATAACAACACAACAGCACACTTAGCTTTCATAACCTTAAAAAGTTTGATATTTGCAAGAAGAAGAAGAAGCCTTACTTGTTGATAAGTTGTTTCCATCTCCAATCTTGAAATGAGAAATCAAAGGTTCTTGATTATCATCGGATAACAAAACACTGCTTGTGGTGAGATCAAATGTAATCTCTGGCCATTGATCTGATAGATAACAAATACCTTCTACAACTCCTAAAACCACTCTTAACCTCCTTCTCCATGATAAAGCCGATTGAGGAACTTAACCAAGTCTCAACATTTTCTCCTTGAATCCATTCTGTAACCAAAGCTCTCATGTTTCTACTATTACACCAACCCAACACTCTAACCAAATTCTTGTGTCTTAACTTGAAAACCATCTCGCATTCCTCTGCGAATTCACGCCTTTTCTCACTCGAAACCTTCTCTTTATAAACCTCGATCTTCGTCTCTGTCCCGTCTCTTAACGTGCCTCTGAAGATATCCACTCCATTGCTTGTGCTCACAAGGTTTTCATCTGAAAACTCATCCGTAGCTGCTTCAAGCATCGCGAATGTGAACTTGTAGCTTCTCCGGCATGTTCTTGGAAAGTAATCAGGTCTCTTGATACATAACCATCCAAAGCAAAAACAGAGCAAAATCACCATTATTGGAAACACAATCAACAAGACCAAAACTTTCATCTTGTAACGCTTAACATTGGGAAGAACACCGGACTGTATGAAACTCGAGGCGTTAAACCGTTTAAAGAACTCAGAATCCGAGATCTTATTCTCGGAAAAACGGTTATACGATAGATTCAAATGGGTCAGATTGGTTAATCCAGAGAGATCCTGAACCGGAACAAAACCAGAGAATTGGTTGTAACTTAGATCAAGAGTACGAATCTGAGCACAAGACAGAACATTCGTCGGAAAACCGTTCGTTAGAGAGTTATTCACTAACTCGATATCAACGACGGTTAAAGGACAGTACTTCCAGAAGAAATCAAAAGAGAGATAAAGCGCAGCGGTTTTAGGACGACCGTGGATTCTGATTCTAGGGAAAGATTCGACGCAGTTAGGGTTCTTTGACTCGTTGCAGAGATGACTAGCGACGATTGTGGATCTGAAAATCTCAACAATGTCCAATGGAGAAGAAGAAGTGTTGTTGCAGTAACGGAGCAACGGATCACGAAGACAGTTGTTGGAAATTGTGGTGTTGAAATCAGGAGGTGGACTAAGATTAGCAAGGTCTTCGACGACGGTTGCTGAGAATACTGAGAGAGGAAGATAGGATGATGATAGTGTGAGGAAGAAGATGAAGAAGAAGACAGAAGACGCCATTGGAGAGATAGAGAACAAAAAGTTTCGGTTTTTGGTTTCGTGTATGATAGAGAGAAAGAAGCATAGAGGTAGTTTCTTTGTTACTTGAGGTGTTGTTGTTGGCGGTTATTTTGAAACAGAGTGGGAGGAGATTTACGCGCCCATTTTCTTCCTTTTAGTGATCGTGTGCTTGGAAGTTGAAGATTATTAAAGAAAAACAAAATTGTGAAGTCTTTAAATTTTGGAAATATCTACTATACTAGTATACTGTACTATAAAATATCTACTATACTGTAAATAATCATCTTCATTTTGAGTAATATTTAATCACCTAAGTGTGTTACTAATCAACTGATGAAACCCAACATAGCTTATGATTTACGAGTTTTCCAACTAAAAGGGCCACTTTTGTGTGTCAAGCCCAAGATCCCAAAATTAATTATCGTTTTGTTGTCATTGAACCCAAAATTCTGTGTTTATGCGGTAAAATAAGTTGGTAAACAAATGATCTAGAATGGTTTTGCTTGTACTTGTAAGATTGTTACTCGAATCCCTTTCATATATTTCTTGTCTTTTTAATCTATTTACGGTATCTTTTTATAAACTTTTTTCTTTCTTTTTCTTCCGAAACAAATTAAACAAAATCTACGTGGATGATTATAAACCACTTTGATCAATAAGATCCGGCAATTATTTGGTAGAACTGTTTTTTTTTTTTTTTTTTATCAAGAGTGGCATATATAATCATGGAAACATTTAAAAATTTTATTTTTCATTATTTTAAAATAGTATAGTCACATAAAAATATTTAAGTTACTATATACTTTATAAGTTATTAATTATGTAAAACTATTCGTATATAGTTTTGATCTGCGGAAAACATAACATTCCACCAAAAATGCCGCAATTAAATCACTTAAATGTTTATATAGGTTTATAAAAAAAATTAAGTTTTATAAGGTTTTAGAATAGAGATTCTAATGTTTGAACAATTTTTCCCTTAGTGGTATTTCTCAAAATTCTTTTTGATTCTTTCTACATCAACTAAAATCTATTTACATATATTCTAAATTATAAAAACATTATCAAATTTTAATTTTTTGCAATTCTTACAAAATTAATTTTAATCATTGTTATGCCTAATTTAAAATTTATATACATATATAGAATTATATATGTGATTTTTAATTTTCAACATTTCTATTTTTAATTTTTTATTCATCTAATCTCTATGCATTTAATTTTTTTAATATATAGTTTCCTATGTTGTATTGTTTATTATTTGTTACCAAATTAATTTTATACTTTTCTGTATTTTGTAATTAAAAATAATAAAAGTACTACCAAAAAAAAATCTATATATATATAAGTAGGATTTATTTAATCCTTAAGTTTTTTTTTTGGTCAAAATCCTTAAGTTTTTAAAAATTTATTTGTTCTTGATGATATGTACACCTTAAGAGGAGAAATCTTGAAGGAGAAAAGAAAATTCTCTCATTAATTTAATAAACTAGTAGTGATTTTTAACCAATAAATTTTATTTATAACAGATTCTCTTGTATAAAGATGATTGAGTTTCACCTTATGTTACATTTTCAATTACAACAAAATTTCCTCATTCATAAGCTTATTGCAAGTAGTAAATCCATATCTTAAACAATTCATATTTTTCTTTCCAGAGTTTTTTTTTTCTATAAGTCAAAGTCCCAATACATACATAAAACAAAATTACTTGATCTCTTTTTTTTTGAGATCTTTAAACTAACAAAGTAATGAAAGAAGTAGTATCTGTTCTGTTACTTGTTCTTGTTTCGGTTTCAGATGCAAATGACAGAAACCAAATACTGAAAACTTCCTCCAATGCCTTCATAATCGGACCCGTTCAGTGAATCCGATCGCCGAATCCCTCTATACTCATAATAACACCACCTTCGTGTCATCTTACGTGTCCTACACGAAAAACAAAAGGTACTCAAACCCTAAGGACACAAAACTAATAGCCATTGTTGCATGCAAAACATGAATCTCATGTTCAGTCAACTGTGGTCTGCGCAAAGTCCAACGGAATCCAGATCCGTATCCGAAGCGGTGGTCACGACTACGAGGGACTTTCTTACATCTCCTCTGTGCCGTTTGTTATTCTGGACATGCACTGATATCCGGTCTATCACCATTGACGTGTCCAGAAAGCAAGCTTGGGTTGATGCTGGTGCGACCTTGGGGGAGCTCTACACCAAAATCTCAAAAGCTAGCAAAACGCTAGCGTTTGTGGGTGGCGTTTGCCCTACGTTAGGAGTGGGAGGACATATCAGTGGCGGAGGATACGGAAATCTGATTAGAAAGTACGGTATCTCCGTCGATCATGTTGTTGATGCTCGAATAGTTGATGTCAACGGCAATATCTTGACCGGAGCTACCTTGGGAGATGATCTATTGTGGGCGATTCGAGGCGGTGGCGGTGCGAGCTTTGGAGTTATCCTCTCATGGAAAGTCAACCTCGTCGATGTTCCAAAGACCGTGACAGTTTTCAAGGTTAATAAAACATTGGAGCAAGGAGTCACTGATGTTCTTTACAAATGGCAGCTTGTCTCTAGCAAAGTGCCTCAGGAGCTTTTCTTGAGAGCAATGCCTAAAGTCGCAAATGCCACAAAATCCGGCAAGAAAACCATCGCGGTTTTCTTCTACGCTCAGTTTTTAGGATCAGCAAAGAAGCTCATGGCGATTATTAACAAGCATTTACCTGAATTAGGGCTAAAAAGTGAAGATGTTACGAAATGAGCTGGATTAATACGACGATGTTTTGGATGGATTATCCTGTGGGAACATCGACAAGCCATCTTTTGGATAGACCATCGGATCCTCCAAGAGCATTCTTCAAGAGTAAATCGGATTATGTCAAGAAGCCAATCCCAAAAGAAGGAATGGAGAAGATCTGGAAAACAATGTTGAAATTCAACAAAATGTACATTGAATGGAACGCTTACGGTGGAGTGATGGACAAGATTCCTGCGAATGCCACCGCGTTTCCTCACCGAAAAGGAAACTTGTTCAAGATTCAGTATTATGCATTATGGACCGACGCAAACGCCACAGACGCTAATCTCGGTCTAATGAGAGAGATATACCATGAGATGGAGCCGTACGTGTCAAGTAACCCGAGAGAGGCGTTCTTGAATTACAGAGATATCGATGTCGGAAGCAATCCGAGTGGTAAGACCAATCTTGAAGAAGCTAAGATCTATGGATCAAAGTATTTCTTGGGGAACTTTAAGAGATTGATGGAAGTTAAAGCTAAGTATGATCCTGAAAATTTCTTTAGATTCGAACAGAGTATTCCTCCTGTTCGTGCAATGTAACTCTTTTTTCAAGGTTTTTTTTTCTTTTTCTGTTTAATAAGTCATATGAGCATTTAACTAATAAAATAAAAACAAAAAGTTATATTAGCATGCATGCATTAAGCTCATGTAATCTGCATAACATATTAGCATATACTAAGATTGTCTGTTTTTGTGATATATTATGCAATGATCAAGAAAGAATTTGGGACTGTTTGTGTTAGATTTGTGAATGATTCAGCAGAATAAATTAGTTTTGCTTAGATATAGAAAACAAAGTTGTAGAGAAAATTTGACGTAGGCTTAGAATACCTTAAGCTTAGATCACTAGATCTCAAGGCCTTTCAAGCTTGGCTTTGCGGAAACGTGAGTGATGGTAGAGATGGGATGGAATGAGGATTTGTTGATTGATTCCAACCAACACACAAATATGAGAGCTTGAATATTCCACATATGTAGGACTAGGAGAACTTATAGTGCTCAGCACATAAACAAGCTAACGTACGGTGATAAATCTTAAACAAGAAACAAATAACTGTGCATAAAATTTTGAAATATGGCCGGTGCAGCCGTGGAGATGGTTGGAGCATTTGAGCACAAAACCATAATATCCACATAAATCCATAAAATCATTATAAAAAAACAATGGTTTTCGTCAGAAAAAAAAAAACTATTAGAACATAATAGAACAATTTCATCAAGCCTAAGTCCATTAGAGCATCCTCATCCCTAAACCTTATTGTGGGTATCTTAAAAGTTAATTAGTATTAAAATAAAGACACTCCTTTTGTCATCCATAAAGGGTTTAGGGATGAGGACGGTCTTAGAGGCTACAAGTAATTTAAATATGGAAAGTTTAATTAGGGCTTCCCGCATCTACGAGGGCTACGTTTTAGCGCGTCTTAATGATGCATACAAAATTAAACTAAGGGTTCTTTCGACGTCGTCGGTACAATTACTATGTCCCGATTTCTCAAGGTTTTCTGCCTCGCTTAAGCACTATGTAAGTTTTGTATTTGCAAGATTGTGTGTTTATGGGCAAAATAAGTTGGTAAAAAATGATCTAGAATGGTTTTGCTTGTACTTGTAAGATTGTAATACGAATCCCTTTCATATATTTCTTGTCTCTGTGGTCTATTTTTGTTTTTCTCTATCTTGCAAGAAGAAACAAAATCTACTTGGATGATTATAATACACTGTAGTGAGACTGAGATCGATAAACTTTTTTTTGAACAACAATATCCGACATTACTTGGTAAAAAAAATTATTAGGGAAGGCTTATATGAATTAGAAAAAAATCATGAAAACAGTTAAAACTATTTAAGTTATTACTAGTATTTTTAGGGAAGGCTTATAGTATTAGGGAAGGCTTATATTGATTTGACTTTATTTGTATATAGTATTTTTCTGTGAACAAATTAAAAAGTTTCCAAAATGCCGCACTTGAATCACATAAATTCGTTGTCCAACAAAAAAATCAAATAAAGTCAAATTACAGTAAATTATTAAAAGTTGACATTAATGTTTGAGGGAAAAAAAGATAAACGTTTCTGCCTTAAAAAAGAAAAATTTATTGCAAACTTTCTCGGTCATATCTTAGAGATTTTACACTAATACAAACGCAAACCATATTATTCGACAATACTAATGCAATGCATTAAAAGGTGAATTCAACGAGCTAATAAGCACTAACTCAAAAAAGTGAGAGGACAAGTCATTATGTTCTAGAATTATTATTATTTTCACCGACAAAATTTAATGATAACTGATTCTGAGTTTTTAGTTTTTAAAGAAAAAGAAAAAAAAAGGTTTCTTGACATTATGAGTTACACAATGTTATCAAAAACAAAAAATTGAATGAGGTTTCAGTGTGTCACATTACGTTACGTTTCCAATTACATTAAAAAAAAAAAAAAAAAGTATTCAACTTTCCCTCATTAGTCATTATTTCAGTTTCCATATTCGTAGGTTTATAAGTTTATTCAAAGTAAAACCCCTATGACCAACAAATTCAACTTTCAGTTTAATTTTCCATATTTTTTTCCTATAAGTCGAAATCCCAATTAATACATAAGACAAAAAAAAGATTACTTAAGATTTTTCTTTTCTTTTTGAGTTCTTCAATCAAAAGTAATGAAAAAAGTAGTCTATGTTCTGTTACTTGTTCTTCTTGTTTCGGTTTCAGATGCAAATGAAACGAAACCAAATACTGAAAACTTCCTCCTATGCCTTCGTAATCGGACCAGTCCGAAGAATTCGATCACTGAAGCCCTCTGTACTCATGAGAACTTCACCTTCGTGTCATCTTACGTGTCCTACACGAAAAACAAACGGTACTCAAACCCTAACGACACAAAACTAATCGCCATTGTTGCTGCAAAACATGAGTCTCATGTTCAGGCAACCGTGGTCTGCGCAAAGGTCAATGGAGTCCAGATCCGTATCCGAAGCGGCGGTCACGACTACGAGGGACTTTCGTATATCTCGTCTGTGCCGTTTATCATTCTCGACATGAACAATCTCCGGTCTATAACCATTGACGTGTTCAGAAAGCAAGCTTGGGTTGATGCTGGTGCGACCATGGGAGAGCTCTACACCAAAATCGCAGAGGCTAGCAAAACGTTAGCGTTTGCGGGTGGCGTTTGCCCTACATTAGGAGCGGGAGGACACATAAGCGGAGGAGGATACGGAAATTTGATTAGAAAGTATGGAATTTCAGTCGATCATGTCGTTGATGCTCGAATAGTTGATGTCAACGGCAATATTTTGTACTGGAGCTACCTTGGGACGTGATCTATTGTGGGCTATTCGAGGCGGTGGGGGCGCAAGCTTCGGAGTTATCCTTTCCTGGAAAATCAACCTCGTCGATGTTCCAAAGACCGTGACAGTTTTTAAGGTTAATAAAACATTGGAGCAAGGAGTTACTGATGTTCTCTACAAATGGCAGCTTGTCTCTAGCAAATTGCCTCGAGACCTTTTCTTGAGAGCAATGCCTCAAGTCATAAATGGTGCGGTACCTAGCGAGAAAACCATCGCGGCTGTGTTCTACGCTCAGTTTTTAGGCTCAGCAAGGAGGCTCATGGCGATTATGAACAAGAATTTGCCTGAATTAGGGCTAAAACGTGAAGATTGCTACGAAATGAGCTGGATTAATACGACAATGTTTTGGCAGAACTATCCTGTGGGAACATCGACAAGCCTGCTATTGGCTAGACCATCGGATCCGCCAGGAGCATTCTTCAAGAGTAAATCGGATTACGTCAAGAAACCAATCCCAAAAGAAGGAATGGAGAAGATCTGGAAAACAATGTTGAAGTTCAACAATATGTGGATGCAATGGAACCCTTACGGTGGAGTAATGGACAAGATTCCTGCTGATGCCACCGCGTTTCCTCATCGAAAAGGAAACTTGTTTAAGATTCAGTACTTTGCGTTATGGAGCGACGCAAATGCCACAGACGCTAATCTCGGTCTAATGAGAGAGATATACCATGAGATGGAGCCGTACGTGTCAAGCAACCCGAGAGAGGCGTTCTTGAATTACAGAGATATCGATGTCGGAAGCAATAGTAGTGGTAAAACCAATGTTGAAGAAGCTGCAGAGATCTATGGATCAAAGTATTTCTTGGGGAACTTTAAGAGATTGATGGAAGTTAAAGCTAAGTATGATCCTCAGAATTTCTTTAGATTCGAACAGAGTATTCCTCCTGTTCGTGCAATGTAACTCTTTTAAGCCATGTGGCATTTAACCAAAAAAACGAAATTAATATAAAAAGTAATCAGCATGCATTATAGCTCATGTAAGGATTGTCTGTTTTGTGATATTTGTTATTCAATGATCAATCAATTTGGGACTATCTGTGTTGGATTTGTGAAAGAATCGCATAAGAAAAATGACTATAAAAAAGGACCTAAAAACCATAAATTTCTTGGAAAACAATTAGAACACTTTCGTCAAGCCTAAGTCCATTAGAAACCTCTTTCTTCTGCTTTTTCGGCTTCCACATTCATGTCCACCTTGTAGTTTCCATTTGCTGCATATAAAGAAAGTAAAGCTGAGCATCACATGTACACCAAATGAGACCTAAACTAATATTAGTTAAACTATGAGCGGCGCATGTCTTAACAAGTATCTTCTTCTTGAAGCTCTGCAATCTCAAAACATTCAAAGCAAACTGTCCTTTTTCTGAAACACTCTGTTTCGCGCGGTTTTATACTTGAAAAAACTAAACAAGGTCCCTTCTAAGTAACTATATGTGTTGTTGACTTGTTTCATATAGGAAATGAAGTAATACTAGTAAACTCAAAACTGACCTGAAACATTAAACGTTTCTTCCCATGCAACATCTTCTTCATCTTCCTCTTCACGTTTACACTTCATACCAACCTGACGATCTGAGGATGTAGTAGCCAATTCAATGTCAGTGCGTGGTTGTTGATTGGCCTGCGGATTCTTGCTGATTCAGCTTTTCAGCTAGCTCTTGCTGCTCCAGTTTAGCGGCCAAGTAACCTTTGATATAATTATTCTGAAGCTAAACAAAAATACTATATCAAAATCCACAAAGATGCTACTGTGAGAATCTAGACACAAAGATTTTTTCCCCAAAAGGCATTACCTTCAAATCCTTATCATCATCACCATTTCCCATGGTTGATTTCTTGTCATCTGAAAGTTCTGAAGCTTCTCCTGAGCCACCATCATAAACCTTTGCTCCATGTCTTATATTTCTCCTCTTTGTTCATCGGTCAGATTCATTCCTTTCTTGATCAACCATGAAGGCATGAGTTTCCGACTAGATTCTCCACCTTCATCAGATTTGACTTCTTCTTTTCCTTCACCAAGGTTAACCTCAATCTAACCAAGATCAAAGAGATCAATTAACCACACAATAAAAAGAGGAAAATTTCAGGGAAAGCTTTCCAAGACTTAGATTTTTCTATAGTCCATGTAACTAACTAACGCTTACCTCTGTCTCTCCGAGAAATGGCCTCGGTGTTGAACCATACCCACCTTGTGACCTCAAAGTATCATCAGGGTTAAGATCACCATTTTCACGAGCAGACTTAGCTGCACGAGCCTCCCATACCGGAAAAGATTCAAAGCTAGGAACCGGTAGGTCTTTTATTCTGTTTATATGATCTATCAGAGGTTTCAGTCGAACCTCCATATTCTGAAGCAAATCTTTTAGTTGATCCCGCCATCTCCTTGCATTGTCACTTCCATCTACGACTACTAGTACTTGTACTTCTTGGGAAGTTCGCTTGTTACATTCCATAACAAGTTCATGATTACAATTTTCACAATGAAAAGAATCGTCTTGCATAGAAAGTAATCTCAGAACATCCAGTGCACTATATCTACACCAGAAATGAGAATCTATTTAGGATAAGTGAACATACATATATATATAACACAACTCATAAATATAAATATTTATAACATAAAGAGTAGTGGACTTTACTTCCTTTTGCAGTTATGACAGCCATACTCTTGCACATTATCCTTATCTTCTAGTTCATCTTTCATCTCTTTCTTCATCCGGTGCAGTTTGTAACGAACAACATCATATATCTGTAAGAAAGAAGAAGACAAAGTTAGTATGATTGACTTAAATCTTTCTTATTGATCGAATTATGTTTCTCAATTACAAATATTTTGAAGTTTATCTCTGAACGTTGTTATGAATGTTCATTCAAGATCTTATTGTACTAACAATTAAAAATCTTGTGGATGCCATAGAATTAGCTGCAATAGTTTCAGTAAATTATCATAGGCAATAGTGGATTTTTTTTTTGTAAGCAGAGGCAAATTGGTTTAGCTAATTTACTAAACCGATCAATAACCGAAGCAATTGTGTCTTAAGTTAAACTGGTGATTCGAACGTGCATGTGTAATGGGTCTTTAAACTAAGTTAAGCCCAAGAGAGACAAACGAGTTCTTTGAAATATGCCCACAATTGGTTTTGGACCTTTGGTTTGTCAAGTAGTATAACTTTTCTCAAGGACAAAATACAATCATAATTAACTTGCCGATAAAAGTAATAATGACAAAATCTTCAAAGTTTGAACAAATCTACAAGAAGATAGACATAAATCTTCTAAAAATGGTAAATGGTAAGAGGACATTTGACAAATTAACATTCGGATGTATCAATACACTCTTTTTTTGTATTATATAATAAGTGAAATAAACACTCAAGAACGTTATCTACTTGTCAACAATCAACATCACACAAGAGTTTTTAGAGTGTTGTCCGATAAGAAAAGCTTTTAGAGCGAAGTAAAGATACACACCATCACCATCGATCGTTCGAACTGAAGAAACCAGTCTCTTTAGAACTGGATCTTACGGTCAGAATTTCACATTTTCATGTAATTTATATGTTCTCTTCGTTATTTCTGCATTGGATTTTTGTTTTTGAGATCTATTACTTTTATAATTGAGGTTTTGAACTTTTGGATCGGTCAGGTTTTTGGTGCATATTGAGCTTTTTGTTTGATATTTACAAACCTTCAATCGTCGTCGTCTCCTTGCAATTTCCGTTGGTGAGTCCTACTTTCCTTATGTGTTATTTTTCTTATGTAGTTCTTGAGCATCTATACATTATTTTTGGAAAAAACTAGAAAACAAAACAACACTTGTGCGTTTTTCAACGATCCCAATGTTTCTTATCTGCTGTAATAAACTCACCAATCATCTTTTTCAATATATGGAGATGCTAGTTAAATTTAGGTGTAACCTTGTTTATTTTTATGCGTATAGGTTTAATAGATTTTAGTTTAGGCTGGTAGTTGCAACTTTAGATTTTCGTTTGCGCGCGAATTTTATATGTCGACAGTTATGTTCAAAATATGTCGACCGTTGTGTTCAAAAACTTTCTCTCAATTTGGACATCGATTTCACATATATATTATTAGACTGCTTGAATATCCCATATTGGAAACTGGGATACATATAAGCTCGTATATAAGGTTCTCTACGGAATCTTGAATTAAGTTAACACATTTTAGTTGACATAGGACCACAACACTAATCCAATAAAAAAGAAGCTTTTCAACCTCAAAACTCCAACATATAAGAAAAATAGAGAGATATTTGATAACTTTTATGTCTAAGATGTTTATTTGATAAACTCCTTTCGATGATCAAAACCAAAAATATACAACATGTTATCAATAACGCACGAACCAACTTTCCAATTCACTATTCAACATTAAGTCCATCTACTATATATATACCTTTCTTAGGATCATAAACAAGATATTGTACGATCTATTATGTAAATCTTCTCGTCCATCACAATATTATTTAGCGTTATCTTTTACACGTTTTCATTACACAAACCCAAAAAAATATTCTCAAATTTTCTCCTTGAATAACCCAAATATCCCAATAATCTGTCTTATTACACCCTTGGATTAGATAGATATATACAACATTAAACGATGGCACACACATACTAGAAAGAATTTGACACGTGCTAAGCATACTATCGATAAAAACACATTATAGGTGAGCTCACTAATGATCCCTCCACCAAGAACATAGATCTATTGGCATATTACAATAATAGAATATCCCCAACAAGGCAGAGAAAGGAAAGAAGGAAATGGAACCAATTTGTGGTCATAAGAGTTAGATTCATTTTTTCGTATGGTTTTCGATTGAGAGTTTACCAATTGTCTTTTTCATGATTACAAAGTGATGAGACAATGAAAGTCCTAGAGACTAGAGATAATGAAGGGTAGTCACATCATGGAACGCAAGAAAAACACTTTACAATGATTTTATTTGGTAGCAAAAGAGATGAAGAAAACAAAGATCATTTTACATCAGCTGGTTTCTTAAATTTTGGAGAAGTATCTGCTGCGTTTTCACTAACTACAAAAGTCATATTCAATATGAGTATGAACTGTGAAAGTAAGGGTGGCGGTAAAAGTTTATCTAATAATTTAATTACTTTTATTAAATAGGTTTAAAATCCCTGATAGATTGTGTATGACTAACCTATTTTGAGAACGGGGGTTTTAACCTATTTTGAGAAATTAGTTAAACTTATGCCGCCATCTTTCTGTTGATAGTTCATACTCATACTAAATGTGTCTTTCGTGGTTATTGCAAACGTCGTAAATTTCCTACCAAAATTCAAGAAACTGACTAAAGTAAAATTATCTTTGTTTCCTCCATCTTTTTCTCTGTCACATAATATCATTGCGAAATGTTTTTCTTAACTATGACCCAAGATGTGACCACCTTTCACTATATCTTGTGTCCACGGCTTTTCGTCGTTTCATTGCTTCGTCAAAGATTTGCACCTTCAATCCTTGAATGGGCATAAAACGTTCTTTCACGTGTCATTGAGATATGATCATGAAGACGATCCTAATTGGTATACTCTCAGTCAAGAATCATACCAAAAAAAATCTATCTCTTATAACCACAAATTAGTTGCATTTCCCTATATCTCTTCTCTTCCTTGTTAGGAGATCTTCTAGTATTGTAAAAAGTCAAGAAATCTATGTTTTAGTGGGTGCATTAATGGTGAGCTCACCTTTAATGTGTTTGTTATCGATTGTTTGATTAGCACGTGTCGATTTCTTCATATTATGTGTGTGACATGAGATTGTGCTGCATTTGGTGTTGTAGATGGGAAAATCTATGTAATCTCAAAGTGTAATAAGACATAATTGTTGGATATATACTTGGGTCGAGGTTTTGACCTTAAGAAGCAAGTTTGGAAATGTTTTTCGGGATTATATATATGAAAAGGTGTAAACGGTAACGCTCAAGAGAATTGTGATGAACGAGAAGATGAACATTATGGATATTACAAATAACCTTTTTTATGATCGTAAAGACTGTATATGGGAGAGAGACTTCATGTCTTCATGTTGAATATTGAATGAAAAGTTGGTTCGGGTGTTATTGACAACATGTTGTACCGTTTTTGGTTTTGATCATCGTAAGAGAGTTTATCGAATAAGATGCGTCTATGATTGATCCGGGAGTTAGGGTTTGGAGATATGTGAAAGGTGCTGAAGATCTACCAAAGATGCATGACACTCAAGGGTCTAGAAAAGCTGATCAAAGCGGGAAACTTGCAAGTTTTCTTAACCTTGATGAAAATAGAGAAACAAAGATTTTGTGTATAGACTATAGAGGTTGCATTGGAAAAGCGACGACACCAAAGATAGATTTGGAAAAGAAGTTTTGTGGCCTAATATTGTGCTAAACTTGAAAAATTCTCTAACCATTGTTTAATGTTTAGATGTAACAATTTGATAGTAATCAATGATATTGGCTTTTCTTTTCTATTCGTACGGAATAATGAAGATGCAAATATATAATCATTTTTAATTTTCAAAATGGATCACAAATCTGATTCGGAATCTCAGTTACGAAGTCCAAGTATTTGACTAATAAGCTTTACTCTTAAAAAGCATCTTTACTATTGGACTAACAACGTGGTGTAATTAACGTACGTTCTAATCCAAGACTTCATAGAGAACAAAAAAGTGTGAGACTACTAAACTAGTTACGTACGTTGGAGTTATTAAACTGGACAAGAGTTTAGAGTAGTTTCCATTTCTAATCGATCGCTATCAATATTCATTATTATTGAACCTACCCTTGTTTCCGTCTATATCCACAATCCAATTATCGTGTGGTGATCTTATTACGAAACAAAAAACCACGGTTTTAAAAGAAAACGTCAATATCTACCGGTTAATATATAATATCATGCATGTGGTCGTCCATCAACGTTACTCATACAATTGCTCTAACCAATACAATAATAACTCCTTTGTATGCATATCGTCCTTAGAACAACTTTAATATGGAGATACAAAATGCTTTTTACGTGATTACAAATCATCCGTGAAAATTCATGCTAAACTTGTTTAAGACGAACTATTTTGCAGGATTACAAATCAATCTAGCGATAATGTAAATTTAGGTTAAGATATTTGTCACATTAAAATCGACCCACATAACTGAATCAATACCAACAACAATAACCCTATTGAATTGCTTCACATCAGTCCAAATTAGTCCCACTCAATGTATGACAAATGCCATTCAATTATCACATCCATCTATTATTATTTGGATCAAGACGTGTGATTCTATCTATCCACAACTTTTCTTATATCCCACTACCAAATCTTTAAATGTTTTCACTTTCAATTTTCTTAAATCTTACTCCAAAACCTAATTTAAAATTAGTAAATATTCTGTCCGCTTCACTGTTCCATCTTTCTACCTAAAAGCAAACTTCATTGTTGCAGAAACCAAAACAAAAATATGAAACTCCAAAGCTTCTTTAGCTATGTATTGATCTTCTTCACTACCATTACCTTACTTCTATCAAGTTCTCATCCGGTTTCAGCTAACCAGACCAATCAAGCCGGTTTCCTCCAATGTCTCTCTCTCCGGTTTAACGACTCTAACATCGTTTCAAGAGTCATACACACACCAAACGACACTTCTTTCTCCTCTGTCTTAGCTTCATCAATACAGAATCCAAGATTCTCTGCTCCTGATACACCTAAACCGGTTTTAATCCTAACTCCGGTTCAACCTTCCGATGTTCAATCAGCGGTTAAATGCGCACGCCGGTTCGATATCCACATCAGAACCCGAAGCGGAGGACACGATTACGAAGGCCTTTCTTACGTTACCCACAAACCCTTCGTAATCCTCGATTTAAGTAACCTCCGGTCTATCACAATCGACATCGATAACCGGTCGGTTTGGGTCCAAACCGGAGCCACGATCGGTGAACTATACTACGAAATCGGAAAAAAGAATCGAACTTTAGCGTTCCCCGCCGGAGTTTGCCCCACCGTCGGCGTCGGAGGACACTTCAGCGGCGGAGGCTACGGTACTTTACTGAGAAAACACGGTTTAGCAGCCGATCACGTGATAGACGCACGTGTTGTCGACGCAAGAGGGAGGGTTCTTGAAAGACGAGAGATGGGTGAAGATTTCTTCTGGGCGATTCGTGGAGGTGGTGGATCAAGCTTTTGCGTTGTACTTTCATGGAAGATCGGTTTAATCAATGTTCCATCAACAGTAACTGTCTTCAACGTCACGAAATTCTCAGAACAGAGTTCTTTAAAGATCATTCATCGTTGGCAATTTGTGGCTGATAGAGTCTCTAATGATTTATTCATACGAGTTATGTTGCAGAGATACAAGAACATGGTTCGAGCTTCGTTTCCGGGTCTGTATCTTGGTTCGGTTAACAATCTGTTGAAAATGGTTAACCGGGAATTTCCTGAATTGGGTTTGGAGGAAGATGATTGTCAAGAGATGAGTTGGATTGAGTCAGTGGTTTGGTTTGCTGAGTTAGGAGAAGAACCTATTGATGTTCTTAGTAAACGTACACGAGCGTCGTTGGCTTTCAAGGCTAAATCTGATTTTGTTCAAGAACCAATGCCTAAAACCGCGATTTTGAAGTTGTGGAGACGGTTGCAAGAACCGGAGGCAGAGCATGCTCAGCTAATTTTCACTCCATTTGGTGGTAAAATGAGTGAGATTGCGGATTACGAGACGCCATTTCCGCATCGAAAGGGGAATATATATGAGATTCAGTACTTGAATTACTGGAGAGAAGACGTGAAAGAGAAGTATATGAGGTGGGTGGAGAGAGTTTACGATGAAATGAGTGAGTTTGTGGCGAAGTCTCCGAGAGGAGCTTATATAAATCTAAGAGATCTTGATTTGGGGATGTATGTTGGAGGTAAGATGAGTAAGTACGAGGAAGGGAAGAGTTGGGGAGTGAAGTATTTTAAGAATAATTTCGAGAGATTGGTGAGAGTTAAGACAAGTGTTGATCCTTTTGATTTCTTCTCTGATGAACAGAGCATTCCTCCTTTTAAATCTGTTGAAGTTATTTGAAAGATTCAAGATTCTGTACCTGAAACAGAGAGCTAGAGTAGTATAGTGAAGTGTTTGGTTGGTTAGGTATATGTGATCTAGTCAAGTCTAGATGAAAATGAAGTTCTTTTTTTTTTTGCTAAGAATGTAAATATTCATTTCACAATGAAAGTTTCGGTTACACAATAAAGGATAACCAAATCATGGTCCCATGGCAAAAAAGGATAAAAAAACATGGAAGCATACAACATTCTTGAACCTAATCTTCGATTCTCGCTAAAGAAGATGATTGGGAACAAGATAAGGTGAATCCCTAAAGTGAGCTAGGAAAGGAAACAATACGAAGACATATCATTAAAGCTCACGAAACACCCTAAAGCGAGAAGATAGCCCTTTCAACGGTAATCCGAACTCAACAGGGAATTGCGGAATTGCCGAGCTAAATGTGTTAGGCAATGCTTACTCACTCTATCGAGTCCCTCTTGGAGTCGGTAGCTCAGAGTCTGGCAACATCTTACCCACAAAGAGCCATACTAACACCACCAAGCGCAAAGAGTAATAACAGAAACTTCAACAAAAATCTTCAAAGTTTCACACTAAGACACTAATCCGATGTAGCTGAGCTTAGGCTTAGGCAAAAATGACAAGAGGAGACAGTAAACTTGAACGCAGCAGCGAGGACTCAAGTGCGACATGCCAAGGAATTGCACGGAAATGGCATGGGCAGCGACGGTGGGCAGACCTCAAACCCTTTGTCAAGCGTAGCCCTCAAATCCATCCTAGACGAAACTCACAAGAACCTGCAGGGGCAAAACTAGTCTCGGACAAAAACCAATCCACAATAATAGTTAACCACCTTTGGCTTGGGAATTGGCATTAGGTAGCTTGCAAGTAGATAGAGAAGCCGGCTCTAACAACAAACCACAACACGAAGCACCTTTGAAAGACCAACTCCCCCGGTATAAACAAAAAGAGAGGATCAAAATCACCGGTGGCTGAGACCTCAGCATTACAAGCCACACCTACAACAACAACACACAAAACAGAGACTCCGAGCATACCAGAGTACGCGACGAGCCATGATATATTTCATTGTATTTTCATTCAAAGACATTAACGTGTAGAAGAAGAAATCCTTAAAGGAATTTGCTAGAAAACTCTCAGAAGAAGAACATAAGTTTTCTTCAAAAGCAAGCAGGTCTAGGTTAAAATACTGATAATGGAACATGCATGGATAGTGAAGATAAATAGTTCATGACGGAAGCAGTGTACACGGTGACTTAACCAGAAAGTTTTAAGAACGTCCACTCCGTCTACTTAACCTGAGTGGACGTTTTGGTTGCGGAGGAAGCTTGTCCTAGCTCTAGATCGACAAGACGTTATGGTTTCTTGCACGTGAAGTAAACTGATGGAAGCAACAACAGATAGTGATGCCATAAGCAATCGTAGTGGTCATGCACTCACAGATGCTGATGAAGAAAAATGCTAGGCGTTAATCAAACATTTGAATTTTAAGAATTAATCTGTGAAATGATGTATAAGACAGAACAATTATAAACCAAAGGCTTAACTAATAACTTTTTGAGATGCAAAATAGAATTGTTACTTTTCGGCATAATGGGAAGTAAAAGAAAAAAGAAGAAAGACACGTTTATTGTGGAATGAATATGTGAACGCATACTCACAACGTTTTTCAATGTAATCCACACAAATACAACCCTTTCACTTTCAACTTTAACAACCAAACATAATAATAAAAATAATTTTTGTTGCTTTATCATAATGAATCTTATAGTTTAACTTAATCATTTTTTTTCTCTATATTTCAATTGAAACTTCTTACTTTTACAGGTTTTAAGGGTTTATGTTTAGACCTTTTTTATCCTGACCATTGCCCTCATGAGCTTTTTTATCCCAACATTTCCTACATGACCTTTTTTATCCCAACATTTTATGTTGAAAAATGCACTAGAGAATGGAATTGTATCGTGTACATCTCTAATATTACAGCTCGTCAACAAAGTATGCATCTAATCAAAGGAAAATACAGTTTCTTCTTCTTTCTTTTTAAAAAACTATTGTTTCGTATAAAGAAATTTATGTACTTGTTTATTGGATCTTTTAAAAAATTCTTAACAGAAGAGGACTTTTTACCCAAAATAAGAGAACTTGAAAGTTAATCTATTGAATCATTCAGTCGAAAAAAAAAAAAAGAGAACTTGAAAGTCAGAAACATCAAAGCTGAAAATGAAATGAGTGTACAAAACTACAATCACCACCATAATCAAATTAATAGTCAAAAACTTTTAATGAGACTCATCTCTGATTTTGATGGTTCATGCAAATTAAATTCTCAAGAGATATTTTCAGAATTCTAGTCAATATTTTGTTCCATTCACATGAATTTTCTGAATATATATATATAGCGGAAATACATAGAGTGATAGAGAAAAATTAAACGACTATACTAATTCTATTTTTAAAATTTTTTGAGTCTACAATATATTTTTTGTCATAAAAGTGGGAAAATAAAAGCGAACAAAAAAAAATGCAGTAAATTGTGGCGAATCTTTTTTTTTTTAAACCTGTTCTTTGTTCATTCATAAAACAATAGTTATTTGCTACTTTTTATATTTTAATAGTTCATTTAGATAATAAATAGGTTAAATTAGTTTGTGTACGAATTCTTGGATATTAGTTTGTAATTGTATCGTCAGTTTTCATTTGGTAATAAGTAAAAGGAAAACGAACAAAAAAGACGTTATGGTTTCTAAATGCTTTTGAACCATTTGATTTTCAACTATAACAATACAATTTCAATTGAAATTTCTTTAGAGGGTTTAAGATTTACGTGTACACTTGCAATATCCTAACAGTAAACACTGCCATCAGTGTACATCCTAATATTGTAGACTCGTCAACAAAAATATGCACCTTATCTAAGCAACTATAGTTTTCCCGTCAAACAAAATAATATTTGTATATCGTTATCTATTTGAAGTCTTAACAGAAGGAGACTTTGCTCTCAACATGGGAAGAAGACTTGAAAGTCAGACGCATCAAAGATGAAAACTAAATGAGTGTACAAAATTTTAATATACAATGTATTTGATCATATTAGTATTACAGAAGTTTAACTTGTAACGCGTTTCTCTGATTTGATGGTTGTTGAAAAATCTTAATTTATAGCATTTCAGAATGTCTAGTCAAAATTTTCCATTCACATGCTAATTTTTGTTGCTATAGAAGAATATATAGAGAAAAATAAAACAAATACTGACTGTTAACAAAATGGAAGGAGTCTACAATTCTATTTTTCATCAAAAAGTGAAAATGATAAGCGAACAAACAAAAAGTTGCAGGAGATTGAATCGAAGCTTCGTTTATAAAACGATGTACATAACTACATATTAGTTGTTTAAAGTCTTAAAGTTGGACTTTTCTTTTGCTCATCCATCCACTAGTCCCACAACCCCAATTGGATTACATTACCGACGCCGACCAATCAATGCTACGACCATTGACTTGAGAACATCGGATGCAAAAAAAAAAAAAAAAAAAAAAAAATTAATAAAGCGTTTCTACACTTTTTACCATGTGGTTCTAGACCAAAACTGTCCTTTTTCATCTACGAAATCTCTAATATGCAAATCTCTGATAATAAGAAAATAAATTATACTTAGATATACTGATGTGTAGATCATCTTTTAATAAATCTTTGAAACTTCAAATACTATAATGAATCAAATGAACATAAATGTAGATGAACTGAATAAAGTTTTAGATACATTTAAATTAAATATGTATCCTTAGTTTTTTTTAAATGAAATCTGGATTTTAAATTCTTATAATTCCATTGTCAAAAATAAAAATCTTTTCCTTAAGTATTTTTCTAAATCAAACAAAAAATGAAATCTGTAATCACTAATCATATCCCTAATTCCCTCTTATATCTTCAGTTATGCGAATAAAAAAAAAAGTACTTTCCAAAAAAAAACAGATCTTCTTCTCCCTGCGGTTATAAATAAACACGGATAAGTACAAGAACAGAGGAACACGAGACCCAAGAACAAAAAGATCCCATTTTTCACAAAATGCTCACGACACCTCCACGAACCTTTGTCTCTGTCCCTTTCTTCTTCCTCCTCTTCTTCTCTCTACCTCTCTCATCTCTCTCTCAACCATCTCCTTCCTCGTCGAACTCTGTATACAACTCTTTCCTCAAGTGTTTCTCCGAGAAGACGAAATCTCCACAATCCCAAATCACTGACAATGTCTTCTCTCAGAGCAATCCTTCTTTCTCCTCCGTCCTCCGTGCTTACATCCGCAATGCGAGGTTCAACACTTCCTCTACTCCAAAACCCACCATCATAATCACTCCTCGCTCCGAGAGCCACGTCAGCGCCGCCGTCACTTGCTCAAAAACCCTAAATTTCCTCCTCAAAATCCGAAGCGGCGGTCATGATTACGATGGTCTCTCTTACATTTCCGATAAACCCTTTTTCATCCTCGACTTGTCGAATATCCGTGATGTCTCTGTAGATATCGCCTCGAATTCGGCTTGGCTCTCCGCCGGAGCTACTCTCGGAGAGGTTTATTATCGGATTTGGGAGAAAAGCAAAGTCCATGGATTCCCTGCCGGAGTTTGTCCGACGGTTGGTGTTGGTGGCCATTTAAGCGGCGGTGGTTACGGTAATATGTTGAGAAAATTCGGATTATCTGTGGATTACGTTGAGGATGCGAAGATCGTCGATGTAAACGGTCGGGTTTTAGATCGGAAATCAATGGGTGAAGATCTTTTCTGGGCAATTACCGGTGGAGGAGGAGGTAGCTACGGCGTCGTTTTGGGATACAAGGTCAAGCTTGTTCCTGTGCCACCGATCGTTACGGTTTTTAGAGTGGAGCAGTATATGGATTCAGGAGCTGTGGATATGGTTTATAAATGGCAATCAGTTGGTCCGAAAACCGACCGGAATCTGTTTATGAGAATGTTGATTCAACCAGTTACGAGGAAGAAGGTGAAGACTGTGAGAGCTTCTGTGGTTGCTCTGTTTTTAGGCAGAGCTGACGAAGTTGTTGCTTTGCTTCGTAAGGAGTTTCCTGAATTGGGTTTAAAGAAGGAGAATTGTACGGAGATGACTTGGTTTCAGTCTGCTTTATGGTGGGATAATCGTGTTAATGCTACTCAGGTTGATCCTAAAGTGTTTCTTGATCGGAATCTTGATACAGCGAGTTTCGGGAAGAGGAAATCGGATTATGTCGCGACTGCGATTCCTAGGAATGGGATTGAGTCTTTGTTCAAGAAGATGATTGAGTTGGGGAAAATCGGGCTTGTTTTCAATCCGTATGGAGGGAAAATGGCGGAGGTTGCGGTTAACGCTACACCATTTCCTCATCGAAACAAGCTTTTCAAGATTCAGTACTCTGTGAACTGGAAAGAAAACTCTGCAGAGATAGAGAAGGGGTACTTGAATCAGGCTAAGGTGCTTTACAGTTTCATGACCGGTTTTGTGAGCAAGAACCCTAGGAGTGCGTACTTCAATTACCGGGATGTGGATATCGGTGTGAATGATCATGGGGTGAATAGTTACAAGGAAGGAGAGGTGTATGGAAGGAAGTATTTCGGAGAGAATTTCGATCGATTAGTGAAGATTAAAACCGCGGTTGATCCCGGGAATTTCTTCAGGAATGAACAGAGTATACCTACCTTGAAAAGTAAGGCATAAAAGATATTTGATCATTTATTATACAGATTGGTTTGCTATAATGTAATGTTTTAGTGAAGCACTAAAGAATATATGGTTTTGGATATTGTATATTGTATAGTTTCTCTGTTCTAGGAACTCTACAACAAGCTCATTTTATCATGTTTAAGCCTATATTGGGTTTGTATGAGCGAAGTAATAAGTCAAAGTTTCTGGTGATAAAAAATTGAATTCAAAACCACTGATTGTTGAAAATAGCTAACCTGCTTTCGAAATTTAAGGTGAAAATTGTGGTTTGGTTTGGAGTAGTTGACAATGATTCTTGTCAGCTGCTGCTATTTTGTGTAATGAAATGATAGTGTTGACTTTTGGACCCAATTTGGTCGCAGATGCAAAGGAAACGTTGTTGCCTGAGCCGGGAAAGGCGAAACGGTGGTCACGAGCTGGAGGAGCCACCGTAGTTGCGACGGTGGTCTTACATGTCTTCTAGAATCTTGAAATTGTTTTTTGTTTTGTTTTGAATTGTTGAGTGATGATATCTCTTCATAAGATGAACAGAGCCTCACTCTTTCAGATCTTTCTAAGTTATCTGAAGTAGTTGCAAGTGTTTTTAAAGGTTGAGATTTGCATTAGAAACAGAGCATACAATGAAGTGTTAGTGAGTGGGTTGGCTTAGATGTCATTAATAATCATCTAATGCTTTTTTCTGATATAGCCATAGCTTTGAGGAATTTGCCAAAAAAAAAAAGAACACGAGAGAGTTTCGTTAAAATGTTTTAGATATTATTTTAGTAAGAGGACTAATTCTATACCTTCAGAAAACATAGAAATAATCTAATGGGACTAATTTGATTTGATTTCACCAAATAAGTAAAAGACATAAAAATAATCTAATTTGATTACCCTTGATTCTTTCCTCTGCCCTTCCTAATGCTACCTTGACCAAGCAAAAAGGATTTGATTTAAGTTAAGATTAATTAAGATAAGTCTAAACTTTTTTGGTCATTAGAGATACTAAAACCATAGGAGGATTACAACACCGAGAACAAGAGTTGAAAGTCTCACAAACTAAGTCGGCGGACAATATAATATTTCTTACTAAGGAAATTCAGAAACCTAAACGGATACAAGGCAAAGACGATAAAACCCGAGAAAAGACAATTATATATGTCATGCAGAACATCTAAATACTCCTCCAGAAAACTTTTGACAGCTAAGACCATGCACATAGGTGATTTTAATTGAGTATCAGTAGCCCAAAAATCATTTTTTAATAGACCAAAGCATGTATTTGGGCATGATTCGTATCAGCCCACTGATACCTTTGATACTCAGTATCAGGTGACGTGGCAGCACACGGTTGGTTACTGAAAGCAGAGAAAAAAAAAAAAAATTCACTTTCCCTTCTCTAATTTACCAAAGAAGTTGTGGAAAACAAACCAACGATAAGGAATACTTCCTATAGTAAATCCATGGTATCACGCCAAACGAAAGACCAAGGCTTCATAATCCGACAAAAAAAACAAATCTTTCTGATGTGGATAAGTCTGCAAGGACTTTGAAACGTTTTGATATATAAAAACTTTATGAAAATATCATACACAATCCATTCTAAAACGTAATTAAGATAACTCTAATAACAACATGTACATAAATAAATTTATATTAAAATATGCAATTAGGATTATTATATACGAAAAAGATAGAGATATTGGAGTTCAAATGATTACTAAAAAAACAAGAAAAAAAAAAAAAAAACATATCTTATCTTCTCTGTCTTGCGGCTATAAACTACAGAACAGAGAAGAAGCAACGAATCTCATTACAACGATGATTACAACACAAACATTTGTCTTTGTCCTCTTCCTCGTATCTCTCCCTTTCTCCACATTCGCTGCACCTCCGTCGTCGGACTCTACCTACGAATCATTCGTTCAGTGTTTCTCCGACAAGACGAAATCTCCACAAGCCCAAATCACTGACAATGTCTTCTCTCGGACAAACCCTTCTTTCTCCTCCGTCCTTCGTGCTTACATTCGAAATGGGAGGTTCAACACTTCATCTACTCCAAAACCCACTATCATCGTCACTCCTCGTTCCGAGAGCCACGTCAGCGCCGCCGTCACTTGCTCAAAAACACTAAATTTCCTCCTCAAAATCCGAAGTGGTGGCCATGATTACGAAGGTCTCTCTTACATCTCCGATAAACCCTTTTTTATACTCGACATGTCGAATCTCCGTGATGTCTCAGTCGATATCGCCGATCAATCGGCGTGGATCTCTGCTGGAGCAACTCTCGGCGAGGTTTATTACAGAATTTGGGAAAAAAGTAAAGTCTATGGATTTCCCGCCGGTGTTTGTCCGACGGTTGGTGTTGGTGGACATATAAGCGGCGGTGGTTACGGTAATATGTTGAGGAAATTCGGATTATCAGTTGATAACTTGATTGATGCAAAGATCGTCGATGTAAATGGTCAGATTTTAGACCGGAAAGCAATGGGTGAGGATCTTTTTTGGGCGATTTCCGGTGGAGGAGGAGCTAGCTTCGGCGTCGTTTTAGGATACAAAGTCAAGCTCGTTCCTGTGCCAGAAACTGTAACGGTTTTTAGGGTGGAGAAGTATATGGATTCAGGAGCGGTGGATATGGTTCACAAATGGCAATCAGTGGGTCCGAAAACCGACCGGAATCTGTTTTTGAGAATGTTGATCCAACCAGCGACGAGGAAGAAGGTGAAGACGGTGAGAGCTACTGTGGTGGCTCTGTTTTTAGGCAGAGCAGACGAAGTTGTTGCGTTGCTTCGTAAGGAGTTTCCTGAATTGAGTTTAAAGAAGGAGAATTGCACGGAGATGACTTGGTTACAGTCTGCTTTATGGTGGGATAATCGTGTTAACCCTACTCAGATTGATCCTAAAGTGTTTCTTGATCGGAATCTTGATAGAACGAATTTCGGGAAGAGGAAATCGGATTACGTTGTGAGTGAGATTCCTAGAGATGGGATTGAGTCTTTGTTCAAGAAGATGATCGAGTTGGGGAAAATCGGGCTTGTTTTTAATCCGTATGGTGGGAAAATGGCGGAGGTTACGGTTGATGCGACCCCGTTTCCGCACCGAAACAAGCTTTTCAAGATTCAGTACTCGGTGACCTGGCAAGAAAACTCTGTCGAGATAGAGAAGGGCTTCTTGAATCAGGCTAACGTTCTTTATAGTTTCATGACGGGGTTTGTGAGCAAGAACCCCAGAAATGCTTACTTGAATTACCGAGATGTGGATATTGGTGTGAACGATCATGGTACGAATAGTTATGAGGAAGGAGAGGTGTATGGAAGGAAGTATTTTGGAGGTAATTTTGATCGATTAGTAAAGGTTAAAACCGCTGTTGATCCAGATAATTTCTTCAGGAATGAACAGAGTATACCTACCTTGCCTAGCAAGGCATAGTGTTAAACAAATTTAGCTTTTTTTTTTCTTAATAAATGAAAACATTTGGTTTTGATTAAACCAACAATGTTGATTTGGAATATTGTATTCACGGAACTCCTACTATAATAAAGATTCTTTTGTCACTAAAAGTTTTTTTAATTATTATTAAGTTCTTTTCCTTTTAAGTGAAAAGCATAAAAGAGGTTTGTATTGATGGTGTAATTTGATGTAGCTACCTAATCTTGAAACTTGTGGAGGAAATTGTTGAATTTAGGGTTTTGATTTGGATTAGTAATTTCGTATAAGAGATGATGATTCTCGTGAGTAAATTTTGGATTTTGTAAGAAATGTTAGTGTTGACTTATTGACTTTAGACCTTTTTGGGTTGCAATTGCGAGGGGAACGAAGATGTAACCTAAGACGGCCACAGCCAAACGGTGGGCATGAGCCAAAGGTGCCATCGTCGTCGTAGGACTTGTGCCGGTGGTCTTAAAAGTCTTCTAAAATCTTAGACTGAATAGTTGACTAAAGCCTGAAAGTCAAACTTTGTAGATAGATTCCTGTATCAACTGCACGTCTTAACGGATTTTCGTTTTAGGTTTTTAAGGGATTAAAGAAAATTCTGGGTTTCTATTTTAATGCGAGTAACAAAAGAAAATGTATAATTAATTATGGATGGTTCAAGATTCCAAAGTGTAATAATGATTTTGCGTTATTAATTCAACAAAGATGGCTCGACAAAATAGTTTATTAATCCTTTTTTGTTTTAATAGTTTCTGAGGCTTAAACTACCATCGACTTTTTTAATAGAGTCAATGATCACTGAATTATCTAAGGCATGCCAAAAACTCGTAGTGGCCATTGTGCTATATATCACACATTGAGCACTACCTTCGAAAAAAGTGGTCAATTATCCAAGTGTATATATCTCAAAAAAGATCATGACAGGACAGGACAGAGTTGCAGTATTTGTATATTACATCCATGATAGGAGGAAGTAGGCTTGGGCGTTTGGGCATTCGGTTTGGTTCCAAGTATTTTGGTTCTGAGATTTAGGAACCATATTGAGACCAAATCAATATCGGTTCGGTTCGAGTAATAAATTTTGGAACCGAGTAGGAACCTAACTGTTTCGGATATTTTTGGAACCGAAAAAACAATAGAATTATAATGCAATTATGCAAGTATGCAATGCAACATCACATATTAGTCATCATACCATTACAAATTTAAAAAATAGTTGGAACTTAGAAAGTATTAAGTCAAAAGACACCCAAAGTTTCAAAAATATCACAAAACACAAGTTTTAAAGACACCAAAAGAAGCTTTGTCTTCGATTTGCAATGATTCGAAAGAGAGAGTGGTTGTCTGCAACGTCTCCTTCTTTGAGAAAGAGAGAACAAACTAGGGTTTCTCTTTAGGTTTCAGAGAAATATATAAGAGGCTAAGAGAGATATATGGTAGGTTGTTGGGCTTGGGTAATTAGTTTTATGTCTAGATGAGTTTCAGACTTTGGGTTATATAAATATAGGTTAGTGGGCTATATTTTTTGGGTACCCGAATGGATATCGGTTCCTACCCGAACCGAACCGATACCCATGGTTCTTTGATTCAAGATCCAATCGATATTTTTACTAGAACCGGAACCGAACCGAACCATCAATTTCGGTTCGGTTCGGTTCGGTTCTATGTGGATCCATATTTGTGCCTAGGCCTTGGAGGAAGTATCAAGTAGGTGAGATAATCTTACATCTTTTTTAATTGGAAAATTATATAGGAATTCGAGTTATGGCACGAAAAAGTGTCATTACAAACTGGTACTTTACAAAAGTAAGCTAACCAATTAATATTCAAGTACCAAAATAATTGAGGGAATATATTTTTTTTATATATATAATTAATTAGAAGTGCCCAATAAATGAAGGATCAAAAGTCTTCTATTATGGTGCCAGACTGGTCAATAGTGGAAAGTTCAATAAACAAACATTCTCTGAGTGAATTGGCCGTTACTCGTTTGTTTTTGTTACTCTCACCGATTTAGTTTAGTGGATCCTGCTTTATGCGGAATGCGTATCTTACCATCCTTAGAGATAGAGATTACTTATCCGATTAGTCACATGATCTCTTCGTCAGCGAATACACATCTTAATATACGATTATAAATTACTAACATCTTCTAAACAATGAGTACTTTATGGGAAGAGATCAAAGTTTTTAAAAATTGTTTCATCCTCGACCACTTTTATGTTAAAAATGATTTTATCTTTATAAGTGCTTTTAGATCTTGTTATTTCGCCTCTCGTAATTACTTTTTAAAATTTTGCTTCTAAAATTTGTTATATCATTCAATTTCCCAACCAACAAACAAAAATAAAACTTCTTTTGTAACGAGCAAATTTCAAATTGACCCAAATACTAAATTGAACTATAATTTTATTGATTCACAACTGAAAATTATATCAATAGACAAGAACATACAGTTTCTAAGGACAGAAAATAAAACAGTAGTTTGGGTTTTAGAAAAACAACGAACTAAATGTTCTGGACAAGCTTTTATTGAACAAGAACGTAGCACTTTTATTGAACAAGAAGGTAGCAACAACTACTAAAAGAGGGGTAAGCTTGTAGGGAAACGAACCTGCATCCATTGCTTCTCATACGTAACCAAATGGCTCCAACCTAATTCCTCCAGCAAACCCAGTTTCAGTTCGTACAGTTTCTTATTCGCAGTCTCGCTCTCGTTTTGGATCAAGTCATCAAGTACCTGACACCATCATCAGTCATGTGGGTAAGTGATTTCATATGATCACCATTTGCAGTTTCTTGGTACGTATAAACATTAGAAAAATGTATTTACCTTCAATGCAGTCCCGAGTCGTGAGAGCCGTTTCTCTCTTAGAACAGTGAGAGTACCATATTTAGATGATTTCACGTCTACCCATTTTGTCAGTTCTTTGAAGTTTTCTTCGAATTTATCCCTCTGACTACTTTCTTCTTCTCCTTCATCTCCCTTCTCACCCTGCAAACAATTTCGTTGTGTAATTTCTCAGTATAAGCAAGAAAAATGCTAATGACACCATTAGTAGTTCTAATGCGCTAAACTCAGCAACTTTCATATGCATAAAATCAGTTAATCACAATGTTACTCTTCTAATCAGATAGACTAATTAACAGTTAACGATTAGTATTGGTCTTACTTTCAGATTCTCGATTCTCGCCATGGCTAACCCTTTCTGGTATAGTGCATCTGCCAGTTGATCACGTGTCATCTCCATTTTTTTCTTCAATTTCTAATTTTAAAATAACACAGTAGGTATTGTTATCAGAGTCGTAAATAAAGTAAGTAAATAGTTAAGAATACTACAAAAAACCAACTTTGTAAGAAAACGCAATAAATAATATAATAACACACCTCTGCTTCAGCATCTTCTGGTTCAGTTTTGTCTAGCAAGAATCTTGCTAACTCATCTACATTAACACTGCGTATTACTTCGTTTGCAGCTTCTATAATCTGCAAGAACAAAATGAAGAGATATTCAATTTACATGCATATTTTTCTGACCAACTACAAAACACTTGAGAGGTTTGTCAGAACCAATGAGACTACTGAGTGTTTTAAAGTTGATGATTCTGTTTAATGCATAATTAGAGAGACTAGTGCATAATTTTTTTTAGTAACTCATTTAAAACTTTACCTCTTCGTGATGGCTGATTTTGTCCCCAGCATCAGATCGAGACAGTAAACCTTCCAGGATCTTAGCTAGTAATGGAGTGTAGTTTGGGTATTCAGACTGCCAAGGTACATATGCTCAAGTTAATCTAACAGTAATTCAGATTTGCATACCTTCTTAAAAACTTTCAAGGTTAAACTGGCAAAAGTCATTATTCAGAAAGAAAAATGAAAGCCTTTAGTTGGCAAACCTTGAGACAGGCACACAACTTTTTCCACTCTGAACGCTCTTCCTCAGTTTCTTGTTTTAGGTTCCCAAGAAATTTGATTTTTGTATCACGAACCTGATAACAAGAAAGCCGGTTCATAAAAAAGTTCCAAAACAGTGTCAATATTCACCAACAAGTACTTGATTCAATTATATGATATAATAGAACGTTCGCCCATCAAGTTGAGCAAGCGCCATTAAGCAATATGCAACATGTTTCGGCAAATAATACCTCTTGTTCCAAGCGTTCTGATACTGATTTAGAGCTATCTGGAGCAGAAGCTGCCTTTTTATCTTCCTCAGGCTATGGAATAAAGAACAAAACAAATAAAAAAAGTTCAAGAAAAGTGAAGTACAAGGAAAGACTAGATCAAGCTAAACACAAAATATGAGCTCATGTAACCAGATTGTCCTGCAATACTGCATCAAGTTTCACACGCCTATGGCCCTATGCTAACAGGTATGCCAGACCAGAAATGGTAGTGTTTTTAGATACCTTATTTGGTGGAACCACATATGATATCGGATAAGATACAGGATTATCCTTTGGATTCTTCCCTTCTTTATCATCAAATGACAATTTGCCATATGAGATTTCTCCCACCAACACAGATCCTTGGGGAGTATTCTGCAGGTGAAATTAAAATTGTACATTTAAGAGGGATATGCCTCAGAACATCAGAAAACCAAATATACTTGTCAACAATCTACTAAACCTTGGGTAACTTGTCTTTTGTTGGTGGGCCCAGATAAAACGCTTCCTTCACCCTGCAGGGTGATAAACACGTTCAGAGAACCAACGCAGCAGCCACAAAAGTATAAACTGGTTAGTGAGCCAAAAGAGTACCCTGGCATTAGAATAGAGGACTTAAAGGCACCATTTCCTGTGAACGGACCATCTGGTTCAGAATGTAAATTCAGCCGAATCTCCTGCATCACCAGCAAAATAAATGAAAAACAATCAGCTCTATTTGCATCCTAATGTTGCAAAAGGAAAAATATTGACATCAAAACACACAAATATTTAACTCCAACTTTGTCAGATCTCGCCTTTTTCAATTTAAAGTGAAACGTAATTCAGTATCTTACCCCCATATTTCTTTCAATAAACAAAATGAGCTGCTTCAACTTTTCCAGCAGCTGCACATTTTCATGCCTGGTGAAACCAATTAGCTTTTAGAGTAGAAGACTAAATACGAAAATACACATTGTGAAATAAAGTTGTCAACCATGAAAAAAATATAGTTTACAGGAACTTGTCAACCAGTCATGTTGAGAAGATTGGTTTGGCCGGTAGATTAGAATGTACAAACTCTACTCTTCAAATTTTAAAACAAACTGCAACCACCAAAGATGTAGCACAAACCTCAGATACAGCTGCAGTTTATATTCTCCCTTGGGAAGTTTAGAAGACTCAGGATAAACATCACCCATGGCATATACACGCTGAAAGTATGTCAGGACAACATGTTAAGGCAAGAAAATACCATAATTTAAGTAAGAAATAACTAAATTTTCTAGACACAAAAGCAGAAAAGCATTTTCACAGTACATAACCGAGCTAGGGATTCATAAATTTTGTGAAATGTAGGTATCAGGTTTTTAGTTGACAATGCCAATGAGAATTCAAAGCTTATCTATACTTGTATTACACCCATCCTATTAGGTGGCAGTTTGAAGAGTACCTTGTTGGCATCAGAGATCATATAAAACTGGGACTCAAATTTTGTGTCATATATGCGATTGTTCAATAATGGTATATACGGTTTTACTTCAGCTGAATCTTCTAATTTGAACTTGTAGCTGCAGAAACAAAAGGATGATAATTGCTGTAAAAAATTTGATAGAGAGATAGGCAAAAGCAACAACAGCAAGAACGCAGAAGCATAACTCACGTTAAGGTCAATGCTAGTATCTGTTTGCCCGACAGTAGTCTATCACGGCCAGTTGATAGAGTCTTCAGTTGTGCATCAATAGGTTGATACGGGACTCTTATCTGCAGTTAAAACAAAACACTGTCCAGAAGCAATTCTACAAGCAATTACAGAAAAAGGAGAAGATACAATCATTAAATACATCGTACCTTGTTAAGGACAGCTATGGGAACAAGTTTTTCAGATGCCAATAGTGCTTCAGCTTCAACTTTTATTGGTGCTTCACTTCCATCAAGTAACAATTCTTCTTTATCGACACCTACTCCATGGAATTCAATCTAAAGTACCACACATAACTTCAGTCAACTCATTTCTAACAAGTCACAATGTACTCAATATAGTAAGCATGTGTGAGCTAACTGAACATAGAACTTCGTGCATAGCATAAGGTGTAACTACGTGAAGACATTCGTTTTCAAAACCACTCCTAAAAGAGAATGCACAAACAGGAGTGATTATTGCTAAACCTGAGACCTAACATTCAACTAAAGAGGCTAAAACTGCTAAGGGAACCAAATTGTGAAAAGAATCATGCAATGTATTAACATGGGCCAAAAGATAAACTAGCATGAGAACTCAAAGGAAAGTCAGGAAACTAGTAGGTAAAAAAGGAGGGAAGAACAGGTCTAAAATAATAACTAGAGTTTACTTGACACAGGATGACACAAAAGACAAAACAAAACACAAGTATTTTACATTCCTTATGCAAATGCCTTAACAGCATTGATATTCGCACATATAATTCTCAGTTCCTACCTCAAAGTCAACGATAGTTGGTTCACGACTTCCAAGGCCACTTGACCAGAATTGAGCTATAGCTAGTTCCATCGTTTGACCACTAACCACAGGAAACGCAAAGCTTTTCGCAGACGGAGATGCGAAAGTTGATGCGCTCTCCCACTTGATAGGCCTTCGCAATGGGCAAAGCTGCAAATTAAGTAAAGATTAGAACCAGTAGCATAACAATAATGAATTATCTTTAAACGTGCCCTACCTGAAGTGTATCAATATAAAATCGTCGTGTAGTATCAAACCCCGAAGTTCGCATTGTAGCCTCAGCCCATGTTGCTCCTTGTGGTACCTCAATATATCTTCGTTCAATGTGGCCTACAGTTGGAATTATTGAAGAATAAAAAATCAAAGATATATAAATAAAAAAAGGCTGCCGTTTCAGAGGACTTGTTTGCTTTATAAAGCACACATTACAAAGTCCACAAACGCTAACCTGAGATGAAAGACATTTGCTGAAATGAGATAACAGGAGGTCGATTTGCCACAGTCTTGGGAATTATTATTGTTACTGGGATTCTGAAAAGAGGACCACGCTCTGGTGCTTTGCAATCAATCCCATAAACTTCAAAGTAATGCACACCATCACCAAGATTTGTGGGATCCACAACAACGCTGAAAAGAGATGATACAATCTTACATTCTTACTACAGAGACAACATGGCACGAAAAAGTAAACCGAAATAAGCAGCAAGATATAGGATTGGAAAACACTAACTTGAAGCTACGTCCGTTATGAGTGAGAAGGAGATAGTCAGGAACCCGTACAACTCCTTCATCTGTGGAGTGCAACTCAAGACATTCCTCAAAAGGGACAAGTTCCTTTAAATTACTTGCACCTTCATGGAACTTTGGATCAACTTGTACCGTCCACTGGAAATCAAAACTATGCTTGTTTAACATAACAGACAGGAGAGATAACAAAAGCTTGAATGGAAAATAGACTACACATCTGGTAGGAGATAAAGTTCGACAAGGAAAATTCTGGCTCCATGATAGAGCATCCCAAGAACTTGGTATTCCAGAAACAGATGAACATGGCAAGTCGTTTGAAGATAATGGTTTTTTATATAGAATTTAAGTTAGCATGCATTTGGGTAGATTACTATACATACTCCTGAGTGAACGACCATATCCCTGTGATATAGAAACGCTTACCTCAGTAGACTGTCTGCAAGCAGTACCCTCCCGCAGGTAGATGCCCCGTGATGTTGGAACTGCGTTGACAGAGTTTAAAATCTTCATTAAAAAAAGGTACATGTTTTCACGAATATAATCAAAATTGTAGGAAATTTTCCCAGGTAACAGCAGGAAGCCCTTGAGATTAGTAACTACACATAGGTGAGATGCATTTGCAAAACATAATATGGAATTCAACACATTCAGTTGTCCTGTTTATAAAAAATTCAAATAAGAATATGTGATAGGTTTCATCAAGCAAGTTTTCAATAGGCAACTAGCTTAAAATCTTTAACTAAATATTCAAATTCTTCGTTTACATACTTGTTTTCCCGGAGAGATTGACCTTTATCTGATAAAATACGCATGGATAGTCCTGAAACTTTTTTAAGTATTCATATGCCCTGTCATAACAAAATAAATTAATTACCTATTTAAAATATGGTGCCAAATTAATTACACAGTATAGGAACCTTACTTATCAACTTGCATAAGCCCTTGTCCAGTAGTTAGTTTATCTTCAGGTAGATCACCTACAGGTGTAGATGTATTCTCAAGGGCCCTTCTCACACTGTACGGGCTAACTGGGATGCCCTCAGCCTGCAGAAGTGTGAAAGAACGTCAGCAGCAGAACTGAAAACAACGGAAAAGGAAACGGATGTGCAGAAAGGAAAAAATAATGTTGAAGAAGAAACCTTCATAGCACTTAGAAGTAACGCAATTGCTCCACAGGCAGAAGGAGATGCCATTGATGTTCCATTCATGAGCATGCGTCTTTGAAGCGTCCATGTAGGAACAGGAGCAACAGCCCCACCAGGTGCACTTATGCAGACACCAAGATCCCCATCAGATGTTGGCCCCCGGCTTGACCTACAATATAACAATAACTATTTCATGCCAGCTACAACTAGCTATAGAATAAATCAAAAGTAACAAAATAGGTGAAAATACCAAGTGTATTCAAGCCCCTCACTGGGAGGCTTCCACCACTGAATGGGCACCGGCTGCCATTGCAGGAGAAACATATGCACCAACCCCGATGATACTGGACGTCGTTCCACCCGGTGCTCCTACCGTTGTCAAAGCTGGACCACTGTTGCCAGCACTACTTACAAATATTAGGCGTCTCTTGTTCACAGCCTAAAAAAAGCATAGCAGAACGTCCATAAACGTAAGACGAAAAGCAAAAAACACAAGCTAATAAGTGCTGTCCAAATAAAGACAAAAGGATTTGAATGATACTTCAGTAACAAGATCAACAAAGCGCCCATAGTCTGGAAGTAATGCTGGCTCTCCATAGCTCATGTTGACAAGATCACAGTTATGCTGTAACATTATTATAGAAGTCAGCATATACAAAAGAAACATTGAACGTATTGACTTATGTCGATGTAAACCTCAAATATAATAATCCACACAGATATGAAATTCTTCCTGATGATGCAAAGTAATTCAAGAGATATACGACTTGTTTTGTTCAAACTTCCAACGATATAATTTCACGAGGTTACAAATGACATTTTCAGCTAATGGTATATTAATTTCAGCTAATGATTTATTACCTCCAGGGCAGCTATCAATGCCCGACTCAATCCAGTTCCAGTCTCCATTGAACCTAATCGCGAGTCTCCAATTTTGCAAGATATTATCTGTGCACCAGGTGCCACACCATTTAACAAATGCTCCTAACATACACATAGAAAGGGAGTTAATTGGTTGCAACAAATCATCAATATATCTAATTATATAGATGCGTTTGGCACCTCAGGGTGGTGTGCAGTAGCTATTCCAGCAACATGAGTGCCATGAGGAGAACTATCAGTTACAATGCTTAGAACCTTCCCCTCATCATACACGTTAGCAACAAAGGAGCATGCATCTAGTCGGCTAAACACGCCATACTTCCGCTCAATTCTGTAGTACATATAAGATTTGAGATTAAAAATAAAATACAAAGTTGGTGAACAAATCATGCTCCCAAACGAAAAATTCCTGAACTTTCATAAGAGAAAGATCTTTAAATGAAGACTTGCCGGTAGTTAGTCAGGGGGGAGAAGTCTGCTAGTTTCCCGCTATCTGGATCCTCTTCCAGACTCTGTGTATCAAGTGCAACCCTCCATACTTCTCCATCATGCCACACAACAGCATCAATAACAGGCCCTTTGTCTTCATATTTCTACAGAAAAACAAATGATTTACAGCACAGATTCAAGAAAACAGCGAACAAGTACGCAGAAATAAAACTACCAAAGGACAGTCTCTAAACATACATCAGCTTGTTTTTTCAGAAAATCAACTTTGCTTTGGAGGTCTTCACGGGTTTTCTTCAATTTCGCATCTTCCACCTTGCTGTGCTTCTGGAGACAAGAATGACAAATGAGGTTACGATAGAATTGAATAGCACTGTCCAACTCACAACATCTAAAATACAGCAAACAGCATTCAGCATCTCCGTAGCACCTGATCGAAATCATATAGATTGTTTACAGCCTTTGCAATTTCTTCCTGATTCTTTTCATCCCAAGATTTTCTTCTCTCTTTCTGTGTAATGACAAGACAAGTCTTAGACAATGGAATTGCAAACCAGATACGTAAAATCTGGTGCAATATTTAATGAGTAGATGAAAGCAATCCAAAGAGCCAAAAAGATCACAACTCTAATTGCTACCTTCACACGAGAAGTTAAGTCATCTGTAAATAACTGATAAACCAACTTGAAACCTACACGCCACTCTCCAGTGGGATTTTTCCATGAAGAATTGACAACCAAAGGTGCCCCTGTAAGAAATTTGTTTAAGCAAAAGAAATGATAAACGTATATCAATAGCTAGAGAGAGAAGGGACAAACAAAAATGAGTAAGAAAAACTATCATGCAGAAACCATAAATCTCTTAAATCACCAACCTGATGCTCCACGAATATGACCATCTTCATTGGCTTTCACCACTGTGGATGTATCTATATCTCCACTTCCAGTGCTGAAGGATAAAAAATGATACCATCACGCCACAGTCACTCGAATGTACCAAGAACACTGGATGCAAAATTCAATTAAATCACAGAAATATACCAGTCAATGACGTCCAAAACCTTGGGTTTTCCATCAGAAGTTACATGCAAGCCAGCAGCAGAAGGATCAAAACCAGAATCTGAAAAAACAAAAAATTCCATTTGCTTAGTTCCTCAATCAGAATTTTACTTAGAGAGTTACAACGCCGTCTTAAGAACCAAACAATCGCTCAGTTTCTCCATTAACAATTCAAGCGACGAAATTAGATAAACCAAAAATCAGAGAATAGAAAAAACGAGAGAAAGTACCAAAGATAGCGATGACTACACCACGACCGTCGTACTCAGGATGAGCTTCGATGAAGCGATCCGCACGGATTTCTTTCTTAGGCATAAGAGAAGCAAGGAAAGTAGATTCGTTGAGCTTGAAATTAGCGACAGAAGCATTATCAGCTCCACCGCCACCACCACCACCTCCTCCGCCACAACCGACGCGAGAAGCCGTAAGAGTATCAGAAGAAGAACAAGGCATCGCCGAGAAACCACGCCGTCTTAATCGAATTCCACGAGAACGAGAGCAGCTTCTTCTGAGTCTTCGATGAAGAAGAAACCGAGAAGAAGAAATGAAATCACGAGGAAGAGAGAGTGACGAAGAAGAAGAAGAAGCCCAATAAGAAGGACACGACGGGCCTTTGATTAACGCGCCGTGAACCTGCAGCTGCAGACTCAGATCCATCTTCGGGATGTGTGTTACGTTTAGTTAATTAACAGGGGTATTTTGGTCAATTAACAGCTGAGTCGATGCACCGAATCGTGTCACTCGTGAGAGGTCTTTTTTGGGTTGGGTTGTGTCAATGGAGTTGGTGGTGGCTTACTCTAACTGGTGGCTTTGGCTTGCTCTATCTAGATAACGAGATTATTTTTGGATTTCATTTCTTAATTACAGAGTTTTAATTGTTGTTGTGACTTTTATAATTGGACATAACCTTAATCTGATTGATTCTTGGGTTTTTGGTCGCTCGTGTATGAGATTGTTCTCCATTGTTGTCGTCTTACCTTAGTTCTTTGTGGTGAGAATTAAACAAAAAAAAAAATTAATAGTTAGATTTGTGGCTGGTAAGGTGTTATGGTAAATCTCAAGACTGATTTCATCGAATCATATGACCATATATTTACTTTATATATGGAAACTTAACATTCACTCATCTGATTTTCCTAACTTTTTTTGTTTATGTGTTGTTTGTACATTTTGAATATTGTACTTTATTATCTGTTTGTTGTAGTCTTGTCGAGATTGATTTGAGTCTCTTCCTAGATGATTAGACCAATAGCGTTACTAATTTGAGAAAGTTAGAACTACCACATTTTAATTTATGATTAACTATTTTCTTGTATGATATTTGAAATGGATAATAATTGTGTTAGTTATGTCCTGCGGATATATCTGAAGAATCCCTGAAAAGGAGGGTCAGAAGCATTTTATTTTGTGACAGCAAAAGTATCAAAAGTCATGCACGTTGAAGCATATTATGGGTCTGATTGGTTACGGCTGTAGCTTTAGATTTTTGGCTGTAGAATTTATGCTGTAGATTTTCCTGCTGTAGCTTTAGGATTTTGGCTGTGACTTTTCAGAAATAAAAGCATGATTGGTAATTCTAGCTGTAGATTTTCAAAAAGAGAAAACATGATTGTGATTGATAAATTTTAACTATGTATTAAATATTAATAGTTCCATATATATATATATATATATTGAATGCTTAGATAATACTAACTAAAATACAAATATAAAATTTATAATAATTACAAATTATTTTTCATTAAATTATATATATATATATATATTGAATGCGAATACTAAATTGTATTCAATAAAAATTGGGGATATTGAAATATACTAAAACTATTGATAATGTGTCAAATAAAAAAATAATTAGTATACATAGAATTATTTATTAGTATATGTCATTTGTATATGTTAATATGTGCTATATAGAATTATGTATATATTAATTATATAGTTATAATGTTTAATACAAAATACAAACTAGGAAAGAAATTAAAGGAAAATAAAGAAAGGAAAGATAAAAAGTTCACAACCCTTATTCTCGAGCTGTGGAAATTGTAATATGTACAGCCAAAAAACAAGATTTTCTAAAGTTTGGGCTGTGGCTTTTTAAATAACATGTAAAGCATGATTGGTTATGTTACAGTGCTGTAGGAATATTTTTGGCTGTGGAAAATTACTACAGCCACTACCAATCATCCCCTATAAGATTGTGTGTGTGTGTTTTTTTTTTTTTTTTTTTGATTGTGTGTGTGTTGGTCTCTCCCAACAATCGCTGTTGCTTTAAAAACCTTATGGATATTCCTTCTAGGTATGCATGCATTTGTAATGGGACTATGGGAGTTTCGAACACGCAGCTGGATCTTAACTGAGATAAGTGGGCTTGACAATGATAATTTGACATTATTACAAAGCTTCTTGAATCTTTTAAATTTGATTACTCGGATCTCTCATGTTCAGAAAAATTGGAGAATTGTGTTCTTCATCATAGGTTTGCTTTGTATCTTCAGCTATATATGTTGTGTGTGTTTTTTTTTAATTGTTTTATACGGACAGAGCTTTTTTCTTAAAAAAAATCGTTCCTTTTTGTGGTATTTACACACATTCAGAAAATAAGGGTTAATCGATTACATTGGTGATTGTATTCCAAAGATTTTTATATTTTTGAGTGGCGATCATCTATTCATCTAATAAATATTCTTCATATCGCTTTGTTGGATATGTCATATAAAAAAAACGAATATTATAATAAAGAAATTATATATTTTTTATATAATCAAAATTTGAGACTATTTTTTCTCGTTGTCTATGTTTTTGTTAAGACATGTATACAAACAAGTACGAATCTTGATTCGGATCAGGTGTATGTGGTTGTAAGAGAAGTAGAAAAGAGAAGTAGAACGACGAATCTATTTGTAACACTATAATCATTCAATGCATCACCAAAAAGACTTCCACAAAGTTAAGAACGTTGACACGTTTTTTTAGCAATGCCGTAGAGTTGACATCAAGCCTGACGACGTTAACGCCTCATTTCTTTTTTTTTTTAACTTATTTATCTTCGTTTGACCAAAAAAAAATATTATTTATATTCTCCTAAGTGAGATAAAATTGTATATAATGAAAGACGTCATTTTAAAATTCCTTTGAATTCAAGAGTATTAAACGTTTACTTTTCTTTGTTTCATATTAGCAACTTGATACTATATTTTAATTTGCTCCAGCTATGTATATAACGCTTACAAGTTTTATACAAGGAAAACTAGGTATTCTAAGAATAAAATTGTGGAATATACACCTTTTGTGTAGGTTTTAAGCTTCAGCCATATTGTTAATATAGCAAATATTGTTATCCAAAAGACCAAAACTATCACCCAATAAACTTACTCATTCTGTTTTATAAAATTATGTCTATTAAAGGTTGTTGGTACACAAAAAAAATTAGATATTTAAGGGGTTACACAAAAGCGCAGCCTAAAAAAATAAGATACTTGAGGATGAGGACTCGAAGCAATATAATCTGCAAGGACGACACAAGTAGTCTCGACATGTTCTCGGTAGATGAAGCTTCTAACACCACCGCAAGACTGAGCAATGTGAATTCAATTCGCATCTGATGAAGCTTCCAACACAAACAGAGACAAGACTGAGCAATGATGATAAGTGATTCAGAGAAATAGGATGTAGAAAAGATTCCTTCATATTTTTTTTACATGATTATATAGGTTTACAAGAGTTTATCACTTCATAGAATTTTATAGTTATAATGTTTTCTTCATTTTAACTCTAATTAATAAGGACAAAGTACAAAATGTTACACAAATTTCAAATATAAAACATCTACTTTTATTATTAGTAGGGAGTTGAACTAAGTTCTAGTTCGCAAGAAGTCATTTTTGTGTAATAATATCCAACTACACCATGACTCTCGACAAACCACCAATCACTAGACACCAGTTCTAAACTCTAAAGTTGACAAAATTACTTAAAATGGATATAACTGTAAAGGAAATACCCTTTAATTCTGATTTATTATTGATATATTTTTTTGGTTGGCTTTTTGTAACAATGGAGGTCTACATCTAATAATGAGCCAAATTATTTTCCATCATGTAATAATTATCTCCACGTTTGAAAAATTGCAATATTTGTTAAACGCGTATACGGTGATCACCATTCCACATCAACTTCGCAAATGGTCTACTTTTGACTCGAAGCTAACGTCTTTGTTTTAGCTACTCGTCAAAATAATCGTATTATATTCCTATAATAATGAAGTTGATTTAATATTTGTCAAATAAATAATCCCAAAATTGAAAATCTATATAGCCTCCTTTAACTCTTCTTCTCAACTCATTCATTTTCTCAACAAATCTTTAGAAACTTTCAAAACCAGACAAAGGATCAAGAACACTACTTCTTCTTTGTCTGAGAAACTTCAAACACAAGAAACCAAAAATAGATATGAGAGAGCTTGTTCTGTCTCTGCTTCTTCTCTTCTTAGTTCAATGTGTCAAATCTGTTTATTCTACTCCGACAAGAGAACAATTCCAAAATTGCTTGTCCACAAAACAATTCAATTCCACCTTACAAAACCCTATAAATCTCACCACTCATAAACCAGATTCCCGAGTCTACACCGACTTTTCCGAATCTTCATCTCCAAATTCTAGTTTCCTCAACTTGAATTTCACCAGTTTGAAGCCGATTCTGATCGTGAAACCGAAATCCGAATCCGAAATCAAACAATCAATTCTATGCAGCAGGAAACTTGGAGTGCAAGTAAGAATCATGAGTGGTGGTCATGACTACGAAGGTCTATCTTACCTCTCACAATCACCATTCATAATCGTTGACCTCGTTAACCTCAGATCGATCAACCTCAACCTCACAGACGATACCGCTTGGATCCAATCGGGCGCAACACTCGGCGAACTCTATTACAAAATCGCCAAAACCAGCAAGATCCATGCCTTTTCCGCAGGGATATGTCCAAGTGTTGGTGTTGGCGGGCATATTAGCGGAGGAGGATTCGGTACAATAATGAGAAAACATGGTTTAGCGTCTGATAACGTTGTAGACGCGCGTTTGATGGACGTAAATGGGAAAACTCTTGACCGGAAAACGATGGGAGAGGATTTGTTTTGGGCGCTTAGAGGTGGTGGAGCTGCGAGTTTTGGCGTTGTCTTGTCATGGAAGGTTAAGCTTGCTAGGGTTCCTGAAAAGGTAACTTGTTTCATAAGTCAACACCCGATGGGACCAAGCATGAACAAGCTTGTTCATAGATGGCAATCCATAGGATCAGAGCTAGACGAAGATTTATTCATCAGAGTCATTATTGACAACAGTCTAGAAGGGAATCAAAGAAGAGTGAAATCAACATTTCAAACTCTGTTTCTTGGTGGAATCGATAGATTGATTCCTCTAATGAACCAGAAGTTTCCGGAACTCGGTTTACGATCTCAAGACTGCTCGGAAATGAGCTGGATCGAATCGATAATGTTCTTCAACTGGAGATCAGGACAGCCGTTAGAGATTTTGCTCAACAGAGACCTAAGATTCGAAGATCAGTATTTCAAAGCAAAATCAGATTATGTTCAAAAACCCGTTCCTGAAAACGTTTTCGAAGAAGTAACCAAGAGATTTCTCGAGCAAGATACTCCATTGATGATCTTCGAGCCATTGGGTGGGAAAATCAGCAAGATTTCAGAAACAGAGTCTCCATATCCACACAGGAGAGGGAATCTGTATAATATACAGTACATGGTGAAATGGAAAGTGAATGAAGTCGAGGAGATGAACAAACATGTTAGGTGGATGAGATCGCTACACGATTACATGACTCCGTATGTTTCTAAATCGCCGAGAGCAGCTTATTTGAATTACAGAGATCTTGATTTGGGCACGACCAAAGGGATCAATACGAGTTTCGAAGATGCGAGGAAATGGGGTGAGGCATATTTCAAAGGTAATTTCAAGAGATTGGGTTTGGTTAAAGGGAAGATTGATCCCACAAATTTCTTCAGGAACGAACAGAGTATTCCTCCTCTGTTATGATTACTCAACACAAAACCAGATATAAAAGATTCATTTCTTGTTTTCATTTATCTAGATATTGTAACTTTCTGCTATAATTGTAGAAGTTATAAAATAAACCGATTTGATTTCAATTTTCCGATGAACAAACCGTAACTATAAGCAAAAAGGAATTCTTAATCTCTTTAGAATCGTTAAAATATAAATTGCTAAAACACCAAATTCTGAATGATATTAAACCACTAAATATGTTCAAAATATGGTGAATAGATCGTATACAGTAGTTAAACAGTCATTGAATCACCTGATGAATCAGAATACACAATATCAGTGAGTTTTCGACACTCTGAAAAATGGCAAACAGAAATCCGGTTTAGCTTTTCTTCTGGGCGGCCTTTATACCGGGAAGTGTTCCAAAGACTTTGTCCCATAGAGAGGAAGTGATTCCATATCCTTTGTCCTTGAATCCTAAAGTGATGATTTAGGTGGTATTTCTGTAAAATGTATACCAAATCTCATCAGAAATGCAGAGGAATAAGTTTGAATGCGAAAAAAAGCGGAGATGTCTAGATGGGTATTCTTACCTTAAGATGTTTAAAGGTTGGTTCTTTAGGTTGACCATGGTGTAGATAGTAATGAGTAATATCATACATCACATAGCCAAACAATATGCCTCCAAGCAATAGCAGGTGCTGTAGCAGGAGTAGCTAAGAGATGAAGAAGCTTCCATAGCTAACAACGGAAAATAGAAGAGCATCAATAAAAGTTTCCGTTTTGATGTAAAGAATAAATGAAAGAGATTCCAGATCTGGATCAAGCATGGATACTTACTGGAACCAAGAGAATAGCTGTAGCAGTAGGAGGGAAAACAAGACGAAGGCCGTCTTGTGGGTGCTTGTGATGGCATCCATGAAGAAGATAGTGTGCAGTGTTTGCCCTGAAGAAAAAAAGGGTTTGAAATGAAACAGAGTCAGCTTCGTGATGAAACTCGGTTTTTTTATGTTGCATAATCACAGATACAGAACTAACCAGTAACTCTTGGTTTGGATATGGAAAAGGAAACGATGAAGCGTGTACTCGAGAAGTGTCCACGTGAGTACACCAAAGGCAACTATTAAACCGATCTGGGGAATTGTAAGTCCCTTCCTCACCGATATTGAAAGAACATAGCAAACAACTGGAAGCCAGATTGTTGGGATTGCCCACCAAACCGTGCGAGTCAAGAACTGCTCAAATTTCCCCAAAAAAAAGATTCAATCAAAACATAGAAGCTTACACATAGGAAGATAAATCTTAAAAAGGCGGAGTTGTTACCTCCCAAAAATCACTTTCAAAAAAACGAGGACCCTCTACGCATACAATAGGTTGATGAATCCATTCCTGATATTCTTCGCCAAGATGACCAACCTGACAAGGATACAAGTTTCTTTGTATTAGTAAATTGATAGCACTGCATATATCAAAGAATCTACCAAACAGCTTTGAAGGTTGACAGAGAATTCTCCATTTGACACTTTCTCTTGTCGATCTAATAATTAAAAAAAAGGCTAGGCCGAAAAGAAGTGATTGAGCGCATCACCTGAAAGACAAGTGGCTTATTCAAATCGACCGTGTATCGTTCTGCAACCATCTTTGCTACTATATGAGACTGATTGCTTCTGCAAGAAGAACCAAAAGCAAAATCTTAAACGCGTATATACCTACAAAGAAATATTAAGTTTTTCTTAAAAGGTTCCAGGATTCAAAACATTGCAGTACTGTAGAGAACAAGCATTGAAAATGTAAATCTTAATGTTAGAAGATTTAAGTACTAACTCATAAAAGAAATTTCCAATCAAATCGATCCCAAATCAATAAAAGATAATCCTACTGTGTTGCAAACTTCTGCTCATTTGAAACAGTACTCATTCAAATACAAATAAGTTTGACAAAACCTCCATCAGAGGATAACATATAACATAAATCTGTTAATTGAAGTCATTAACTATTGAGACCCTAAACCAGATGCAATTCATCATCCAAATTGAAAAAAAAATTCAACATCAAAAAAGATTCCACAAAACTCTATTGCTTTAATGGGAATCTAAAATAAAAGATTGCATTTGGCATCTGAGGAATTGGTAAAGCTCGATTTGCAAAAGAGAAGACAAACAAAGAACAAATCAAATCAAGGGTCAATGATCCAACAAAAGCTAATGTGATGGCAACATTCTCATCATTACCAATCAACGAAGAGAACCTTGACAATGTATTAAAGAACAAAACTTTCACAAGGATTTAATCAAATCAAAAGAAAATCATCAAATCCCACGAGAGATAAAGAAACCTAGACGAAGAAAAAGACCAACATTCTTCGAAATTAACGAAAAAAATCCCGAACTTATTGCAGAGAAGATCTATAAATCGGGGAAGAGATAATGAGAAAGATAGAATCTGAGAGAAGAAATCGGAAGAAATTGAGAAGAAGAAGAAGAGATCTGAGGATTATAATTACCTTAGAGGAAAAACAAACAAGCCTCTCTCTCGGCGTAAGAGACTCGCTTACTCTCTCCAATTGAAGGGAAACAAAACAAACAACACTCTGTCACCAGAAAGGGTGGGATTATGCTTCGCTTGAATCTTGATTAATGTTCGGCCCACGTTTTCTCCTTTCTTTTTTTTTCTTTCTCTTTTAGCCATTAAAATATATTTAGTATACAAGGTCATACTGTATCTTTTACTATTTTCTACTATATCAAACAATTTATTTGCTATTTTAAAAAAGTTGCAAAATTAAAAAATGTTTTGTAAAAAAATCAAAATAGTATTTTCTAATTTTATGTTTAGAAGAACACCACAGCTGTATATATAGAACAAATATAAATTATTTTGCTATTAAAAAAAAAAGTTTAAATTTTGGAAAACATATGACACTTTTTCTATTTTTCTAAAGAAAAATTTTCAAATATAACCAACAAAAATCTATAAATTAATTGGATAACCCAAAAATATATATATTATATAGTATTGTGTGTATATTTGTAATACAGTTTTACCTCTTTTTAAAAATATTAATAGTATTGTGCGTATATTGTATAATGGATATTAATACACTTTTACCTCTTTTTAAAAAAATATTAGTAGTATTGTGTGTATATTAATGGATAATAAATAATACAATTTTACCTCTTTTTAAACAAAGCACCACCACTACCGGCCACCTCCACCGCCGGCCACTACCGTCACCCCACCACCACCATTTTTAAGTAAACTAACCTCCACCGCCAGCCATCACCACCGTCGACCACTATCGTCACCGCCACTACTACCATAACTATTATCACTACCACCACAAGCACAACCACCACCACAACCATTATCTTTACCATTACCAAGGAGGCAAATTTAATCATTATACTATTCTATGTGGTTAATTACTACATTTTCAATATTATAGTTTTAATTTCTTAATTAATTTATCAAAAATGTTATTTTTGCAATTCGCCCATTTCTAAATGTATAGAGTTTGAAGGAAAAAAAAAAACAAAGCCTATTCAGCACCAAATCACAGAGCCGCTTTTTATTTTGGAAAATGGAAAGGAAAAACAAGAATTTATGGCTAGCCAACATTGATCATAGGGTTGGTCGGTCCCTTGATAATATGATGATTCATGAAGTTATCTCTTGTCACTTTCAGAGAAAGGTTTTTCTTTTCTCTATGGACTTTGAGTCTATGACTACTACTATGTGTCTATGAGCCTATGACTCTTATGAATAAGGGACTTTTGCTTAAGTATCACCAACCAAAAGACTAGATGAATAAATTCTGTAGATAGAATCCTATTACTGATCTCTCTACCTATATAGGTTACACTAGGAGATCTATACTAATTGTATATTTACATATACGATCTTATAAATTAATAAAGAACTATGTTCTAACATTCTTTTCGGTTCGGTGTAGATGAATGTTAGCATGAATATCGGTATATCTTAGCCAAATCTTAACATTAAAAACTATTATAATTAATCAAACCAACTAAGATATTTTTCTTATGTTAAGAAATACACATGTGTCGCGATATGAGTTGGGGGAAGAAAAAACAAAACAAGAAAAAAAGTCAGTTGCTTCGTTTTTTTCCGACATTTTTTCCCTAGGATACTATCTTTCTTCTTAACTAACTAACATCATAAATCTGTAAATGTAGTAAGTAACCTTCAGGGAGAGTAAAAAGACAACACTGTCCTGGTGTTACGCTTCTTCAGCGAGAGAGGAGAATGATTTGTGGGCTGACATGGCTTTATTATTGGTGTTGATGTGAGAATAGAAATGAGATGGCAGGAGAGAGAATTTCTCTTTAAAAAAAAATTCTTTACCACTTTCTAATTGTAAATCATATTTTCTTATCTAAAAAAATGGATTTCAAGTTCATGATATTTCTATTAAAAATCTGTATAATTTTTTTCATATATCATAGCTTGAATTTTTAAAAACAGGCAAAAAAAATTCAGATGTGAATAGTGTTATCAATGGATAACAATAACATAATGATCTATATAGACACACATAGTATAAAATAGTATACTATATACTATTTACTCAAACCTTAAATAGTTCAGCTCTAAATAAAAAGTAGTAAACCTTAAATCAAGTATTCAACCCTCAAATACCAATAAAATATGTGAAATCCTAATAAACAAATTATAAGAAAAAACTTTTGGTATAGATATGACACATAAATAAAATAGTATAAAACAAAAGAAAATAGTATGGAATAAGATTTAATAGGGTGGAAGCAATGGTAGTGGTGATGCTGGTGACGACGGTATTGACGGTGTTGACAATGGTGATGGCAATGGTAGCGGCGGTGATAATGATGGTGGTGATGGCGGTGGCGGTGCCAATAGTGGTGGCGATGGTGGTTGTCGTGAAGCTAGTAGTTGTGGTGGTGGTGATCGTCGTTAGTGGTGGTGGTTGTAGTAGCGGTGGTGGTGGTTGTAGTAGCGGTGGTGGTAGTCGTGGTTACTGAATTTATGGTGGAGAAGTGAGGTGGTTGAGTTCAGAATAATAGAGAGATGAAGAAAAATGATGGAAAACAAATAATTAAAAATTAAGTAGGAAAACAAAATGTATGTATCTATGATATATGTAGAAGGGTAAAATGGTATTATTATAGATAATACACCCTCATTTTTGTTTTAGGTTAGTTAGTGAATTTATAAATTTTTGTTGGTTATACACTCCAATTTCTCTTCTTCTTAACCATTGGACCTCCTTTTTCTTAAGATATTTTCTTTCTCTTCTTAACTCACAAAAATCATTTTATTAATGCTAAGATATAAAGTTAAGAACCATTTAGTTCTTAACCGTTAAGGTTGCTCTTAGATTTTCATGTTGGTACGATAATCTTAGAAAAGATAGTAGAACTACCTACGGTGAAGATGAAAGTGTAATGGAGAGGTAAAGAGAAGTGGAGAACCTTAATTTGACCCAGGACAACTTTTTTTGGTTAGAGTAAATGTCAATTTCAACGTGTTTGATGTAATGGTACTAAACCGGTAAGAAGAAAGGAACATGTTATCGTAAAACTAAATGTAATTTTTGCATAAGCTACAAATAAAATACTATATAAACTGTAGAAATTCAAGAACTTGTGTAATATGAGAAAAATATTACAAAATTATTGTTTGTAACATTTCTCATTGTTCATAAAGAAAATAATCTTTTTTTTTTGGATCAAAGAGAAAATAATCAAACATCCATAATAGATAGTTATTGTAGACTCTAATATCTAAAACCAAAATTGAAGTTTTAAATCTTTTTGTGAACACATCCATAATAGATAGTCATTGTAACCATGAAGCATAATAAAAATTCAACAGTAGCTACGTACAATTAATCCAAAGCTAAGGATTGCCAAATAAATAATCCAACTATAGAAAAGGAGTAAATGCTCATCGAATAAACTACACAATAAAAATGCTCAATACATATGAATGATATAGATTTGGATGTGATGTGTTGTTTTGCATCAACAAATAAATACAAATATGGTCGACACGCATGTAGACCCTTTACATCTGTTGGGAACTATTCAACTACTCAACTAAGGTATTAGAGCATATGCAACGCAATAACTTTTGTAATGATCTTAGAATTAAAATATTAGGAAATAAGTAAATAGTAGAAGAACAGGTGAGTAAAAGTTCTTGCCCAAGAACTGTTCTTCCTCAAGTCTTAGTGCCACGTAAACTTTTTTGGTTTGTTTTAGTGTAGTATCTCTCTGCATTTAATTCATAGCTTTTATTTTAATAATAAAACTATTTTTAAGATCGTGATATACCTTTAAAGATGGTCTTATGCGAAAGCAAGTTATTAGACAAAAAAAAAAGTTATTAACAAAAGAAAAATGTTATTAGACAAGGCCAAGAACCTTAATGGTAGCCATGATATAGCAATGAGGCTTTCCCCTATAAAAATAATAGTATACATTATGCACTTAGAGAGTTTCAAAAATTCAATTAGGTTGAGATATTAATCAATGCAAATCCTTCATATACAACTTTACTTATTTAAAACCTTTTAACAACAAAAAGACTTTGTTTTTGTCTTCTTAACTAAGATTCTTGTCTTAGATACTACTCCCTCCGTATTTTAATAATTGTCGTTTTAGAAATTTTATTTTTTTGAATTGGATGTCGTTTTCAAATTTCTATGCAAAATTTATTACTTTTTAATGTTTTATGACATCATAAAACATTAAAAAGTATGAAATTTTGTATTGAAATTTGAAAACGACATCTAATTCAAAAAAATAAAAATTCTAAAACGACAATTATTAAAATACGGAGGGAGTATTCAGTATTCACCATGGAATATGCAGTCTTCTTAAAATAAGCTCCAAATTTCTTGTTTTATAGCTAAATCATGCTATAGTTACTAGATCTTCTTTAGTTACCGATAAGATAGTATTTGAAAATAGTGTGACAAATACTAGGAAATAGCATATTTATGAACTTACAAGAAAAAAATGAGTTACAAACGTTGAGATTCTTATTACGGAATGTAGATCAACTATCTCTATTGATTTTTTTTTTTTTTTTTTTTTTGTATTCATTCCATTACATGCTGTTACATTCTTGTGAAAACAAATTTGCAACTCGCAATTTTTCATAAAAGTCATGCAGTTTCAACATATATGTAGGTTTTTAATAAAGATGAACTTAGATATTGAAGAATGTGATTTTTTTTTTCAGAATAATCATTTAGTAAGTAGATCACCTACCAAATAATTTCAAGCTTTATACTTTCTACATCCTCTTTCTAAAAGTTACTTCTTTTTAGAAGGATTGGATTCAAATTTCAGAAAGTTGATTAAGCAATTGTGAAAGTGAAAGACAAAAGAAATGCTATAGCATTAGCCGCACAATTAATTCGGGGATGACAAATCCGAGACAATACGCAATATCAAAAAACCAAGATTATCTTGAACGTATCAAATGTTTTAAGAACTAAGAAGTCAATAAAATCGAATATAAATGTATTGAAACACACGACTACATAAGTAAATTCGGTCATGTCATCATGTGTCTCCGTCAATATCGCCACAAACAAACT